CGTTGTCATGATCAGGGTAAGGGGTGTTGTATCGGATTTGGATTGGTTCTATCTCTGGGAATGTGAAATATATTTCCCAGGCTATTCTATTCTCGGAATGGAAGCGTTGTTCTGCTAACCACTCTTCGAAATCACCAGGTTGCATATACGAGAGTTCCCCGATGATAAATCGGATCAACACTTTCTCGAATAAGTTCAACCAGACTATCTTTCTCTTTTAGCCAAGCGGTTCCTCTTCTGTCCCGCACTGACTGTGTACGTAACTAATCTAATCTGAGATATCGGTGTTCTAATTGTATAGTATCTGAGGTCCAAACGGTTGTCTCAGAGGTACCCAGCGAGTAACCGCGTGCAGGTCTTTTCCGACTGGCGGACTCAAATGAGCGGCCTGGTCAGAAGCGTACGGAAGCTACTTTAAACTAAGTAATACCTATCGGGCTCCACGCCGTCAAGGGTTCTAGCTACTGGGTTGGAAGGGGGAGTGAGGGGGATGTTAACAAACGACTCTGTGGGTGAGACATTGGCAGGAAAAAATGATATGATGGTGTTGGGTCGGGTGATAGGTGTTATGATGGTAGTTTTTGTGAGGTGAACGTAGAGTTTGGCAATGCCAAAGAGTATGAGTGCAATGAGGGGGAATAGGGTGATGATAAGAATAGCTATGATTTTGCTCATCAACAGGTGTCGTTCCCAAGTTGTAGATTGTGTAAAGACCCTAGCTGTATGCCGGTGACCCGAGCAGCGTAGGACTTAAATCTCAACAAGTGTTGGACAAGCAAGTATAAAAGAGTAAATCTACAACTGGGGTATGTACATGGATGTCGAGCTAGTTATATAGGAAAGGGCATGAGGCTACGGGGAGGTATGACGTAGCGTATTGGTAACTAACATGTGTATGTAGTGAGGCTGATTGGTAATGTGTATTACTAATAGATCACGTGATACTTTGATAAGATTAGATCAGAGAGAGATTAGATAAGGTGAAACAAGAGTCTCTATCTCTCGATTAGATAAGAAAGCTGAGTCAGATGGGTATGATCGTGACACTGTGCCTGTGTGGCGCAAAGGTGAGTCTTTTTGAATATTCGCTTTGTTATTGACACCTGTCCATGCTACCAATCAACTTTGGTGCATGACACCGTTCACTATATAAAGAAGTACATACTCGATGTATTATTCCCTAGTTCAATATTAGTTTGGATTCGCGCCTATACCGATACTCTTCAAAACTCATACCCTGATTCACTGCCTTCCAGCAAGGACTTGACCAGGCATTGTATTTTGTTATATAGCTTCATATTCGTTGCCTGACATCATAGCCATGGACATGTACCTCAGTCTCCTACAATCCGACAAACTTCGCAAGGCATATGTAAAGTCAAAGCTGGAGTAAGATAGACGATGTGGATGGACTTTAGTGTACTGTATTGCATACCTGTGTTTTCGTTGTATCATTTATCTTGTTATCTTGTAGTACTGTGTCTCTTAACGAATCTAAGATTTTGCTTTTGTTGACTGAATCTGAATGCATTCTCAGTAACAAATCACATTGTAAGGATGCGAAAACATGTAAACTAAAGTAGGCCCCTTCTACCTAGCTCCTGCTGATAATCAATCCACATAGCGTGAGCGATCCAATCACAGCGATTATTGGTGGCAGTACCATCAGGAAAAACCCTTTTGCTATATAGCGCTATATAGCCACCACCTATATATATAAATGCATTCATAGAAACTATAGTACTATCAGTGCAATCATAGCTCTTATAGCTCTTATAGCACAGTAGTAGGCAAATTTTAATGAAGGGGAGAAGTATCTATAATTCCCTGAAACTCTGGATTAATCTAATAAACTTGTTCAATAATAGAAAAAGGCCAAAAGTGTTTGGAGTCAAGTATATTATTATAGGCAAGATACTATAAGTGCTCTTATAGCCTATAGCAGCCTACATAGCTCCTATAGCTGTAAAGGTCATAGTTTTAATATAGTTCAAGGTGCTTAAAAGGGCTAATAAATCATCCAGTATTAATTTATCATGTAGCCTGTATTAGTGAAATAGTAGTTTGTATCCCTGATACTCACAAAATAAGAATAATGATTTATCCAAATATAAGTAGTGACAATGAGTAAAAAAATAACTAAGTCCATGAAAGGTCAAAATATAACACCTGTATAATGCATTTCATAAGCTCTCATGGTGTAGTGGATAAATGTGATGTGTGGCTGTAGGTTACTTAGTCACCCAAGAGCTGACTAGCAGGTTGAGAGTTCAAATTCTGCCTGTGTTATTTTTTTTCAATCAGCCACACAACAATTTCCAACATCTATAAGAGCATTTATAGAGCTATATGAGGCTCTATAGATGGCAGAGGTTCTATAACAGGTTTGACCACTATAACAGCTTTATGAGTACTTATAGTGCTATAGAGCTCTATATAGCTACCCCCATTTTTCCTGATGACGGTTTGCCTCCGTTAGTGGGGTGTGAGAAAGCTCATCGTTGTCGACCTCAGGAGTAGGGTTGAGGAGCTCGATGTCATTGGGAGTGTCGATGTCAGAGGGATCATGGGTCTTGATAAAATTGTGCAGCATACAGACTGCAGGTGGAACCTTGGCTTGGATGGACATGTTATACTCTATAGTGACCCTCAAAATCCCAAATTGGCCCTTCAAAACACTAAATATTTGCTCCACAATATTTCAGGCAGATGCATGGCGTAGATTAAAATATTCCTCAGGATTTTGAGGTCTAAAAAATGATTTTTAGTCTACTGTAACATAGTAAATGACAAAACCGGATAAACCCGGTCTCTGCCAAAGCAGCCATTGTTCTCCTAGGAGTCATTATACTGTAGTGAGTAGCACCTCCGACTATAAGTAGTAGGGGGTTTAGTATAGAAATACCTCAGTCGTTTCTATAGCCTCTCGGGCAGCGGCTGAGGTATGTTACATTACATTTATTAGAGATCACCTTAAACTAACATCCATTGTAGTTTCACTTAGGTAAATAATAAAGTCGTTTCTATAGCCTCTCAAGCAGCGGCTGAGTTTCACTTAGTTTTATTAGTAAATAGACACTGTACATTACCTGTGATTTCCCCAAGCATATTTGGCCAAATGATAGTGGACACCTCTGTAGGGGACCAGCAATTGGTCACATGAAGGAAATCCCGCATCAGCGAGATAGTAGCGATGATGAGGGATGTACAGGTCATGGGCTGGTGTCTGCAACTGACCCCTTCCAGCCGCTAAGCACGTATATGAACTTCATATCAAAGTCACAGCACATCAAGCAGTTCTGGGTGACTGAACCCTTCCGATTGCGAGAGGCTGCACGTTCTGCAGCGGAAGGACTGCAAACGATATGGGTGCCATCAATTACACCGATGGCACCCGCAAAATGGCAAAACTTTGGGTTATTGCTGATGGCAAATGGCGTAGGGGCATTGGCATCTGGTAGACATACATACACGTTGTAGATATTAGGGCAAGTGAAAGCTTCAAGCATTCTCTTGAAGTATCTAGAGACTGTGTCATTGGATCGTTGGAAATGTTTGGCGATGTGGTGGATGGACAATCCTGTCACACAAGTGTACAGAAAAATGGCAAGTTGTTCTTCAATCAACACATGCTTTGAATCTGAGTATCTATTGGCCTGCAATAAATCTAACCACTTCGAGAAAAATTCCTGCCGCACCCCAAGCTCCGTCCTGATACAATCAGGATGCCCATCTATCAATTCCCTGACCCATCCATAGCCTGTCAGGACCGAGTTGTGGTACGGTCTTGGTTTGGGGTGTTGCACTTGTCCTTCCACTATAGCCCGAGTAGTATGTGTGATTGATTTGACGACAATAGAAGCTAGTTTTGACATCTGTAAATGGGCCAAGTACATCCGCTGTTGGCTTGTCATTAGCTGGTCATTAGCTACAACATTCAAACCATCTTGCCCCTCTGAATCACGAGTATCATCTCCCTCCGTACGAGTGACAGGATTGGTGTCTGAGTTCATATAGGAGGTATAGCTGATAGCTGATGACATGGTGTCCTAGTAGTACTATCTTATCGACGGGTCGCAGGACTCTACAATTGCATCTCCGCTAGAGCGGCAAGGCTTTGGCCAGGGAGGAAAATCTCAAAAAAAGAAGAAAAAAAAAACCCCCAATCCCATACGAGCCCTAAAGTGGGGCTATTCACCATAAAAGTGTGTGCATTTCCGATTGATTTTCACCTTATCTGGGATACCTAGTGCTAGGGAAAAAACAATTGTTCAGGTCACGTGACCAACGGTCAGAACGGTCAATCGGTCAATCGGTCGACCAATTTTTGACTTTCCTTGCTATGGCGAAGCTGCCTGTTATAGGACTGAAAGTGCGCGAGTGAACCTTCGTGTTTTTTGCCTCAGCTTCAATCTCTGCTGTGGCACTCGCATGGCGAAGCGCACCACTGAGTCCTATACTATCGTTGGACAATAGGTGCAATTGGTCTGGGGAGATGTTGAATAACTCACCAGAAGTTGAGCTATAGACTGTCGGAACTTGACCAGTAGATATAATTTTTAGTTTTCTAGCTGCCTATGTAGAAAAATAAGCAAGAACTTGAAGCATTGGAGCAGCGGAACAAAACCAAAAAGATGACACATGTTTTGGAATGGTTCTGCAATGTCTGGTCACACTGGGTCACAGCGGCACTCACAGACCAAATCAGGCGGAGCTTACAAGTCAAATTCCGCGTCACACTAGTCTTGAACCAGACGTTTTGGGAAGGCATGGGATAAGCCACGCTGAGAGGTTCCCAAAATGCCTGGAGACTTTTGTCTTAGGACGAGTGCATCAAGTCACAGTGTCACAGACACTCGACTCTTTTAGGCAATGATTGCCGCTTTTATACTAAGATTATCATGATGTAATTATGCTTAGTAGTACAGAAATCAGAAAATATTGACGAGTCCCATATTCAATGATCATTCAATTATTCGTCACTCTCCATGCTTCATTAAATGGTCACTGTCCCTACAGAATATCTATCCCATGAAGCCATCAAAAAGAAATCCTATACCAACCTTGTAGAGGCTCGTCAGAAAGCTGAAGTGGCAGGCCAAGAAGCAGACTTACAAGAATCAATTCGAAATTTTGTCCGCCAACAATGCAATGGCTGCACCCCCTATTCATGGCAAGTGGACGCCGCTGAGGCCTTTACTTTGGGACTCGACTGCACCATTATTGCTGGCACAGGATCTGGAAAGACTTTGGCTTATGTCATGCCATCCTTCATACAGAAGGATGGCATGACAGTCGTTATATCGCCGTTGAAAACTATAGAAGAGGAACAGGCCGATCAGTTTCGTGCATGGGGCATACAGTCAGTTGCAGTAAATGGAGACACATATAATCAAGACTTACACAAGGTAAGTCTATTTCTCGAGTCTCTATGTTGCTTTGAACTCATCGGCATGTGTAGGAGCTCGAGGACCTTAAATATCAAATATTGTTAGCATCACCAGAATTGACAATTGAAAACCCCCAATTCAATGCATTGTTGTGCTCACCTGCTTTTCAGAAACATGTACTTGGATACATAGTTGACGAAGCCCACTGTATCTCACAGTGGGGAGGTGACTTTCGGCCAGTGTATGCTAAATTAGATAGGCTCTGTTCATTTGTGCCTCTAGGCACACCTATATATGCAATGTCAGCTACAATATCCCCTGCTGTCTTGGCCGAGGTTTGAAAAACACTGCACATTAGCGCATCAAAATCCTTTCATTTGAACTTGGGAAACGACCGACCTAATGTAACGCAGGAGCTTTGCATCATTGCTGGCTCCACAGACTATTCAGCCCTTGATTTCATTGTCAAAGATGCACAGGCTGCCAATGAAATACCACGGGCACTCATCTTTGTTAACACTGTTAGTCAGTCCCAGGCTGGCTTTTGGAGACTCCACGGAATTGTATCTGACCAACTAAAGAGTCAAATCAGTTATTTGAATGCCAGGCGCTCGCCACGCACCAGGAAAACTGTCTTGCGTGACTTTTGTGAAGGAAAAATAAGGGTCATGTTTGTGACCAAAATAGGTGGCATGGTTAGCATTCGAAGCAATCTAATAAGCTTGCTTTGTCTAATAATTAAACAGGGACTCGACATACCAGATGTCGAGTTGGTGATCCAATTTGGAGTCCCATCATCACTGCCAGTATGGCTCCAAAGAGCAGGCCGAGCTGTCCGCAACTTCAGTCTTCAAGGACATGCTATAATGATGGTTGAAGCGTCAGTGCTTCAACGCGTTAGTAAAAAAAAGAAAGGCAGAACTGGAGAAGAGAACTTAGAGTCAGAAGATGAGCTTGAAGACTCAGACCACGAGATTGGAATAGAGAAAGATCCAATGTACCGCAAGAAAATACAATGATAGACTCGTGATCACCCCAACTAAGGAAATCCAAAAATAATGGTAAGTCAAGGCCTACTGAATTCATGTAGTCCAGGATAGCTCGGACTTTGGCTGCGGGACTTCCTGTTAGGTTCTCCTTTAAATGGCGAGTGTTGGCAAGTTGAATGGGGGAAGATGTGTATGAAGGGAACTCCGAGCTGTTGCTATCTGCCAGTGGATCATAATCTGGCTCAAACAAACCATCAGCAATGAAAGGATTGTAGTCAGTATCCTCATTAACATCTGAGAAGCTGAGGGAGTCATCAGATGTCTGGTCTTCACTCATGTTACATTGATCACAAAATGCAACTCGGAGAAACTGCATAAGTATGTACAAGGACCGACAGATAAGATAAGATAATCAACTGATAGAGGCAAAAAGTCCCGGCGTGACACGATTCGCCCATCAAATGTCTCCAGACGTTTGAGTGGCTCCAGCGCGGTTTATTCCGCGCCTTCCCAAAACGGCTGGCTCGAGACTAGCGTCACACCAAGTCCTGACGCTGGTGGTATGTGCGGTACATACCGAAGTGGAGCTAGCAGTCCTTGATTGATTATCTTGGTGTGTGATTGCCTGTTTCGGTCGCCTAGTCACGACTCCATCATTGTTTTCGTTTCTCCAGACGCTTTGAGGCCCCAATCAGCTCAGTAAGTATCTGGCATTGTAGGGGCCTACCTATTGACGTTTTCTAGAAAGATATTGCAATATTCCCAGCACGAGATCTGGTCAAATCTGGCCATCTTTCCCTCAAAATTCACACTTCTGGAGTTCAAGAGCATAGTGTCAGGTCTGTCGTTGTTGCTACAGATAAGCTATTCACTAAATTCTTTCACAATTATATTATCTATACTATATTCTACATCTGACAGTTTTCTAGCTACCTGTACAGTGATCGTTGAGCCTCTGGAGGCCCAAGTGCATATCTCTTACCGGTTGCATCCGGTGTCCAACGATAGTAGTGGATGGTTTACGAGACTACGAGTTAGCTTCATTAAGCTCGATACTTCAAACACACTACTTTTCGATTATGGCTCCGCATTTACTCGACAAAGTCTCACAACGCCCATATGCATCCTACCAACTACATGACCTACAAAACACATTAACGTACTCTCCCGATTCTTCTGTCTCTTTTGGTGGCCTTCCAAGCACTGCCACTCCACCACCATCTCTCACCAGAGCCTCCAACAGAGCGGCGTTTGAGCACTCATATGCATGTAAATTGGGCGTACAGAACAAAAATGGTTTTTTTCCGCCTAGAAATTCCCCTCAAAGTGACTGGGAAATAGACAGAAAGTATGAAGGGATCCCTCTTGATATCTTACAGTGGCTGAACACGCCATTGTATCGTCGGTCCGTGTATCAAGTAGGTCTCTACTATCTTTTTTCGTCATCATTCTAAATCTTCTAAATCTTCGCAAGTCATTCAAACTGGATGAGTCTTGTTATTATCGACTACTGAAGATTTTGGAGGAGGAACACGAGGCAATCAGGTAATATAGTCTCACCGCGCACGAGGCACGATGATATGATCACTTACTAGCGCTTTAGGTGGACATACCACAACGATATTGGAGAGATTCAGCTAATGGCGCCTCATCCCGTACACGACTCATCTTTCTATTGGCTTCGAGAACATCTTGCAGGACTATATTAGTAGTAACAGCGCGCCCTCGATTGCAGATCCAGTGGGGGAAAACCAGGATGGAAGGAATTGGTGCGGATACGTTCGATCCAAGGAAGGCTCGGGTGCCGGATGGGATCCTAATGTTGCAGATCTTTACTCGAGCGGGATTCAGGATGCTGCTCATGCATGCAGATCTGGCCTACTTAGAGGTTTCCTTTTCGCAGTCGCTAGCTGATGTCCAGCGTAAGGTTTGTTCCATGCTTTCCCGAAACCCATACCTTCTGGCTGCCATTATCGTCAACATCACCGAAACGCAATACGAGCCTCCTACTAGACGGCCCAGTGCCAACGACAGGGTCACCCGGGAGGAAATTTTATCGGACCTGATGTCAAACAGTCTCGATGCATCTGGTAAAGTGGTGAAAGCAGGCCTAGGGGGAAAGGACGACCTTCTGGGTCCTGTTCAAGCCTTTGTCGACAAACTTAAGTTTACTGGCTCTTTCGAGGTGGAGATATTCCTGGTCAACAAACGTGACACTAAACTGGAGCATATGGTATCTGCAGTGCGTATATACGTTTATGTATTAATCACCGAGACCCTAATGCCATCCATTCACAGTGTGTGCTTCCGCAGAGGGAGGAAAATATTGAAAAAATCAACAAGTTGCAGGACGACTTCAATCAACTCAGTGGTTGCATCGCCTGTATCATGAACGCTCTCGACGACGAGTCTATACCGCGATATTATGGGATGAGGGTTCACACGGAACTTGCACCGAAGTTGCTTAGCATCTGTGAGGATGCTTTGAACGAGTTGACGTTCGGCTTGCCGCCTATACCAGCTGCACTACCACCTCCCATCGTTTCTTCTTCGTCCCTTCCTCCCGCACAAGCGAAGAACGGATGTTGTAACGACTGGACCTATGCCTGGGAGTCTCTTCTGTCTCACGTTGCCAGTGGTATCGCTGAAACTGGCTTCGTGAGGTATTCTTCATGGCTTACCGATAATGATCCCAAGCCGCGTGTAAATACGTAGAGGCCGTTCTACACATAGCGACAGGAGCGAGCCCATCAGTAGTAGAACTCGACAAAGTACCCGCAGTCGAAGTAGGGGAGACACCGAGAGGCAGCAGGGGTATGACAAGATCTGGTGGAAGCAGGGGCAGGTTAGGCGTGGGCAATCGCTCGTGGAGGGGTCAGACTGGGAGGAGGCGAAGTACTACCCCGGCTAAAGGAAGAGGCACTGGAGTTGGGAGACGTGCGCAGAGCAATGGACTTAGATGAAACGAGTCATTCTCTGTAATGTCTGCCTTCGTCTTCCCTCGTTGGCTTTATTCTCGTCTCATTGCTATTCTTGAATACTGAATTTTTTAGGTTTCTTTCGTGCATTCATCTGATAATTTGTATTCCTAGTGCATTGTATAAATGTTCAAATTGCCTGTAGTCCCACTAACGTTGAAATTGTATGAATTGTCATTCATCTGTAACTATCCGTCCTGCCTAACTAAGTCTATAATTTTGAAATATTGATATGAATGGTACTGCAAGCTTAAGTGTAAGTGTCGTCAACTGGCTAAAATGCTCGCAACTAGTTTCATATGCATGTTGATCGCAAAGGAAGGGTATATCCTCGATAAATAGGATTTATCAATAGAGCCTTGGTGTCCAATGTATCAAAATTAATTAGGTACTAGATTCATGCCACCAACTCTACCTGACGCTTTATCATCGTCGCACACGACTACTCGAGCTTTCAGAACCTCCATCGCCATCTTTACTACTCATCCGTCCGTCATCCTCGTCAAATAGGACCTCGCGAGATCCCTCGCCTTGTGAACTCGAACTGTAAGATGCGATGTTCTTGCCCAACGAGCTCTTCGTAGAGCCCCGTCTTCCCCGTCCGGGCGCGCTTAAGAAGTCGGTCATACTAGATACGGACCCGGCCCCCTCTCGTCTTGTGGGGGTTCGATAGAACTGCTCGATATCTTCGTCTTCTTCTGTCAGCGCCGTTTCATAGGTATTAGATGGCATTGCAGTATTTGGCCGCGAGTGTGGGAGAGAGCGATATGAGCCCTTTCGAAGATGGGCGGCGTATGAATAGAGAAGGATTGCGAAGTAAATCTTGTGGGATGGTACACAACTATAAACGTGGTGTACGACTAATCACAGTCAAGAGACTCACTTTGGCCAACCACGATATAGCAATGACAGCTGCAGCGGTGCCTTTTTCTTGGTTCCATATTATGTTCGCTGCAACTTCGCGCTCTGCGTCAGTTAAGGTATGATTGAGGCCGATTCCGCCCTTTCTGATTTGGTCTTGAGCTGGAGAATTTGCTTGACGCCGTCCGTCATGAGGAGTATACAACCACCACACCACGGCAAAAAAGATAGTCCAAGATGTGGAGAATACGTGATCTGCAAAGAAAAGATGCGCAACATAGAGGCTGTGCTTGGCTTCCTCCTACGAAGAAATGAGATATATTAGAAACATGTTATCAATGCCTTCGGACACGACGAACACTCACTTCCTTTACTACTTTCAAACCCCATACAAATGCTACCAACCCCAGGACGGAGTAGATGTACAAACTTAGCTGAGCAAAAGAGCCTCCAGCACCCGTCAACAAGGCAATCAAACCATACACTCCAGCAACCTTGTTAAGCAACTATGCAAAGAGCTGGTTATCGATGAGAAAGCCAGTGGAATTGAGAGATGGGACGTACAGCAAAAAGCAGAACTATAGTGACACCCGTCTTGAGGTCAAAGGCACCGAGAAACGAGGAAACAGGCCACAGCCTCCATTCAGGACGAAGCATGAGTTTCATACGAGAGTCATGTATCTGATTAAAAGAGTTTTTGTTGGAGAACGATGGACAAAGCAAGGGATGTGAGCCAGCAAAAGAAAGGAGCGGGACAGCGCCGGGACTTGCCTGATTTTATACAAGGATTACATAACGAGTCTTGAAATGAGCCTCAAAGATTTCAGAGTGGTGGAAATTGTGTATCATACGCTGTTAATCTGTAGCCACTCCTTTGCTCTTTTCTATATTCTTGACCCTTTCTCTGCGCTAAATCCTCATATCTTATGGCCGGCTACTTCTCCAACCACTCCCAGTCTCGTCTCTTGGCTAACCGCGACATTAGCTCCAACTCTCAGAATAATACACCTTCCCCTTCTCCAGTAAGGACCGCTCCTCCATCTGCATCTCGCCGTCAACCATCTTCAAAGCACTTTGCAACGTCGCTGACCACGTCTGGAGACGACAAATTACACTCCAAAGAAAAGTCTCTCTCTTCCGCATCCTCTCTCAGTCCGGGTGTGCACCCTCTCAGAAACACGTATGTTCGTACTCTTGTCCTCGCGGACTGTCTCCGAATCTCAAACGTCATGCAGATGGGTCTTCTGGTTCCGTCAACAGCGTGCTCCGGGTAATAAAATAACTAATTACGAGGAAGGAATCAAAAAGATCTCGTCCTTCAGTTCTGTTTGTCTTCCGGGATATATGCTCTTTGATTGTTTGTGCTCATCACATTCCCGGCCAGGTCGAGTCCTTTTGGTCTCTATGGACACATTTGCAATCTCCTTCAGCGCTTCTCCCTACCACTGACTATCTTTTATTCCATCTGGGAGTACGCCGGCCTGTGTGGGAAGACCCGCTCAACATCACAGGCGGGAAATGGATTATACGCCTCAGGAAGGGTATAGCTGACAGAATATGGGAAGATTTGGTTGTAGCGATCATCGGCGACCAATTCGACGAGTGTAAACTAGATGGGGGGAAGGACGAGTCTATCCTGCACTCCGCTGTTGACAGCAGCATCGGGAACGGTGGTGACAATGTCGAGTGGCCTGAGATTTGCGGGTGCACGATCAGTGTTAGGCAGAGTGAAGACATCATCAGCATATGGAACAGAGTTGACGGCGATCACAAAGTACGAGAGAAGATCCGGTATGTGCCAGTGCCCTACCAAACACCAACTCTGTGCTGATGCTTCACTAGCGACACCATACGGACCGTCCTTAATCTTCCTCCCTCGACCATAATGGAGTACAAGTCTAACAACGGTACGTTTAGGTGCAGAAAGGGGCTTATACGACCAAACTTATTTCGGCGTGTAGACTCTATGCAAGACAAATCCAGTTTTCGTAATTCGGCGATCGACAGAACGCCCTTGTCGTAACAGATTTGTTTGTTGGACTCCGTATACGATATGTGTTATTGTTTGGTACGATACCACTGTCTGGCGAAGTGCTGGTGTAAATTGTATCGTGCGAGCTGGGCTGGCTGTAATGTCCTTACTAGTATGATTCAGATGCATAGTGAAATTGTAGCAGTTCGTAAAGATATGTGAAAGGGGATGACCCCAAAGCAACGGTTTCCTTGGTGGCCGAGGTCCCGTATATACCTATCTCAGCACTCACGCCGTCTTTGAGCTGTCCGCCACTAAAGCGCATCCTTACAAAGTTATTACACCGCGTTCGATACGCGTCCCATTGCAAGGCGTCCTCACTGCAGAATATCGCCTTCTAGCTTATAGATTTGTATCCCATTCCCCGCCCTCAGTATCTATCCATGACAGCTTACCCCACCGCTGACGATGTCTTCGGATCCAGTTCTCACTTCCTGTCTCCATCTCATATCTCACCTATGAAATCGTCTTCGCGACAGGCTTTACACGCTCACAGATCTACAGCTTCCTTGCGTGGTTCTTCTCATGCCATGGAAGATGTCGGTGCAAACGGACGGCATCACTCTCTAGCCCATGAACTGGCGGTGGCCCTTATGCCTGAACCTAGCGCAGGGTCAAAGCTTTTGGCTGAAGAATTCGGCATTGAGTACGACGAAGGCGCAGAGGGCATCGACGAGGACGACCAGAATGTTCCACGGGCACCATCATTTGCAGATGAAGCAGCTGCCCAATCCGCCAATGACTCTATCCAGAATGACTCGCCCTTGTCTATCCTCACACCCCCAGCCTATGACCAGAGTCCTTTCAGCTCTCCATCGGCCCATCGGCCCTCCAAACCTAGTGAACAGGATGCGATGGAGGTTCTTGCACAAAATCTTTCTTCTACAGACAAATTTCTATCACATTTACGTCGGCTGGACTTAGACACTGGATCGTTAACGAGCCAGCCAGCCCTAGAGACGTTAGCATCAGATATCATTCGACGGATAAACGAGACAACGCGAGATAGAGAGGGACAAGTACGCGAACTGCTAGAGTACGAGCGAGAGTTTAGGAAAATTGCCGGAGAGGTCGGAGGGAATGACGTTCTCGGTCAGCTGGACGAATTGACAGATTTGGGTGACCTCTTAGACCAGAAAACCGCTGAAATGTCTCAACCAGAAACGCGAACTTTAGATCCTGTTGTCGAGGAGCCTCCACCTTCAGCTATAACAGCTATAAGCTACGGAGAATGGGAGGTCGATCCCGACTTACGTGGTCTTGAAGAAGAAGAGGAAGATGCGTATACCAATATTATGTCCCCAATCAAGGATTCATTTTCATTCCCCCCTCCTCCTGTTATCGGGATTCCTACGCCTGCAAATACCATACCTCAACTTGCCGACCTACGCACCTTCACCACCTCTTTGGTTTCTTCATTGACGGTTATCTCAGAACATGCACAGGTCAATGGAGCTGCTACCACTGAAGCCGGTCGTAAAATCCGTGCTCTGAAGAATAAACTTGGAGGGTGGCGAACTGATCAGGATAATGCAGAAAGAAGTAGAGTAAAGATCGAGAGATGGGAGGCTGGAATCGCAGATAAAGACGTACAAGATGGAACTCCTTCACGGTCCCGTCCATCAAAAAGGGAAGATGGTAGAAAGCTGGTTGATATGCATTTACGTGCTTTTGAGACGGCTCTGAAAGAAGCTGGTCTTAAAACTCAAGCTATAATGGCGAAATAGCCATGGTTGCATCTATCATATGATCTCTCGCTCCTGTCTTGAGTCTGGATTTCGAGTGCATCTTATTACCTGTGGACCGTTGCATCTCCCTTCCTTTTTTTATACCATGTAGTTGTTTCAAACATATCTAATTACACATTTTATCTTCCTACGGTCACATTGTAATACCATGTAAGAAGGCGTGCTGCCATGTGAGATCATGCAGCACTGTGTCCTATACTTCTCTAGATTCTCTAGATGCAAATGTCAATCTCAACCACACGTCTCTATCAGCCCTCGTTCAACCGTTATATTTGAACCTAGAATCGAGGTCAGCTAATCCTGTACATTTGATCCATGCATAGCTCCTTACCAGCTAGTTCTGCAAGAAACGGAAACGAGAGTGAGCGTGGTCTCAACCTTGAGATGACACTGACGTACCTTGCATCTACCGCTTCTTTTCGAACTGATCGTTTAGGATCATCGAGCACCTTTGCCAGTTCCTTAAGGACAGTTGGCTTGTATGGGTGCAATATGTCATAGCGCACAACCTCCGGCAAACGACCCAGGTAGCGCAGTGCGGCAACTCGGACCTTCTGTTCAAGAAAGATGGTCAAAATCATTGCTCCACGTTAACTAGGGCGCGGCTCACAAAGTCTGGCATCTGGTCTCGCATACAATTCTTTAGCACTGTCGAGACTATAGTTGACGCATATTCAGACACGGCTTCTACGTCCTTGGAAGTCCCTTCCAGGACCGCATCAAGGCAATTAATTACGTTGGACCGAACGTCAGGATCCGGTAGATCAAGGCAGCGAATAAGCAAAGGCATGAGCTGCAATTTCGTCAGATTATAAAGCAGGTATAGAGCAAAGGACTCACGGAAGATAATTCACCGATATACACTTCTTTCGGCACGGATTTGAGCAGGTATGTGATAGCCACTAAACTCGCGACCTGACTTGGGGAAGCTAGAAATCGAATAAGCATTTGACGACTGGAGAGGGATATATGATCACCTTCCGATGCCTTGGCACTTTCAATAAGCCGGGGAAGGATGCGGACGAAAAATTTCTGGGCATACAATATCTGAATTGAACAGTAAATATACGAGCCAATTCAGAATTCTAGGGACCTCACCCTAACGACACAATGATTCCGCTTGGACAACAGCTGGTCACCGCCGCAGAGCTCTCCTATAGCCCTACCAGCATCCCAGTTGATAGCCTCGTCCACAAATAATGAAAACAGACAATCGATAAAATTGTCGACGCGCGGATGATTTCGAATAAGAAGGGCTTTTGATATCTTCACGCAGTGTTAGGGTCGATTACACAAAAAGAAGTTACGGACTAACCCAAGTCCAAGAGATGAGTGTGTGTCGTCGCAGGTCTGACGGTATTTCGCGATTTTCAATGGCTACCGACCAATGTTGGTTCAACTGGCTATCCAAAAAGGGAGATACGTCTTTGCAAGGTCGTTCAGTAAAATATATTCGTAATTGTGAGAAAACACCACCTTCTGATCGCTTGTTCACGATAGATGACACAATATGCCATGCAGCTTCTTTCTGCAATAAAGTGCTCGACGAAATATTCCACGCGATCAACTTGTCTAAAAATGCGCTGAGATCTGGGACTGGGATGGGAACCTAAACGTAATTGTATGGTAAAGACCATCAGCGCCAATGAGTTTATCTCTGCACATCAAATCTTACTTCTTTTCGTAAAGGGGTGATACCTGCCGACAGCAGGAAGACTGTGTTCCTTTGTAATTCATTCGCTTCTGGCTACGTTTTTGTGTCAACAAAGCAACTGATAGGTTTGAATCATCACCCACTGAAAATGGCTCGAATTTTGGGACAGCAGGAATGGGTTGGTGACCTTCTGCGACCGCCTTGACGTCCCCAGTTAGATATGCAGAGAAAACTGCTGAAGCAAAACGCTCCTGTCTCCTTCGAAAACATGTGCCATCAATATAAAACTTGTAATTACAGAACTGAGAGGACACACTCACTGAGGAGTAAGCGTCTCCACTATTAGGGAGATTACGCGAGCGGCAACCCGTATCACTCGTGGATCCGACATGAAAGAAGTCTCAGCGTTCACCAATGCAGCATAGACGAAGAGGTTGTAGATGCGGGGAAGTAAACGGTCAACGTATTTTGCTACATCAGCATGCTGTCCGTTTACTTTGACCGTTAGTGTGTTAACGATGGCCGTCAAGATCGAGTGAGCGTAAGCTGTGACGGTTTCTTGATCGGCATCCCCTTCCTTCGGAGTCACTTGAGATGTACAAATCAAATCAAGCTTAGTGGATAGACGGATGACGAGAATTTCAAATAGCTCCTGTTGGGAACACAGTTTGGTGAGTGCAGAGAGCGTTCGCCAGTTCTTAACCCGTTCAGCATTTGCGGCTCGAGGAGGAGCTTGGTCAGGTAAAGAGCTGAACAAAAGGGGAAGCGTTTGCTCCTTGACGTGATGCGATGCTATGGCAGAGATCGTGGAAAGCAAATCTAAAGTATCGTCGCTAAAAATAGTGAACGATAAGCCAGCGTCAAAAGCGAGGAAAAGCTGGGGAAAGACCTAGTGTCGTCGAACTCATTGGAATCAGATTGTAGAAGATCATTGGCATTAAGCACAACGAATCCAAGCTCTTCGTCAGTGAGCAAATCGAGAAGCACCATGTTCTTGAGGCCACAGAGAGCAGGTCGACATGATGCTGGTGTTTTCAAAGCCACACTAAGCACCGCGAGCAATCCATCTTTCGAGGACATCAACGGAGTATTGATCTCGAAATTTGAAGCAGAAGCTGTCTTCTTGGAGTCTTGAGCTGCGGCTAGAACATCCGATAACAACGCAGTGACAGCAGGCCTATTTGATCGCTCGTCGGGATTATTGAAAAGGTTCACAAGGTGTGTAAGTGTCCGAGATACAGTATATCGTGAGACGGTCGCTGCATAAGGGCCTTAATCACTTTACTTGCAGGATAGGTCTGAAAATGACTCACGCGTAGTAACAATGAATGAACAGATAACTTTGATAGCTGGCTTTGCTTGACTTTTTTCCGGCTCTCTCAAAATTCGCAGACATTCTTCACAGATTTGCTTGGCGAGTCCCTGTATGCTTTCGCTTTCGCCTTCACCGTCTCCATCAACGTCGTTCCCATATATGACTCTGATGACAGCTTGCAACGCCTCCAATGCTTCCTTCTCGGTCAGCGGATCGGTTGGTTGGAAAATCTGAAACTCCGTTGTCAACAGAAGAAAAGAACGATCTCGCGAGCAAGCATACCTCCAGCTTTAGTGAACTCCACATTTTAAGGGCCCAACTACGAGCTACATCTGCACCATATGATGGGAGGCAGTATGACATTGTCTGCATAGTGTCTCTCTGATTACGTTACCAAGCTTAGTATTGTATTACAATGAACAAGGGAAAAATAATACCTTGGTTGTGGGAGAGCCTGCAGTCAATTTCTCAAGGAAGAGAGGGATCCCTAGTGGCCCAAACGTACGGGTAGCAGACAAGCACCCGCTACACAAAATAATGGGTCTTTAGCAAACGATAGCCTGCCACATGTTAGTGTGCTCACCGAAGGGCTCTCCGTAAATCATCCGTACTTATACTATATGGGTCGTTGGGTGGGGGTCGAAATGTGATAGGGAAGTAGCAAAAGGTGATGTTGAAGAAGTCCTGCTAAATGATTAATAGACTTCGGCCTTTAGCGAAGGATACATACCTCTTCTTGTCCATGTAAGTCGAATTCTGTTAATAACACTCGTGCGATGGTAAAAGCTATCAGGAGGTTTCGAGGGTCCTTTTCTCCCTCCGCCAAACCGATATAACCGGAAAAGAACGGTTTTCCCATGTCCTTGAGTGCTAGTCAACGCATGAATGAACAAAAAGACGGGGCATGCCATAAGACTGAAGAACCTACCATCACGGTGATTGGCAAGGAGCGTGTCCACGACTGAAAATACAAAAAACCTGGTAGACTGCACAAGCACATTCATCTTAACATGTGCAAAGATGCTGTAAAACTGCTTAGATATGGATCTTCGAGAGTAGTGAATAGAAAATTACGACGAGAGTATGTCGAGCGCATCGGTTGAATTGCAAGCTGGTGATTTGACAAGAAACGAGAGTCCTTTCAGAGCGGGAGTAATCGTTTCCGTATCTTCCAGTTTACTGCGATAGAATGCCACTAGAACTCGCACTTCCGGACATAATATCAGTAAAGTTATAAGAGTGTGAACCATTTGAGTATGATCGCACCTGCTTGACGATTTAGCTTATCGGGAGGATATGTTCCTACCACAGAAGAAAGGAAATTCACGCCTGTATTGAAGTGAGAATGAATTCGGTAAGTTGGATGATGGGTGAAAACAACGACTCGGATACCTTTCGTGCGCAGACTATCTTCCTCTGAAGTCAAATACTCTCCGAGAGCTTTTACGATGTCAAGAAGTGCTATTTGTCCGTTAGATATACCAGATACGACTTCTTCAACTTCCTGATCTTTCTCCGAGACCATCCATGACCGAATGTGCCGCTCAGCAACTTCCATCGTTCACTTTAAGTGTCGGTATGAGGATGTGTAGATCTTGTGAATACAAGCGGACTGACGCGCAGTAACTCCTGGGGATCAAGATTCAAAGATAGCGATATGCTGAAAGCTCCTATCAGATCCTAAACCTCGACGACCACAGTGAAGTATTGGCGTGAATATCCAAGTCCGATCGCGAGACGATCAAATCATATTGGGATTTAGCGTACATGCCGATAACGTTATAATCAGGGCATGTACCCAACTGCGAGTGTGGTATAGTATCCCTTAATTACGACTACAGAAAGTACTCAAGTTGAGTACGTAGTGTTGTACAATGTAAACTAATTTTACCCAGCCCAGTAAAACGCAGCTTCACCATCATGGATGTATAAATCAGAGCAGATCTAGGTATCTCTGCCAATGGCGACGGAGTGGTAATACTCTTTTCCCGGATGCCTCACCTTGAGCGGACATCCACACAATACTCTACCAGTTAGCCAAAGCCGAGCGACGCAGTGGGACGCTCTCGACTTCTTGCTCGTACTCCACTTCAACCCTCGGTCCTGCTGTGTATAGCGCAGTTGGTGTAAGCGTACCATAGTAAAAATGTGTTATTTTTACTTACCTCGACTCGTCTTCCCTGCCTTCTTGCGCGGGATCTTAGGTTGTGGTCCTGACCTTCCTTTCCGCTTGCCAAGTGCCACCGGCGATTTTTGCGATTTATCTTCTTCGCTTTCACCAGACTCTTCTCCACTGGAATCACCTCCTTCGTCGTCCGAACCCCCAGCCTGTGGTACATTTATTAGGGTGTCGGTAGTACAGCGGATCTGGTCACTTACCGCAGCATCAGAGTCTTCCAGATCGCTAAGACCATCATCGTCTTCTTCACCACTCAAGTCGCTCACGAATTCCCTGTCTCCCCATTCTCCTTCCTCTTCCAGCTCTTCTTCTTCACCATCCGTTTCATCGTCAACCAAGTCCAAATTGCCATCCTCTTTCTCCAGGTCTCTATCTACCTTCTTCTCACGGTCAAGGATTGCCTGCCACACGGTCTCGTTAACATTCAAAGGTGCATCACCGTAGGCTTTTGATTTCAGTCTTTCAATAAGTTCTTTTTCGATAGAACGTTCCAAATGTGCGGCGGATAACGCCTTCCTCTCTCGAGTTGCCTCTCTACGGTCGATCTTCTTCTTCACACCAACCAGCTTGGGCCTGTATATACGCTAAGCCTCGAGTACCAGAAAAGACTAAAGGATGGACGTACTGATGGGTCAACTTCAGACGACGCATTTTGATAAGATACTGTGTTATTTTAGTGACACGCTGTTTACACTTGTGGATGGTGAAATTGGGCCAATGTATGAGCTCTTTGTCGATCTGATTAAAACAGGGGTTGGTCAGATTGTACAGGACAGTTCGCGACAAGACACCAACTGACCTGCTCCAAAGCTTTCGAATACTGATTTGATAGCTTTATTTTCTCCCACATGTGTGCTGGTGAATGGGCACGTTCTATAGTCTTGACAAAGAGGTATAGAACACCTACATGGAGACTAAGATGAACGTCATGCGAATAGCACACGAGCAGAATTCCACTGACCATCAACTTCTCGTACAGTTGCATATCGCGAGTTTGCCAAAGGACATGATTGACGGGTACAGAGACCTGTTACATTATATTCGTTTCGACAGAAATTTTGGGTTACAGTTCTGCGAGGATAAACATGAAATTGCAGAGTACAAAAACGGTACGAAAGACATACTTGACTTTATACGAGCAAAACTGAGTGTTGATCACAGACCATATAACATCGTCGCTCTGCATGGTTGCTCAGGAGAAGGGGAGCGACGAGCAAGGGGCTTTGGTCGCTGTGGACGACGATGAGTGCGGCGCTCTATCCAAGTATTTTTTGTGACTGACCGGATTGAGGTGCTGAGGTAATCGCGAGGCTGAGCCAAGCATACGCATTTCCAGCAGGCTCTGCTCGGTAACCGTCCCCGCCGTCTCTGCAGACCAAACCATGGCTGGGCTCATTTCCCCAAGACCACTTTCCTATCTGCAGCATGCGGGGCAGCTCAATCCATACCAGCGTGCCCTTTCGAGATCCGGTTACTCAGAGACCCCACCCATAGGCTCCTCCATGCTGGCCCATCCCGTCCCACACCAGTCTGTGGGCCAGTTCATGACTCTGGGAAGTACCATGTCAAACAACTCGGCAGCCCAGGAGGAGAGCAAGATATACTCTCTGGTAATCGACTTGATGGACCCAGCCGTGCGAGAATCCGCCCTGCTGGAGCTGAGCAAGAAAAGAGAGCAGTATGATGACCTCGCTCTTATCCTATGGCATTCCTTCGGTGCGTGGCATGTATCTGTTCCCCGTGGTCTAACTAACACTCTCTTGGTGGGGCAGGAATCATGCCGGCTCTCCTCCAAGAAATTGTGTCCGTCTATCCCCTCTTGTCCCCCCCAAACCTCACCGCACACGTATCGAATCGTGTGTGCAACGCCCTCGCTCTTCTACAATGTGTTGCTTCTCACAGCGAAACCCGTCAATTGTTCTTGAACGGTCGGTACATTCACACTCACCTGTTGCTTCATGTACTTATACGTCCACGGAAGCTCACATCCCTCTCTTTCTCTACCCCTTTTTGAATACAACTTCAAAAACGCGACCTTTTGAATATTTAAGACTCACATCTCTCGGTGTAATCGGCGCACTCGTCAAGGTATGATATGTCCCAAGGATACACATTTAGCTTACTAACACGAATTTTTATAAGCAAAATGATAATAACACTGTTATCCACTTCCTCCTTTCTACTGAAATTATACCACTGTGCCTTCGCATCATGGAAACCGGATCGGAACTGTCCAAAACTGTAGCTATCTTCATAGTGCAGAAGATCCTCTTGGACGAAACTGGGTTGACATATATTTGTCATACCTATGAGCGTTTCTACGCTGTTGGAACCGTCCTCAGCAACATGGTCAATCAACTGGTCGAGACCCAGGCAGTTAGGCTTCTCAAGCATGTCGTGAGGTGTTATCTGAGATTGAGCGACAACCTCAGGTATGTTATACCACTGCGCTTCGGATAATCCCCGCTAATAACAACGCTTTTAGAGCTAGGGAGGCACTGCGTGCCTGCCTTCCGGAGCCTTTGCGAGACCAGACTTTCAGTGCTCTTTTGAAGGTTTGTGTCATTCTCCACCTTGTATGTCAGAGTGCTAACCATAAAAATTAGGGAGACATGGTCACCAAAAGGTGCCTCACGACTCTCCTCAACAACTTGAACGAGCAGTAGAAAATCACAACCGAAGATACTGCGTATATGTATCATTTCCACTGTAATCTGTAATCTTTCCAGGGACAATGATCTTCGTAATGAGATATCAAAAGTAATTTTTTTCTTGTAGAGGATCCCTTCATCTGCGTATTCCAAAGACTTATTTGATTAATCAAGAGATGGAGCCTCGTGGTATATGATTGATATATGTAGAATACCATTTTTTGTACTTTAGTTTCACCTTGCAAAAACAAAACCTATTTTAAAGAAAATCACAGAGCAAAAAGCATTGAGCCAATGAAAACTAGACTTGCTCCCAATACTAGGTCCGCATTCCACCCGTTCTGGAACCACCACACGCTGATGCAGAGACTGAGAGCTTTACGCACAGTAAGGATAAGATTGGTCGAGACTGAGGAAACTTGCTGAAAAACAGGAGGGCATAGCGTTTGAGACGGACGTGACATTGGCAAAATTGGACCAACTCACAGAGGTTAGCTTGTTGACTCCGGAGACACAGAACAGTTGAGAGAATAGATTGATTGTGAGGACCACGTATGGATACAGCTGGAATGCCGGGACTGTAGAGAGACCACGAAAGCCCTGGATGATGTCTGGGGCAAGCAATGAGTAAAACGGGAGGGATAGAAAATGCTATATGGTTCATCTCAGCCATCTATGAAGGTCCATTTATTATGTTAGTACTTACTGTGTAAAAAACGCCTTCCTTCCAGCATGGCCCATACTCTTTGTACGTGCGTTCCTGGAGCAAACCGAGGGTTCCTGTCACGAATAACGAGAACACGAGCATAGAGATCCCAACAAAGTATCTTGCGCTATCATCTTGTGACCAGGCCGCTGTAGCAGACGGTTTCGATATTGTCGCAAGGCCAACTCCAAGTGAGACCAGAAGAACCGAGAACTTTCGACACAAATGAATACATAACAGACAAATAAAAAAAAGCAGAACTGTATACAGACGACCTGTAATAGAGAATATCGTTTCTTGAGAAATAGATAGCCAAAGAGCATGGAAACCGACAGCCCTGAGGGTCCGGATGAGTTCACACTGTCTTATACAGTCTTATACAGTGAAGAGTACTGACCTGCCGACCGAAAGACTATCTGCACGGTTAATGGTATATTGAACGCGAATACCCAGTTGTTCAATAGTGATCCAGTGGTCGATAATAGAACTTGGATGCCCCAAACACGCAGAGGTACTGTTCGCTTTTTCAGTCGCGGTAGATGATCCGGATGGGTCCAATCTAGGAAACCAGGAAGCGCTTGCACGGTGATAAAGAGTGCTTGAGAGAACGTCAATGCAGAACCTATGAGTATATTGTCAATTAGCTGTCGAATAGTGGTCAAAAACCGTAACACTGACCAATGCGACGGTTCATTTTAAGGAGATCTTCATAAGCCACGACATTTCTGAGAAGAATATATTGATCTAAGTAAGAGCTGATTCTCCTCTCAAAAGTACTACGTACGTGCAGCAACCACCGAAAACCAATGAAAGAGCTAATGAGAAGTCGATGACTGAAAGAGCAGATTGCCGCTCCGAGTCAGAGCCAGGTCGGGCTTTACCAGCACCTCTCCCATCGCTCTGGACGCTCTCGGTTTCTTGAGGATCATCTTTCCGTCCTTTTTCGGTGTCGGTTCGACGGCGAAGACGCAACATAACTTGGACGTGGGGGAACTTGGAGGACGCTTAACTCCCTGGTGGTAGTTACAGCGTTGAAATTATTGCGGCTGCACTCACTCAGAAGAAGCACAATTACGGACCCTCCTTTGTGGGACCAAGATCAAAATAAACCAAAGGTTCTGGTTAGAACAAGTGACCATGAATTGCCATAAGGACCAAGGATCATACAAGTGACAGAATGACAGTCGTGTACCCAGAATAGCCTAGTTTGTAGATGCATAACACGAGTGCCACAATCACAACAGAAATCTTATTACTCGAGGCACTATGCCTACCTGCACCTCAGCTACAACTATTTAGTTTATAGTAATAGGCGGAATATCCTCCTAGCCCAAGCAAATCTCGTGGTAAACTCTCACCATCCGAAGATAAGATCAGACACCTGTCCTATCATCCCTTTGGAAGGAGATTGGCCATTAAGAGCACTAGGCATATTTGCCCCTGGTGCCAGGGGAGTGCCTTGGGCACCACCTTGCTGTTGCTTTGGTGCTGGTGAAAGATTCGATCCCCCTTTACGGAACGCTGCGACAGATGGTGCAAGTCTGATTGGCGTCCCCACCGCAGGTGTGGCGATAGAGTTTGATTTTTGAGGAGAAGTATCGACTGCCATGGAATTAGAGGAACCTTGCGACGGGAAATAATCGGCAGGTGGTGAAGAGAAGACGGAAGCGAACCCCGACGAGCGCCCAAGCATTGCCTCAGCTTGTGCTGGGTCCTAGACAAAGGTCACCTTAGGAAAATTTTAAACTAGTGATTTATGGAAGACTAACCGCCCACTTCACACCCACCATCCAGCTGCCAGAAAGAACTTCGCCATTTCTGCGCACAGCTCTCAGGGCTTCCCCAGGATCTCTATAACCAATTCGAAAACAGTTCACAATCTCTGTGTTTGGTTCGGGGTCTGTAGCATCGCCCATAGACTTGAAATAGTCAACTGTCACGTTGTACTTGTCGTGAGGATAACCAAAAACGATGATATAGTGGGTTTGGTGTTGTTGAGGGGCTGTGGGCGACCGAGACGTAGAGCCATTGAAAGGGCTGTCCATCGCAACGTTCTGCGTGAAAATTATTCCAGCAGATACTAGGTATCGGCTTATGAGACTTACTCTTGGTACACCTCTCTCAGCATAGAAAGGTAACTCTTGAGGAATCTCGTTTATGGAGTTGGTAGGGGGTGCATCTTCGTCAGCAATCGCTTGTCGTTGTCTAACAATTTTGTAAGATAACACGATTTGGAAACGACTTTGGTGCTGCCCACCTTTTGCCTTCGAACATAGATTCCATGCCAAAGTTAGGTACGCGAGTGAGACCATGATTTAGCTTGGCTTTGGTCTGTATCGTTGGAATCTCGTCGACGCGTTGACTGCTTTGTGACAAAGGCTAATGAAGGCTGTCAAGCTTAATAAAAGTCGAGAATGACTATGAAATGACTAACGCTGTTTTGCGCGGCAGACTAGACAACAAAAACACGTCAGCATTGTTTTACAATCCTTTCAATTGCGTAAAGACACTGACCATCATGTATCCAGCTTGATAATGTGTCCTCGATTGTCCAAAGGTGTCACTCAGTGATGTTCCCAGCGAGCCACTAGCACTCGGGCCACCCCAGTGGTTTGTTCCAGAAGCATGAAAATTTGCAGTATTTGACATGTTTTGTGTTCAGTCCAGATGATTCCTCTATGTCTCTGGTTTATGCCACTTGTTAAAACGATATGAGAGTACAACAGCCTCGATGAATAAAACAACTGAGTGGGAGTAGGGAAAGTTCCAATTCAGTCTCGGCGCGTGCATATACGATATCACAACACAGCCACATCCAGTAGTGCGACTTCGTAATTACGCGTCTATGCTCAGAAGTCTAGTGGTAAAGCTCAAGCCGACCTCAGGGATTCACTAAGAGGCTCGGCAGACATATTTCGAATGATTATATATTACTATGCAATTAAACAATTGTAACGAGACGAGATGTGCTTCATCCATCGACTTGTATTGTCAGCTCCTCCAGGCCACCTATCTTGTGACGTAGAGTTTTCTTTACCCGTTCCACTATGCGGTCTACACGAACACGAGAATTCTGTGTACCAGTTGGGTCGTGTGGAGCAGATGGCGTTAGTTGGATGTGAATGGAGCCTATCAGGCTTGACGGATCCTTGGGCCAAAATCGGGGATATGTATAGGAATGCACTCCCTCCACAAAGTTGAGCTGGAAAAGGTTGAGTAATGGAACATCAAGAGTTAAAGTTACTTACTTCCGATAAAGCGGCTTGAATGCTAGTTTCACGGTCCCCTACGTCCAAGCAAAGGACCTTACCAGTGTCGATGACAAGGGGTATAACACTGGCAGCGATCAAAACAGCGATGAACAGAGAAGCGATAGGATCGAAGCCTGTCCATCCATAAAACTGTATCAACAGTGTCGAAACAATAACTCCTACTGAACCAAGGGTATCCTACGACCAAATAAGTTACAATAAACGAGTTGAGTAATTTTGTACTTACAGCCATGACATGTAAGAAAACGCCTCGCATGTTGTGACTATGCCCATGATGCGAGTGTCCATGGTCATGGTCATGGTGAGAATGGTCTTGATGAGAATGATCGTCGTGTGAGTGATCGTCGTGCGAGTGGTCGTGGTGGGAGTGATTGTGGTGAGAATGATCATGTGTATGATGAGTATGGGGGTGATCATGATGCTCATGATTTGAGTGGTGGTCTGAGTGATCATGGTGAGCCATCTGCGTGGGACCAGAAGGATGGTGTCCATGGTCGTGTTCTTTTGTGCAGCAATTATCATTCTCGTGGTGATGAGAGACTGCATCAGCTAATGGCTTTCCCCGCTCTGTTACTTCTGGAGAGTCGTGCATGTGATGCACTCGCTCTTGGGATCCTACTGTTTCGTGATAGCCCGTGCCTTGGCTACCCTCTGAATCTTCTTGAGAGCGTGAAGGGGCTCTCGACAGCTTTTTTTCGTGTTCCGGAGACCCAGATAGATGAGGCTTTGGAGAAGGGGCACGAGAAGAAGAAACAGAGGAAGCTGTAGAACGCCGGTTTGACAGCACGGGTGAGTGTAAGTGCGACTGAGTTGTGACATGAGAATGCCCAGAAGAATGTGAATGTGTAGTCGTCTCAGAAATGTCATTGACTCCATGTTGGTGTTCAGCATGATGTTCATCGATGCTTCTGGTTGGGTGTGAATGGTCGTGGTCGCCCTTAACTAAAATGAGCATCGGTCAGAAAATAAGGTTTAAAGTCGTACATGGTCATGGTGGTCATGATGGCCGTGGTGGTGATGGTGATGACCACCCATGGCAAACATCCCAAATAGATTGATGCCCAATCCTAAGGAACTGACCAACAACAATTGGCTAGTGTTCATTTCAGGGGGGTCAAGGCTATAGAATCACTGATGGTAAGACAAGTCAGACCAAATGAAATTTGGAATACGAACATCCGTTGAATGGCCTCAAATACAATGAAGACAGAAATAAGGATAAGGAAAATACCATTTGCGAACCCTGACAGAGTTTCTATCCGCCCGTACCTGATAAGAAACCGTGACGATAGGTTTATTGGGATGACTTGTTTGAAGAAAAAGTCTGGACTAACCCATATGTAAATCGTTCATTCGAGGGCCACGTTGCCATGATAGATGCGAACAAACCTACACCAATGGCCATACAATCAAATGCCATATGTATCGCTGAACATAGTAAGTCAACATTGATCGTAAAAGTGATTTGCATGGCAAGGTTGATGGCTTACCATCTGAAATCAGGCCTAAGCTATTGGTCCATACCCCGTAAAGCATTTGAATGAGCATGTAACACATGTTCAACATCAAGAAGTAGAATATTTTTCTGGATTCGGGATTGGCCAATATCGTTTTCAGGTATGTCCGCATCAAACGTGAACTTGCTGTTCCTGGTGGAGCTGATAATGTGTAACTATTTCCGGTGTGCATACCTGTTTTAATCGGTTGTAAGCAATTATTAACACGAACAATATGTTCAAAGGAGTATGCACCGTAATAAAGCATTGAAGCAATCAAGAAGTCAGTTAAGCTCGGGTAGTGAGAGAAGAAAGCAGATCCAATGATAGAGGCAGTGATAAAGGCGGACGGAAATGATAACATAAAATACTGGGAAGATTGTGGTGAACTGAGATGCGGTTCAGTGGTAGACGAAGTCAAAAACAGCATCACATATGTTAAGAGGGGGAGGGTTGCCAAATGAGAGAGTGGGACAATAGGCGAAGGTGGGTAGCCCAACTGACAGAAGTGTTGAGTTAGAATTCAAGAAATACTGACAAATGCTTACCATAGCCTTCCGGAACGCATATAGTGGGAGGCCAAGCAAGGCAGCTCCGAGAGTGCTCGTAGCAGTGACAAATGGGGACCCAACGCTAGGCGATAGAACTCCATAAACGTGTTCAAGAGCAATAGAGGCTAGTCCATATATCACGAGGGCACCATAGCTCATGAGCACAGCAGATGTAGTACGGTCCGATGACACAACATCCGACACCATAGATATCACGAAGGCTAGTCCTATAGCAAGGCTCTTCCATAGCTAAATATATGCTTGTGAGTGACCCATTGAACAAATCTAGTCTCACTCACTGAAGTGGGCTCCAACGCGGGCTTCACCCAGATTGTAGAAAAGTGAGTGAACATGATCACACTGGGAAAGTATTGAGTACGTGGTGCATGCTATGTAATTAATGTGCGCACCGAGTGGATGAAATGTTGTTTAATGCTGTGTAAAGCATGCCTTGTTGCACTAGCACCAATACCGAAGAGAAGCCAAGAGCAGACCACTACTCAAGCAGGAATGATTCAGCCTTTCTGTTATCATGGTAGAACTGGGAATCTTTCCTCGATATTGACGTTATTTTTCTTCATTAACGTTCCAGTCAACCCTTCCCATATTATCACACCGAGCCCTCCACAAGCCAGCACTCTCATGACGACCCAGAAAATACCGACATCGAATGATAGCAAATATTCCTTTGCAACATAAAGAGCTGAGACATAGAGCACGTTGGAGACGAGTACGTTTTGCAAAAGCTGGCCTGGTACACTATGCCACATGCACGTCAGCTAGAACGATTAACAGACACGACAGAGAATACGACTTACGACACTTTCGTTGGACTCAAACGTATCTTGTTTCGAGTCCGGGCATCTGGCACGGCCATTGCATCAAGGTGCGTATGTGTGATAACCAGGCCTGTGGTATATTTGGAAAGTGACAATGACAAGACAAGTGCTCAGTTTACAGATTATGTTACTTATGCGATAGATACAGCAAACGCAAAACAGGCAACAGTGACCAAATGTAACCCTAACCCCACACACAACAACTTATCGGTATTGGGCAACGAAACTTTGCCAAGTGGCATTTGGATCGTAATAGCTGTCTGGTGAGCTCTGCATAGGTTGCGGCGTGGAGTACCAATCTTTCAGAGGTGGATTATTGTATGTGGGGTAACTTGGATATTGAGATATGGAATGAATATCGTGATGGTTGCCCCCGTACACATCTTGCTCAGAATGATATGTTCCAATAGGGTATGCGACCGAATCAGAAGTATGAATATGGCCATATGTTTGCCATTGCCCATTACTTTCAATAGCAGAAGGAGGTGTAGATTCCTTTATCGGAAGAGATGGGCTCCCTGAAGCAGGTTGAGAAGACACAGAAACTGGACTCAGAGAAACCAGCGCCTCCTCTTTCCCTGACAAGTCTGAAAGGGGAGACGAAGGGGTTTTCCGAGAAACCAGCCGCGTCATACCACCTAGCGACGAGAACTCTTTATCATGCTTGATAGCACCAGGGCCAAAATAGCTAGCTCGGAAGTTGTCATTTGTTCTGGGCTTTTCCTCGACGGCAGCGACTTGGGCTTTACGTCTTAAATTCTGGATGATGGGCTGGAAAAATACAGTAGTCTAGCTTGTCTTATGTTCTATGAGAAAGGGACAGCTTACTATTATTTTCGCCGCTCGCGGATTCGTTGATACTTGCTCGAACAATTTGTGAGCTGAATCCAGATGCGACAAAGCAGAAGGCGCCAGAGCCATATGACTCTTGGTTGCGATAGCACCAAGAACAATCTAGGGCGAAGCTGTTAATAATAGAATACCAAACGACCATTTAGAGGTACCTACCGCACATGAAAAAACGTGCGTGAACAAAAACCACATGCGTTCGGTGAGAGCAGGTTGTTGGGCGAAGAGACTTTCAATCAATCCCACAAACGAACACGCGCTGCTATACGCCGCCAATACCGACGGCGAATACTTACTTCCAAGGGGATCGTCAGGGTTTTCCTCAATTGCACGTGCAAAAAAACCGCGATGCATGTAAAATAGAGCTGTAAAATTAATGATTTCATTTCCGAAAATAGGTAATGACAGGAGGCTCACTGATCTCTTTTATAGCAAAGGCTATATACCTTTGCATGGTTAGTTGAATTGGTGGCTGTTCCACCTCTTTGCCTAATTTCGTGTTTCCAAAACCTGGCACTTGTAGCGAAGGAGGAAAGTAGAATTCTCGGACTTGTTTATCAAGATGCTGTATGGTTTTGTAACTCGGAGTCCGCGCGCCAAAAGCTTGGTCTTGCACGATGCTGAGACATTGAGATGAGAAGCGGTGTTTCCAAGCAGCAACTGAAATAAGAGGGGGGAAAGTCAGCAATATTTTAACTGCCTCCTTTCTCAAGTATGTCACGCACAGCTCATTTCAATCTCCCCTGTTTCGCTCTGTGTTGTGTTAAATGCCATCTGGCAATCAATATGCGCCAAAGAAAAGGACGGTGGTCGTCCAAAGGTAAGACTCTGCAATATAATTATTTAATGTGAATTCATGAAAGAGCAAAAAACTAAGGAAATTAATCCCTAGAAAACGATTAGCGCCGCGGACTTACTTGCCAAGAGTCGTAGGTATAGATTTCCCACATCAAAGCTCTGCGTTTCGAAGTTTCTTCCGGATCAAGATTCCATTTGCCACTATCGCGATCTCGAAACACCAAGTTTGAATATGCTCTAACAGTCGATAATAGCTTACTCACGAAGACCAATCTACACCAAGATAAGTAAGCAACTCGGTGGTATGAAACGTCAATTAGACCTTACACTATGAGCCATCTTAACCACCAAACCCATCAATGCCCACCGAGGGCCTTCGATGTCAGAAAGGAACATGAAGTGACACATCAGGAGCTGAGAAGGGTATCAGAATCAGACACCATCAGAAGCTATATATCGTAGATGACTACTTACCAGGGCTTGCAGGGCTATTATGGATTGCTCCTCCAGGACAGAATCGAGACAAAGCGCAGCACGACCCAACTGGTAATATTGCTTCGCTTCAAGAGAATGGGAGGGTTTGTCAAGATCCAACAATATGCCCAGACCAAGAACAAGATAGAGAACTCCAAGACGATGAGAGTTCGTAGGGTCATGATTTGAACTGAGGTCAGGGTGGTAAATTCGGAAAAATATCGATTCATAGAATTCTTCTTCGCCGATTGGCGTATACCTGTTGGGAAAAGTGATTCAGTAACGAATCGACGAGATTTAGAGAGGCAACGTACATCCAAGCTGCGTGTCTGTAATATATGCCGATATAATGTCGAGCAACTGCAGAAGAGGGAAGCAAGCTAAGAATGATTCCTCGTGTTTGCTCAGCGGTCTTTGCAATGCTCGAGGAGAAGGGAAATGCATGGCTTAGCCATGGCAGGTCAGAAGGTAAAGGAATTTCCTGATAGATATGGGATTCTTGATGATCTCCACCCTCTTCATTCTATTATAGTAGATATAGCACCTCGAAAGATCGAATAAGAGGAGATAACATACCTGGAGGAGATACTGTGAGCAAGGAGATCAGACGTCAGCGCGAGAATTTCATTCTCATTGAGCTTCATGAACAAACCCATGAATTGGCAGCCTTTCCGAAGAAAGTAGCTCTCCCATGATCAGATATTGACCTATGAAGGCAATGAGGTAACTAAGTGAAAGAGGGGGTATTGCTGCGCACAGAGATCCAATGGCATCGGCAGCTTCATTTGTCTCTTTGCTAAACTCAGAAGAAGGTTGTGGATCATCCCTTTCACGTTCTAGGGGACTCTTGATCTTGAGCAGTTCCGGTGCAAGAAGGGGATGAGGATCTCTGGATCTGGCAGCATGTGCTTCAGAAAGTGCATCCTCTAAGTGTCTTACTCGATGTGCGAGTTGGCCGATTTTGTCATGGAGGACTTCAGTATTTGCTAGAACAAATCTGAAAGGATGTGAGGAGCAAGACGAGTATGGTAATCCGAGACAAACCTGTTTCCTTTCCCCGTAGTCAAAGAACCTAGGAAGCATGATGAGGTTTCAGGAGCCTTATCAACATTCACCAGCTCACCGTCCGGGCATATAGCGGAACAACCCTTCTTAACACAATTGCTGCAGGGGAAAACGCGACTACACCTGGGGGGGAGGGCGCTGAGCGACTAGGATACCTCAGGGGGGACACATAAACAAACCTTAATTTCAAACTAATGGTAAAAGATGAAAATATCAGCAGAGGCAGCAGAAGTGGCACGATATTAGGCACATACCGACGACATTCGGCACAAGATAAAGCGGCACTCCTACGTTTTGGGCGTACAGACGGAAGTATATCTGCAAAATTGGCGTACGCTGGGGAGGACATGGCAGACAATGGTGGTGGTTTAGGGTAAATGGTGGTTGAATTTGGTCAAGGTGCGTTCATTCAAGATTTCATACTCGTGTCGAGTAGACCAATGGTACGACTGTCCTGCACTATAACTAGCACAGATCAGCAGCTCTGCCCTTGTAAACAGAACCTCATAGCGAATCCCTATCGGAGTTCCAATCCCGTAACTCATCGGTCCGAGGTGCCCCCATGTTTCATAGCAAATCTTCCCCTTTCTCACAGTATCAGAATCCTATGCAAACACAGAAACAGCAGAAAGATAACGGGGTTTTATAGTCATGAGATACGCCGAGGTATAAGTGTAATTTTATTCTCGTCAGCGTAAAAAACCGAGGAGAGTCTACGAAGTGAACGATGATACGTGGTCCTCAACAACTTTCTTAATCTTGCCCTCCATCTCAGGTGTAACGTTGCCGGCCGAGATCTCCTCCAGCAATGCGGTCTGAGTGGCAGTCAAGTGCGAGCGGAACTCCGCCTCCCACCGGGTAATTTGGTCAACAGGGATCGAGTCGAGCTGCGTCACACGTTAGATCAGTGACTCGCAAGATAATCGTATATCACTTACAAGACCGTTAACACCGGCATAGATGATGGGGACCTGGATCTCAGTGGGCATTGGCTGATATTGACCTTGTTCTATTGCTAATATTTAGCCGGCATCCCCGTGGTCGTGGTCAAAAAGCTACTTACTCAACAGCTCGGTTAGACGAGCGCCACGAGAGAGCAGGAAACGCGTGGAGGCATCGAGATCTGAACCGAATTGAGCGAATGCAGCGACTTCACGATATTGAGCGAGATAAAGTTTGAGAGAACCAGCAAACTTCTTCATGATTTTGCTGGTTGGGACCTGATTAGATGACGTAAAAACAGTTCAACAGGACTTTACTTACGTTTGGGCAGCAGAGCCGACACGGGACACGGAAAGACCGACATTGATAGCAGGACGCACACCACGGAAGAAGAGCTCAGCCTCCAAGAAAATTTGACCATCGGTGATGGAAATGACCTGCGATACTACAGTCAATACAAGCCTCCATCATAGTTTAAAAATAACATACGTTAGTAGGAATGTAAGCAGACACATCACCACCCTGAGTCTCAATGATGGGCAGAGCAGTGAGCGAACCTCCACCGAACTTCTCGCTCATCTTGGCAGCACGCTCCAACAAACGAGAGTGGAGGTAGAAAACATCACCAGGGTAAGCCTCACGACCAGGAGGACGACGAAGGAGAAGAGACATTTGGCGGTAAGCGACGGCTTGCTTGGATAGATCGTCGTAAATGATCAAAGCTAGGAATATGGAAGTATGATGAGTTCAAAAATGGAGTCGAGCAAGCGCTTTACTCACCATGCTTGCCGTTGTCCCGGAACCACTCTCCCATGGCACAGCCAGAGAAAGGTGCGAGGTATTGCAAAGGAGCAGCCTCGGAAGCTGTCGCAGCAACGATGATGGTGTATTTCATGGCATCATTCTCCTCGAGAGTTTTTACCAACTGTGCTACGGTGGAACGTTTTTGGCCAATAGCAACATAAACACAGTATAACTTCTTGTCCTCATCCTTGCCATCGTTCCAGCGCTTTTGGTTCAAGATGGTGTCAATTGCTACGGCGGTTTTACCGGTTTGACGGTCACCAATGATAAGCTCACGTTGGCCACGACCAATGGGTACCATGGCATCAATAGGCTTAAGTCCAGTCATCATAGGCTGGTTGACCGAGCGACGGGGAAGAATGCCAGGTGCTTTAAGGGAGGCACGACGACGTTCGGCAGCATCAATCGGACCTTTACCATCAATGGGGTTTCCGAGAGCGTCGACGACACGTCCAAGAAGACCAGGTCCGACAGGGACGTCGACAATTTGACCGGTACGTTTAACGGTGTCGCCCTCTTTGATGAGACGATCGTTACCGAAAATGGAAACACCAACGTTGTCTGCCTCCAAGTTCAGACACATTCCCCGGACACCAGACGAGAATTCCACCATCTCTTCGGCTACAAAGAACGCCTTGTCAGCGTGGCCAATAAAGTACTTTACCCGACAACACAAACCTTGCACGTTCTTGAGGCCCCATACACGCCCAATACCATCACCAACACCTGATGCATGTTGAGTTGCTTCGCCACGTTGAGCGAACACGAGAAATACGTACTCAGCACCCGACCGGTCTCCTCAACGTTTCCACCAACTGAGGTGCCGGAGATACGAGACTCCAGTATAGAAGAGACTTCAGATGCAGCTAAATGACGTGTAATAAATAAACACCCAAAATTTTGAAAGGACAGGCGTGCGGAACAGGTTTTGTGAGATACAATACGTGTAGAAACTTGACTAAACACCCACCAGGTTTGGCAGTAGCATAAGAGCGGGACACGAGTGCTACGGGAGCGTTGCTCTGGGTGAAAAAGTTGTTCACGGTCGGGCTCAGCGTTTCGCGAGAAGAAAAAAGCGCACCTTGGGAGCAGCGGCCAACGCAGTCCTGCGTACTGAGTTTCTGAGGGCGATTCTGTGCATCGTGGGCGACAAGAAAAGATGAGGTTGGTAGAAGGAACAAGTGTAAGTCGGTGTTAGGGAATTCTCGGGACAAACTATCAAAGTTATTATTTTCATTCGCCGCCCGAAATATATCCCGACGGCGGCACCTCATATGGATTATTTATTTGCTGAGTCTTCTAACCATTGTAGTCTTCAATGTCTAGCTGGTTAGCCCGTTTTTGCTCGGGGAGCATCAGAAAAGGTTGGTGCGCATTCATAATATAAGCAACTGTACTCATTGCAACTCTGGGTAGTGGGAGTACGTTCTCTCCACGCGCAACCATCGTTGCCCGGCTCGACTTCTGCCGCACTCTCTCTCATACGGTCACAGCCTTTCCAGTACTTCGTCGCGTCCATCGCAGGCCGCAAATATCTTCTTTCACCTCGTGACCTATTAACCGTCCCGCATCTCAAAGATGTTAAAGTAGGCGACGTGATTTCGCTATCAAATATACACGAGCTGGGCTCTCGCGAGTACACCATTCGTGGAAATCCAGACATACCTACCGACAAAGTTAAAGTGGAGGCAACTGTTGTGGAGCACACAAAGGGAAAGATGGAAGTCGTCTTTAAGAAGAAGAGGAGAAAAGGCTACCAAAAAACCATAAAAAACAAGCATCCCTATACGCGTCTACGTATAGGACCTATACATATTTCTGACGTATCACAGTTATCATAGCCCTACTAGTGAAGTTGTTCAAGCAGTATTACTCAATACCTATGTATTGCAATCCGAATATTCATTATAATTTCTGATAGAGTTGCGATTATACTATTGCACTTTTGCATAACAAGCCTATATCTCTCCTTCCTCGGGAGTTTCTTCTCTGATAGACTTCTCTGGTCGACTTGATTTGGCTTCTCTATCATCTTCATGATGATACTTGGCTCGCTGGCTCAGGATATAGTTAGCTACTGACAACTAGTGTGGCCTAACACACTCGACGCACCTTCTCCGCTCTTCCGGCATGCGTCTTATCGTCGTACAAGGTACCCGAGTCTCTCTTCTCGTGCAAATCGTCTTTATACGCTGAAGCACTTCTGTCTCTTTGATCTCGAACCACTTCTATGGTTTCAGCTGGTACTTCGTCTCGACTTGCATAGGCATGGTCAGAACGCGAACTGCGCTTGTCACGCGATCTTTCGTCCCGTCCATCCCTGTCATCACGGTAATGTTTGGACCGGTGTTCTCGCTCCTTATCCTTGTCATAGTGGCTAGAATGGTCTCTGTCACGTTCCCTTGCATGGTCGCGAGGATGTCCATAGCTGTCATCTTCTGTGCTTCGGTGGTGGTGTTTAACACGAGCTTCTTTGTCATGGTCCCTTCCTCTATCACGATCACGGTCATCCTTGCCGCTTCGGGGTGGATCCTTACGTTTTCGGCTCGTCGTAGATGCACCATCCTCCGAAGCAGCCTCTCTCAGACGCTCCTGTAATAGATAAATGTAAGCAATCAGAAAGGCATAAAACACATGGACTGCAAACCTTTTGTCTCTTCACAAACTTTGCGAAAGCTGCACGCCGCCCCTCTTCCTCTGATATTGCCTTGTATTCTGGGAGATGTTCAATAAGTGGGACAGCCTATGGAGTGGAGTGTCAGAACACAATCAAGCAATGTGAAAAAGTTAAATACAGCTTCATATGCCAAGGTGATATCAAGTGGTTCAGGCAACTTTTTGAGAGCATAACGTAAGTCATCCTGTAGATGTCGCTGTTTCCTCTCCATGCGTCTCTTTTCGTCGGCATGCTTTCTCAGGGCTGATTGATGTAACTAAAAGAAGCGTTAACATTATTGATCAATTGCATTATAGTAAGGGCTTACATTATCATATACCTCTTGGAAGTCGGCTTCTGTTAACTTCTGAAGTACATCCGATTCAAGGGAAGCGACGGTCTTGAAGTCTTTGTACGTTGTATCGGGACCAACAGTAAAAACCTTTGTACTGGTATCAAGCGTCTTTGGCTCGGTGTCCGCCTCTGTCCTCGGCGTCATGTCAGAGTTATATTTTCGCATGACTTCTTCTATGATTACGATTTTGGCGTCCAACTTCTGATCTAGACCATCAACTAAGTCCCAGAAAAGCTCGAGAGGATTGGAACCAGGATTTCCCAGAATATTCAGATAGCGCTCATCTTTGGCAAATGATGGGTAGACCTGTTTCCATTTTGTCCTCGCCTTGATTTTACCTTGATCGACCAGCTCCGCTAACAGGTTCTAACAAGGACGATTATTATCTAGACTGGGGCAAGTAAATGCAAGCTTACTTTGAAGCCTTCTCTTGCTTTCCTCTCCTTTCGTATTTTCTCCACTTGGGAACGTCTCATTTGCTCTTCAAACTCTCTTTCCTTTACACGACTGTAATCCTCAAAAGCCAAGAGAATGTCAAGCGTAGGCAGTTTTCGGAGCTCTGAATCTTCTTTCCACTCAGCTGATTCAAGAACAAGTTCGTGAGCTTTTCTCCAGCGCGTCAAAACATCCACATCCAGTTCCTTGAAAATGGAAACCACTTTTGAGACGCTGCGAGCGCGAGCGGCCCTTGTTTCTTGCTAAATCCAGGTGAGATGATGTGCATATAAGAACATGGAGACCATACCACTTCACGCTGTTTCAGCTCCGAGACATATTCTTCAAAAATCAGCTTTCTCTCAGCCTCAACCTTAGCTTGTTGCCAGATCGGATGCTGGGAAAAAATCTTATCTGCAGTGGCAAATGTCGTGTAGTGGAATACATTAGGATTGCCTCTCAACATGTTCCGTATTGCTGGACGAAGCTTAGACAAGCGAGTTTCTCGCTCTTCACGGTCTTTTGCTTTCAGTGCATCTGTGAACTGATCATAACATAGGGCATTAGAGGATTATCATTACAAGAATAGAAGAAAACATCTACCTTCTGCCAGGCAGCTTTTTTCTCGGCGAGTGTATTCAGTGCTTTATACAAAGGATCGGTAATGATAGTCCTCATGGTTTGATCCCAAGTCCAATCTGCGTCAACTCCAGCTTTTCTCAGAAGATGCATAAAAGCCTTCTCTCCTTCTTCGACGGTCAAAAATCCATTATGAGGTATAACGGGGTCATCTGGAAGATTTGGCCGTACAGGCAAAGCACTGGCAGGAGTCAAGGGAAGTGCACCTGTGTGTAAGCTTAATGCACCATCAGTTCCATTCAACTGAGTCGCCTGTGGGTTCGCCACTATCGGAGATGCACTTGATCCGGCTGGGACCATAGCTCCTTGATTTGAACTGGTTATTTGAGCTGGACTGAGATAAAAGAATGTTTTAAGAATAGCTAAGGGAGATTCAGAAGAACAAAGATTACGCTATTGCAGAAGGTGCAGGCTGATTAGCTGCACTGTCTTTTTCAACTTTCTCCAAGAGAAGTAACAATTCATCGGGCATGTCCCATTTAGATTCCTTGTTGTCGGTCTGCAGAGCGTCAGTTGTGGCATGTAGAGGAGAATTTGAAACAAGATCGACGTACATTATAGTAATATTTTCGACCACCAGAAAAATACTCTTTCCATTTTGTCTGACCCAGTGCACGCTACATAGCAGACCCTTCCATCAGCAAATGAAAGAATAGCAGAAAAAATCAGTTACCTCAAAGGGTGTTTTAAGATCTAAAAGCACAGTTAGATCCTGTTTCCCATAGAATATATCTGCACTGACCATCTGGCTTTTCCCAAACGCTCTCTCTTGTACCGGTGTTAAACCAGTAAGTACGTCCCTCGGGGTTTCGATGCTCAGTCTACGACCTTGATCAATCAAGATAGCTACGAGGATATGCTTGTGTGTACTTACCCACATACTTGTCCGAATAGTTAATCACCGTCAGACGATAAACGTGGCTGTAAAGGTTGAAGACTCTTAGCCTAGCTCAGTGAGAATTCCAGTGAGGTGTGATTCCTCACGTCGGAGTTGCAAAATGGCAAAGCACCCAGATTTGGCAACTCAGGCTGGAATTAATGAACAGCCATCTCTTTCGCTCAACACTCATCTTGTAGCCTTCAAGCCTCTTCTCAGTGAATCGATATGTCAAAGCATCACCCAGGTATGTGTCATTAGAAATGTTGTATATGGAAATGATATTCATTCATTGTGTTCATAGATCTCATCATGTGCAGGCGACAACCTGGTATTGGTAAGTGTCTTATATTAACACTACATGTAGTCGCTGAAGGATTTCTTATGCAGCTATTGGACGACTATGTGAGAAATGTGACGGGAAATGGTACGTTAGCATCTCCTTGTTATAATTACTAGTTATTGATGGTCCTGAAGCCCAGTATGTGACTCATATGTCCGGCCAGAAACACTCGTACGCATATGTGACGAATGCAACTTTGGCACGTACGGAGGAAGGTGCATTATATGTGGTTCTCCTGGTAGGCATTCTTTCTATTGACCAATGCTTTTGTTTTACCAACATCTCCATCATAGGAATCTCAGATGCATATTACTGTGCTGAATGCACTCGGTTAGAAAAGGACCGCGATGGTTGTCCTAAAATCGTAAACTTGGGTGCCAGTAGAACGGATCTGTTCTATGAGAGGCGTAGGTTAGGTAAGAACTCCATGGTTATCCATTCGTTTTTCTTCTCAATCACTAACTTACTTAACTGGATTTCAAGGGTTTAAGAAAGGCTAGAAATATCCATTTCATGTATTTTACAATGTCATGCAATGTTAAAACAAAATTGAGTACAATATAAATTTCGGTCATTAACGGTAAACTGCATAAGGAATAATAGGTGGGCTATCACTGGGGTTTTCCAGATTTGCAATTTGACTTGAGAAATCCATGGTTTAGCCATCTGGACAATGAAAGAAATTGGCAAACTCACCGGAAATGCGGCATATCAACTTGAGCTTTGAAAACCATGAATATGTGCTTGTCGTCATGAGTATCCAGTGCTTCACAGTCTCCACATAGGTCCTTCGCGCAGTATGCACATCTAAACCAAGCGCCTTGAATGTGCTCCATGCACCGGTCGCAGAGTGCAGCTGCATGCAATAGAGAATCTAGGTAATCTAGGAGAAAGAATCAGCATATCCTCACATTGTCTATTGCACTATCACTGTACCATTTGGCATTGTACCATTTGTCAGACCACCCACAGGCCCAGCAGGCATTTTATACCTAAAAGTAAAACACGATGAGAAACATTTCCTCGAAAACGTGGATTTGAGCGCACAATTTTGGTAAGAAAGGGAATGTCGACTCCAAGGGCCGCTGCACAGGTCTGGGTAATTTAAAGAATATGTGCATAGGGTCATGCAAACTGTAAGACATCTCTTCGCATGAAGCACACTACAACAATAGAAGAGCGAGTTCAGAATGCAAAGATTTCCATGTAGGGTGCGGGACACTAACCAAACTATATGATGTGGGTGATGATGGACACGTTGTGCACTGATATCTAATTCCAGAGATCGACTACCGAAAAGTCAGTAAAAGGTGTCGGTGATTACAACATTCAGCATACCGTGTTACACCCGCTACAGAATATATGGTGGTCGACTGTGTTCCCATTTGGAGAACCCAATGGGCTTCTCATGCCTGAGCCTACCACGGTGCGAGCATGACTGGAATAGACAGAACTAGATTTGGATTTCGGATTAGATAACGCATGGGCTGCATCGCGACCTGTCCACAAGTGGACAGCTCTGCGGCTGACAGTTTGTACTTCTGTCGTTTCCAAAGGGTATGGAATCTGAAAATTTCATACATTAGGGTGTGTCAGTAAATAACCGACGAGTCATATGATAGGCAAACCTTGATCATAATGTGAGAAGAAATGTGTCCTCCGTCAGCTGAGTCGAGGTTTCCGGGAAGACCAGCAGATTCGCAGTTGGAACAAATATCAACCGAGTCACAAATAGCGCAATGAAAGCGAGCTCCAACAATATCTTGCAAACAGCTAGGAAAATAATGTCAGTGCTTCTCCCAAGGTTGTGGCATCATCACTCACTGAGCACATTTAACTCCCGGGTGCATCATGGCTTAGGAAAGGGGATTGATGAATACTTAAGCGAAACTCAGGCCAATACTTTACTCACATCGCTCTTCAAGGCTGTGGTGGGTTGTCGCAGGGAGATAATCCGGCTCACTGTAAGAACGCGAAGGCTTTTCTGATACCACAAGAAAAGCATGAGAGGGATGTATATCGTGTACCTGGCTATCATATATGTGAGCAGTTAAATCAGCGTAAAAGCAATGTAATATTCACCTGAAACAGGCCCGACACAAATTGAACTTCTGACACGAGGCGCATTGATAGCGCTTGTTAATAATTGCAGTATTGCATGTAGAACACTTGCAACCTTGCATGTCATCTTGTTCTAGCGAATCACATGTTCATCAATACCATGCTGGTGGAAAAGAAAGATGTATACTGACCTACGTCCTCCCAGCCCCAACTTCCCCATACCTTCTCAACGTAGGCGTGCCGTAGTTGGCCCTTTTGCTTAGGGGCAGAACGGCGCCATTGTGATAACACACGTGCATCTTCCGGTGACGACGGTGATAAATTTTCTCCAGGCGGTAAACTTCCACGTAAAGCGTGAATAATACCTGCGGATTCAATGCATCCAGAACACAATTCGTAGCCTGTCTCAACCATGGGTTCTGCAAATCCATTGTGAATTGTGAGACTCGAGGACGAATTAGCATTCTGAGGCAGTGATGGAAGGGGCTTATAGTGTTGTCTTCCTTGTGAACTACCTTCGCTACTGCCATCATGAGATGACAGTGAAGGAGTTGAAGACAGCGTACGGTGAGCCACGGGTGGATAGATAAAGCTCTGGACGTCATCAATCAATACTTTCCCTTTGCCCTTCGTGTAGTTGTGGTGCTGCCAGTGCATCATTGGCTTCTTCTCGCCACAAGTCGAGCATACATATCGTATAGCGTCTAGAGGAGCTGAACATTGGGAGCAATTGGTGAGTTGCTCTGCGGGAGGGCCTGCAAATGCGATGACTTGAAGAACTTCAGGAGGGATGTCGTCTGGTTCCTCAAGAAAATGTTTTGTGAATGGCAGGGGCTCGGAATGGGAAGAATGAGGAAGCAAACGTGGGGCATGTCCGTTTGTCTGAGGGTAACTAGCTACCTCAGAAGGCGCAGGTGGTTTAGGTGGTTTCTGCTGAGAGGCCAACCAAGTCAGCTGCATGGATGTGGGGCGAGGGGGTGCGGCATCGCTAAAAGGATTTGAAGTCCTGTATTTTAGGCTTGGACTATCGTCATATCCCGAATCCTGAATTTGCGAGGCAGAGGAGGAGGAGGTAGATGTATATGAGTAGTAGTATTTTCCACGAGGATCTCGCTGTAAGGCCAAGTCACCATCTATGGGCTCTGGAACTGGTTGATGGTCGTAAGATAGTGACATGCTGTCGGATTCTGAAGGTTCTGGGGTTGCTCCGAGCATTGATTTTATGGTACGGGCATTCTGGTCCCTCAGCCATGCCGCCCCACGATTGTTGGCTGAGATGGAAAACGCATGATCAGAGTTCGATACAGTATCTCTAGCTTCTTCTTCTAGTTTGAGGCGCTCAAAGACAGCCATTGGGTCTTCAGGATAGCGGGATGCAGCTTCCGCGTGATGATCATCAGAGAAAGGATTGTCAACCCCATTCGGTGTCTTTCTCTCCGTGATTGATGACTCTTCCTTGGATCCAGAGTATTCACCATATCCGCGAGACTGATTAGAATAAGCTGTGCTCTGATAGTTCTCGTCAAATCGAGCAGTTCGACCTTGCGCTGATTCTACCATGTTTGAGGACGCGGCACGAATACGTGGTTGACTTGCTTGAAGTGCTCCAGTGTCTCTGGAACTGACGGTCACAGAATCATCGTCAATCTCTGGGGGCGAAGACGAGCTGAAGGAAAACGATAGCTGACTACCGCTCCTTCCCTTATATTCCTCCATGCTGGCCAAGGAAGATGTATCGGATAGGCTAGGGCCATCGTAATCGACAGTGATATGCACGCGCAAAGTGATTTTACGACTTCCAAAGCTACGACCAGATAGTATCGACGCAGCTGAAGATGTCGGGGGATCGTCACTGCCGGCTTGGAAATATTGAATGGCCTCTGTGAGGTCTGTATCGGTCGTGATGTCGGTGACTTCCCCGTCATCATCCTTGTACGCGATAACATAGGGAGCAGCATAGAGAGAAAAACATTGTTCGACCTGAACACAGCCGTGTTGGAAATCGCTTGAAGAACTAGCAGATGGACGATACTGACCTTGTTCCTCAAAAGCTCATAAGAACAATTTCGAGCAGATGCAAACAAGATTCGCTTGTTCCATCTGTCGAATGTACATTTCACAACCAAAGGTCTATCAGGTCGGCCGTTCATGAAATATCCAGTAACTTTGCAGATTCAGGATATGTCAGCCTGTAGAAAGCTGGACACGGATTTCAAGGACCATCCGCAGCTTTGACGCCATACGGCACACGGCTATGCAGTATTTCCTAAATTGTCTTCACTCTCACTCACGGAAGTACTGTCTGACTCTTTTTCATTTCTAAACCACTTTGGGCGTCCATTTCGGTACTGTTGAAATTACCATCTTGCGGTCATTTTACCATGGAAATCTCAGAAGCTTAGACGTTGCAGTCTGGCGTAGGACCGTCAGAAATGATTATTCGGCGCTAGACATAAAGTGTTTTTGGGCCTAGCACGTGACTTTACATAATCTCACGCATGTTTTCGCCTCCAGCGAGTCTTTTGCTTTGCCCAGTCGTGGCTCATGTCATGAAGCACTCAGTTACTGGGGTCTGTTCTCTTAATTATTACTGCCTGGTGTTATTGTTGGTAAAGTAATGGAGGATGATGAAGTCGTGGAAACCTCTGACATTGAGGAGCTCGAATTGGGTAACTGGGACCAGCAATCTGCAACCATCCATATTCAGGACTCAAGGCCACGACAATCTGTACCATTGACCAAGTCCGACGCGCCTCAAGGAGCCATCACGGCGTTTAACGCGTATTCTCATCCTGATTATTGGACTGAGGATGATCATCCATCACCGAGGAAGCGTATAAAGGTAAGTATGGTTAACAATAGTCTTTCAATAGACCTCACCTGTTTCGCCCCTGTTTAATGTCAGATTGATGGATCGGTTTCATTACACGATAAGAGTGCGCCGGAATCTACCAGATGGACTAATACAAATATACCGCACCCTGCGAATGTTTTCTTTCCCATCGAGTCTTCACCTCCGGCACGCGACACTTGTGTACGAGAACGGTTGACACGAAGCCTCAGCGCGAATTCTTTGTTTTCATCGCCCAGAGCTGTCAGGAATAGGAGCGCTCAACCTAGTAGTATTTCTTGTGATGCACCCTCCATTGAGGTTTTACCGGTATCACCACAAAAGGCTAGCGGCGAAATAAACGCGTATTCAGAGCTTTCTGCAAGGGAAGATCATGTTCGAGTCCGGTCCCATGGTGAAAAATATCATCCAAACATATCTCCTCCACGTTCGCCTTCTGTGGATCCGCTTTTACTGTATACGTCGTCAGCTCATGACCACAATTCTCGTTTTCTTGTTACTCCCCCGCGACGTGTCTCAGAATCCAGGGAAGCAGATACTTCACAATATACATCGCATACTCTGTTCGGATCATCAGAGCTGCCATTGGATTCATCTCCACTGACCATCCCGCCATCCTCTCCAACGCTCATCACGTCCAGCCTCACTTCACTATCAACACCGGTGGTACATCATCAGCCTTTAGTTCCCCCGGAAAGATCCAATGAACGGAGAAGCCCACCAGTGATACATACCCTGCAAGTTGAAGGTCTGGACAGTAATCGGTATAGTTTGCGTACTCGTCAAGCAAAACAGTTGAACCCTTATGCATATGACAAGCTTCTTTATAAGCAACAAATGCGCTCCAATCCCGATGCTATTGTGAAAATTGCCAGTCCAACGAGAGGCGCTCGGTCCACAGTCAGGGATCCGGCTAATGAGGAGACTCAAGAAGAGTGGACGATGCCGCAGGATGTTCCTAGTGACGAAGGCAATTCTCCAGGAAGGCGCAGAGGAGGGAAGCAGAGAGTCCCTCTTCCTGATGAAAATATCCAAGCAGGGTCGGGACACGAAGCACACAACTCCTCATGGGAGCCCAGATTTTTGCAAGAATTATCTAGCAGCGACGATGACGATGATGACGCCCGGAAACTAATCCGCGAAGCACGCAAAGCGAGAGAAGGGCGAGCTGGGAAGAGACCAATGCCAGGCAAGGCGAGGAGATTGAGGGCATTCCCATTCAAACCTACGGATGACCGTGGACACGAGAGAGATCGGAGTTCAGCGCCTCTTCCATCACCACCACTAGTCTCCCATGTGAGGATTTCCGCCAACTTGATATGCGCCGCTGAAGATCGTATTTTTTTGCTCCTAGCCTGATAGCCAACCAAGGTCGAGACGTCAATTTACTCCTATCACCGATCCCTTGTTACAATCGGCGAGTGCAACATCTAGTAAAGTTCGCCTTGAAAACCTGCCTCATTCCCCTATTTTCCACCATTCTGACGACGTAGGAGATCAATTCGATGCATATGGTGATCCCAGTGATATGGATAACGATAATATCACATTCCCTAAGTCGTCATCACCAAGCCTCCCAAAATCAAGTACAGGGCTAAGTGATGATGCAATAGGGAACCGGTCATTTCACCGCTCTCGCAAATCATCTAAAGATTCTTCCTCCGAGGAATCGTCCAGTACGGACTTGAGTCGGGATATGGATACAGAAGATCGTAAACGCTTTCGTGTTCTAAAGCGGATGATGCCGGCTGCCATGATCACGCGGATGATAGAAAAACCGAAAAACCAGGTGTCTCAGAGGCAGCGTACAACTGCGGAAGAAGGACCACTATTACCAGGCCAAGCTAGGGCTCGATTTCGGACCCGATTCGACGATCTCGAGATCAGAGGAGATTCCGAAAGTTCTGACATAGAACAACCACAGGCGCCTCAGCATGGTACGAAACACTTAAGGCTTTCTTCTGACTCGGAAGTAGAGATTGTCGAGATGCAGTCGAGAGCAAGGGATGGGGGAACTAGGCGTGATATAGATCTCTCCGCGAGCTCAGACGAGGTTTTCAGTAGCGATGATAATGTCAACGATGATACCATAAGCGAGTGGCTCGCCAGTGGGCCCTCAACGTCACATTCCCGTCCTCACCGCGAGGAGAATCTCATCGACTGGATGTTATCACGAACCAGAGCAGTAGGCAACACGCGAATATCCAAACGTCGACCTAAGAAGTCACACATCCGCTCTCGCCCGTCTAAAAGCATCCAAACTCGTCTTACCACTCATGGCCATTCCGGGAGCAGCAGAAAACGAGCAAGTATGCCGGGAGCTGGAGGTCATCGACCTCGTGTTCGTCGGGAACATCGACCATCTCGTTCATCTGGGGGACAACGTTCAACTTCGCAGGACAATCATTATTCCGGGGCTGAGTCTGAGGACAATCACGCAGAAAATGTCAAGCTTAAATCCAAGAAGAAGCGACAACATGCAGATATCCAAGATCATCTGTATGTCATACCCGAGGATAGTACACGTATCACATCTCGTTATCGCGATAATAACAATGAGGACACAGTACATCACAGTGCTGCTTACCAGGAAGCTAAGGAACTACTTCGATACAAAAGTCCCATTGTAGAAAACGATGTAAGCTCAAGGCACTCCATTCCAAGGCACTCCACTCCAGGGTTATCGCCTCCCAGGCGACGGCGAACCCATGCTGCGCCGCATATGATGCATGATGTTGCGAAGAGTTCTACAGCAGTTCAGAGATCCATCTTCGAGTTCGCAATGCCAACCTCGCGCCTGTCCCGTCATATCCCAGTTGACCTCGACATTCACCCGTTCGCTTCTGGAATGGCTTTTGATGCCACGACATATATTGGGAAAGGTTATCTCCACCAGTTCACATCTCTAATTTCCGGTCTAGCCCCCGTCACTGCACCGATCACATACAGCTTTCAAGGTGTAGATCTAGGGCCTACGACACCATCTTCTTCATTCTCATCAGCCTTGGCGTCAGTTTGCGACAATATCGTGCAACTCTTCGGAGGATTTGGAGACTTCGACGATGTAGAGGTACCAAGAGATCTGGAAAACGTCATGCGTGTAATATGTCACTTTACCTCTTGGTTTGCTACCACCGCAGACGAGGGGGAGTGTACAACGTTCGCTGTCCCTGTTCAAGAACACATACATAGCTTAATCTCCCGCTTGGATGAACTGCCTTTAAGTGCGATCTTATTGAAAGCATACTGGTTTGCAATCGAAGTTTCCTTCCGTCTCATGTTTGCTCTTAAGAAAAAACAGGGATGTTGGACTTCGTGTAATATCGATCCTCATGACTATGTCCTACCCTTGTCACGTCGGCTGCTTGGATTTGGTTTACGCCAGTCTCTCGATTCCATCGATGGCGAGCCAGGGAGCCTGAGTAGCGCTTCGACCGCTCAACGTGCAGTCGAATTGTGGATCTGCCTACTCCATTTAGTTTCCAGCTGCGATACTCCGAACGATCTACCTCAAGGCCATCCAAGCCATCCTTTTTGGAGGACTGTATACCAACTATTGCACGATAGTCAGAAGTCTCCTCAAATCAGTCCCAGCAGGAGCGAGTTCATTTGGCATACCATTTTCAGTTTTTGTGCGCTGTCCCAGTTTTCGATTCATGGAATGACCACGTCGCACTGTAGATTGCCTGCTTCTTGGGAGCTTGTATCTTTCGCTCTCAAGCAGATTCGGCTGACCGCAGATCCTCAAAGTGACAGTCTTTTGTCAGATCGTAGCCTCGGTAGTCGGGACGAGTATATTCATCTGATCATCTCTAGATGTTTCTTGCTATGGAGCAGGTGGCAATGGCGCCTCGATGATGGGTTGACAGTGTTTAACCAAATCATCGAAGTTTTCAAAAGTCGTAAATTCGCCAATCTGCTTCGGGAAAGACCAGACTTCCCTACTTTCATGCTGCAGAACGATTTGAATCTGCTATCCAAAAGTAATCACGGCGAGACTGCTTTCGAGCTGTTCTTGAAACTCATCGTTCAGGCATCGCAAGATCACCCGGATGGTGACGAAGATGCCCGTCGTATGAAATCATCCCAAGTTAGGAAGCTACTTCAGCTAGCCATTCCGGTCGGTTCTGTTCCATTCACGAAAGCCGAGCCGCCTAGTGCACATGAGCTCTCCATGCTCTATAATCGATTTAGTGCTTTAGTGGTCGCCATTCATCTCGATCCAGTTGTCGTGAACCTTCGACGTCGACTAGCTCAAGCTCGTCGATACGTAAATTTCAAAGAAGCTGATGATACCACCAGGCTTGCATGTATCCGAGGGATGATGCACTTTGCTATCATGTTGCGACATCATTATCTGCCATTAGATGATCTTCTGGCTTGGTTGTCAGAGATGTGTGAAATACTCCTCTCTGAATTCAAAGAATTGGACGTTCCGGCAAGCAAAGATGGTAAACCTCAGCCAACAAATGCTGTCAAAGACAGGATTATTCTGGCCATTCAGGTTCTCCTCGGTTCTGTTCGTCGTATCATCGAAACTCCTAGCATGGACGATACCCAAAAGCCGGCTGAGTATCCCGACCCAGCTTTACTGGAGGGTCGTAAGTACTCATTGATACGCATGTAATTTCAAAATCTCACTTTCATCCGTAGCATGGGTCACACAGATATTCTCTGCCTCGACGAATCTTGCAAGCTTGTCGAAAACAGGTGAAGAAATCAGGCGCTTAGTACAGTCCTTCCTGGATGCTCGCACATCGGTCATCCCCAATGCTCCTGTGGCAACCACAGTGTCCGTAGAAAGCCAGGAAAGTCAAGATGAATATGGGCAACTGCTTTGGGACTTGGATGATCCAGAATTATTGGCTGCTCTCGGCGACGATACTGGATCCTCCTTAGTAGCTGACGTCAAAGTGAAGGAAGAAACGGTGTGCAAGGTACGAATGTATTCGGTTCGAGTAGATCTTTTTATCGAATCCATTGGCATAGGTCATCGACAAACACATCTCACCAGCCATATATCGGTTGGTTTGCAAACATTTTAGCGATGTTTCTGCTCCTTCAATAGAAGACTACTGCCGCACCGCTGATAAGTGGATTGATTGTTGGGTGGGATGTGCTAGTGTTTTGGTCCAGAATCGAAAAAGAGTGAGGCTTCGTTTCAATGTTGCCCCTATTTGTCTTACCGACAAGCTGCTCAGGATTGGTCGTTGTTCATGAAACTTGGTCCTCAGTCTTGGGAAAGGATTATTGATCCTGCCTGGCGTCGAAGAGTTGGCCTTCGATTCACGTTTACGCTTCTCCAACTTGATCGAGGCGCATTTAATGTAAGCATGGTTAATTGTTTTCAGGATATGATTATTGAACATTAGAAGTCCTACAAGGATTATTTTGTCGAAGTATTACTAGAATCCATCGTCTCTGCCACCGTGACGCTCGAACATGAATATATGTCTTTGTTGTTCTCCATAGACAGACTCCACCATCCTTTGCTTCGCGGAGTCGATGTATCAGGCCTTTCACCGGATTATAAAGCTTCGAAGGCTCAATTTAAAGCGACACGGTTGCAAGTACTGGATGGTAAATCTCATTAGTTTCATAATGTAGTGTTTTATTGATGTCGTTCTGGTCAGTCGTGTTCTCCAACCTCTCTACGAGGCTACGTCTCGATACCAGTGATGGAAGCCTGAAGGCCGAGAATCAGGCCTTTGTAGGATTTTTGGTCACCTTGTTCACAACCATGCATGACACGTATGAGGTCTGCATCCTCTCTCCATGTGTTGACTCTCACTCACGTGCGAAATATATAGCACACAAAGGTCCGCAAGGAAGACAACACCAGCTATTCTGATTTCTGCCGCCAGGTTGGGAAGTTTCTGCTGCGTCATCAAGAGCTGATTTCACATCCTCGTCTCCATCGATGGGTTGATTGGGGACGAAAGTTAGTTGAGGAGGGTGTTCCACCTGTGCCTGGTAGTGATTTGTAACAGTATGGAACTCTTAGGCGTTGAGCATGCATGCTAGACTCGGGTGGTCATTGATACAATGCATGATTTTAATCTTGGAGTAAAAAACCAGCACTAGCACGAATTTCTTAGTGACATTAGTCTGAGAGTCTTTTTATATGCCGTATTTTTCGAGGTAAGGGACGATATGTTTTCCGAATTGCTGTGGTAGAGTATCCGTAGTCACCTAAAACAGTAAGGGCGTCTCACGAAAGGAGCAAACAGAAGTAATTGTTGCATTTGGGCTGTTGTTAGCTTTCATGTCTTTACTGGAAATCCAACCTGGGTCTTCGAATTCGTAGCCTTAATTATCTTTGTATTGGCCCTATCAAGGCATGCCGGAGAGTCTTTTGGTTCCCTCGGTATTATCTGGCCTCGAGGCTGGGAGTATCTCGGATACTGGTTCAGCAACAGGCCAGGACTTATCAGTCCCCAGGTTTCCTCACACGCGTGCCCAACTGTCGTCTATCGCCCGTCAACACAAGCCATTGGAAGGATACGATAGTGATGCGGAGGGCGACGATACCACTCGTGTCAGCAGCTCTCTTGTCAACAAAGTCGTTGCTCTGCTCGATGGTGAGCATGAAGATGAGCTCAAGGCGCTGCTGAAGGATGCCTTTGGCGTTGATAATGATATGGTCAGTGTCGTGTTGCTCAAGTTCGTAAATTGTATTCCTGACGATAATACTTCAGGTGGAACAGCATGTTTTGGATTTGATGCATAAACATCGCGACGACGTTGCTGGAGTCCCATTTCTCTTCTTAACACCCACTCGGCGTCCATCGCGACCTTCATCTCGCGCGTCGTCTCACTCTGTTAGAGTCGGTGGAAACCGACCGGACACGCCAAATTCGGTCCCTAGCTCTCCTCTCGCGATAGCCTTTAGAAGGCCTCACACCCCTGCAACTTCTCCTCTGGCGGGTGGTGCTGGTGTAGCCTCTTCATATATGTCTGCCCGTAGCGAATCCCCTATGAACTCTCCTACCTTTGCGCACGCTCAGGCAACTCAAGCTTACAATCAGTTTACGTCGAGTTTACCCTCATCACCGTTATCGTCACCTCGTTTGCTTAATGCTAAAGCTTCCGAGTTCAAACCAATACCCAGACCTCTCTCTGCAGCATCCTCAAACCCAAGCTCATTTCCTGGTTATAGAACCGAAACCCCTTCTCCAGATTTGTGGGCACATAATTCCTTGAGGGCAACCTCAAACCTGGCTATAGCAGCTCCCCTGATGCCTGACCAGGGCCTTATGCCTCGAGCACTCACACCGAGTTCTCTTCGCTCCTCCTTACGTCCCAACGATAAGGATGACGACGACGATCCCTTCGATCCTTTTGCCACTCAGCCGACCAATCGATCCTTCCATCCCATAACAATAACCGATTTCGATTCACAGTGGTCTGCTACTCCGTCATCTGATGCCTCTATTGGAAGTCCATATATGAATGATGATCAAGGACAACACCAAGATGCATATGATCCTGGAAATGCTGCTCTGGAAACAGACTATGAGGCCGCTGCATTGTTGACCGATGGCATGACGCCTTTTGATGTCCTAAGTTCCGTCTTCGGTTCAACTCTCGCCCCTTCAGAGCTCGAAGAAGCTCTGGCGAATAATGGCTATGACTTTGAACGTGCTATGGCGTGGCTTGTGGATCGTGCACTACCTACCTTACCTCAGCACCCCGGACCTCAAATCAGAGTGCAGCCAATGGGCGGTCGCGTCACCTTAGTCTCCAGAGAGGGGACAGGAGGAGCTGTACGTACTGGTAGAGCTGGGTATACCCTTCCAACTGCTTTTCCGGCACGACCCATGCCAAGGCCAGTTCAAGGCCGCCCAGTACAAGGAGGTAACCGAGTTTGTCGATACTTCGTGGCGGGAGAATGTTTACGGGCGGACTGTCGATTCAGGTTGGTGTCAGTTATGTTACTGCTGCCGTCACCTTCATTTTCTTTCTTTATAGCCACGATCTTGAAAGGGCTCTGTGTCGCTTTTGGTTGCGTGGTACCTGTGCAAAGCAAGATAATTGCGAGTTTTTGCATCATTTACCCAAAGATGTCGACGTTTCGACCATTACAAATGCATTCTCTCGTACAAATATAGGTACGAACAATACGTCGAACCCCTCGCCTAGTCCACCACCGGATGAATACCCTGCCCTCGCCACCAGTAACGCTATAGCAGGCCGAGGCAAGAGGGGAGGACATGGATACGGTCGCGACGAAGTGGTTCACCACGACCCCGGGAGAACTAGATTCGCTGCTGCTGTCAAACGTGCTCCGCAGGTCCCCGTTCCGTCAGACTCTACACTGGCTGCGCGCCGCGAAGTTATGGGTAGTTCAGCCGATAACCTGCACCACCGATCTGCTATCGTTGCACCAAGGCCATCGCCTCGCTTGAAGTTGCGCATTCCTTCGCTATTGCCCACCTTACTTACGGGTGAATCGATAAGTAGTCTATACATGGCATATCGTTCACGGGCACTGCAGCTGGGCGCTGCTCGCAATGCTTGCCTTTCACGCGCTGCAGACGCATGGAGGCGCGGTGATGGTGCAGCTGCTAAAAGGTTTAGCAGAGAGGGGCATGATCTGAACACCAAAATGGGCACCGAGATGACAGATGCCGCAGGTAAACTGGTTCGGGAACGTGCAAACCTTTCTGAGCAGGCCGTAAAATCAAGGGAGCTGAGTTGGTCTGATGACATAGGTGACAGAACAGCCCGGGGTCGGGTTTCAGGAGGTGGTTTGGGTGTTTGTCTAGGGATTGCTCGAAAAGATATTGGGGGCGAGGGTAAGCTGACCTCCGATGAGAGGACAGAAACCATGTTGGATCTACACGGATTACATTCCAATGAAGCCACAGAGATCCTTGAGGAATTCCTGCTTTCGGTAAGTGGCATAGTGAATTGACAAGTCGCTGTAGACTGATGTTTTGTTATAGTTGGAGCAGGAACATTTCTTGGGACTGGGTGCGTACTTTTAATTACACTTTAATCACTTGATCTGACATGCATGTATGTACAGCCTATGTGGTTGTCGGTGAAGAAAAACATACCGGGACTCAAGACGTTGCTCGTGGTGCATCGCGCGCTCGCCTAGCTACTGGAGTTCGAGAATGGTTACACCGGTGGGGTTATCCCTGGAGCGAGCGTGATGGTGTAATATGCGTGGATGCACTTACACATGCTTAAAAGCAAATTTGATGCTAAGCTAGACAACGGATTTTGATTTATAGCTTTCTTTGGTCCTATATTGCTTGTATTTGTGGGATGTTATGATTAGGTAGATAACGCAAAATTTGTACTGGTGTAACGTTGTTCCTGTACATGCGAAATGAAATTAAAAGTGACATACTTTATACCCTGCACAAACCAAACAATTATCGTACTTCCTGGATCATCGTATGCTGATAATCCAATGCTCTCAATGTCGCCTACTATGCTCTGATGCTACATGGTAAGCTTACGAGCTGAGCGCTGAACGTCAAACAGGCCGTATTTCAAGTTGTTTCGCGTAGTAACATTGCCACATGTCAGGCGGGTAACGTGGCCAACAACTGCCACTTGCCTACGGCGCAACTCTGACATCCCACCACACTGCCTGTCTTATAGTCAGGACTGGGTCATTATATCCTTTCAGACTTCTACGGCCATGTCTGTTGCTCAACAAACCGAAGGCGAGGAGCAGAATCCTCGTACTTACTCCATCGACCTGAGTCTTGAGCTGGAACACCAACTCAACAACGAGCCAGATGCGCTCGACTCGCCCACTGCAGAAAGGCCACATTCGCTTGATCCACATGTCCTTGCCTCCATTGTCGCGCAGCTCAGGACGTCACTCTCAGATATCACAAAGGAGCGCGATGATCTCGTGCTTTCGCTGGGAGAAACCCGAAGTCGCGAGAACGGCTTACAGGACACGCTGGCCCACATGACGCAGAAATATACCAGAATGCAAGAGGAACTAGATATAGCCAATGCTAAAATTAAGGATGATGAAGATGCCATTTCTATGCTCAGAACGAAGGTGGAGGAAAGCAGGTTCGGAGCTGTCCACTCTTCTACTTCGATGTTCCAGACTAATATATATAACATTGATAACATTAGGCGCGGTCTCATGAGGCTGCAAACTGAGAGTCGTCGAGCGAGCCAAGTTCCTGTGGGACTTGATTTATCTCGCGCGAGTCTTCCAGGACTTGGAGGTCCCTCGTCTTCGAAACGCACTTCCTTCGCCCCGCCCAGCTCACCAGGAGTTTCCCGTATCAACAGTCATAGACGTATTTCCTCGGTCTCCGATGCCAACTTCAACATTTTATCAAGCCCTCATATACCTAATTTGTCGTTCCCTGACAACAGCACGAGCGTCCCCGGAAACTCTAGACGAATGTCAGGGATCTTCGGACGCACATCACCGCAACATCTTGATGATCACACAGACGATAACGCTATAGCCGAGTCAGAGTCTTTGCGTTCGGAACTCAAGGCCATTAAGACTGAATTGGAGGAAGTCAAGCATGAGCTACGGGAGACATCTGAAGCAAGAGAAGCTTCAGAGACTTGCGTGAAGGCTCTTCGAGAGTTTATACAGGAGTATAAGGTTGGCGAGCAACCAATTCCAGGCGACGATCTGGTCAGAAAGACATCCAACAGCCCTGCGGGCACCGGCCGGTCCGCTGCAGAGACGCACAAGAGTAGTGCTTCTGGAGGGGGGTGGGGCTTCAAACTTTGGAGAGGGGAAGAGACGACGAAGACAGTTCCATCAAACATCCCTGTTCCGGCACCTTCCAACGCTTCTAACGCTCCATTGGCGAAGAAGCTGGGAGGGTTTTTTAGTTCTCGGTCCGCACCGTCTGGAGAATCATTCTCCCCCCTACGACAGTCTCAGCTCCGCGAGCAGGTCCCGCTATACAATGGACTCTCTGATACATCTTCTGTTGAAGAATCTGTAGCAGAGCCCGTTAGTCCATTGACGACAGCAAGCGACTTTCCTGCAGGGGTGGTAGTACGTGATGTCAGCGGTCCACTGTCGTTGGATCTAGTGGGACCAGATCAAGCCAAAGAGAGACCCGAATCACAGATTTCCTATTCTTCAAAGGGAAATTTGGAATAGTTCGCGCAATTGAGTGTTTGTCGATTATGAGGTCAAGACTTTGTATGCACCTACTTAATGTTCCTCAGATACCCGTACATTACGATTCTTGGAAGCCTCAAAGGTCTTTTACGGAACATTGCATGCACCCAGGCTCAGTTACTTCACCAGTTGACTATGGCGTATATTATAAACTGTAATATGATGTTTACAATCCGGGTCTGTCAAAGCCTTAGAGAATATAGATAGTAGTCATCGGTCTGGATCCAGAACAGCGCGAGCGTATTACATTACGGAAATTACCTATGTTGAATGCACGAAGTATGAATGCATGAAGTATGAAAGCTAAGTAACAGTAAAAGTAAAATAAAGATCTAAAAAGTACATAGAAGTGAAAGGGGCGTGTGTTAAGTAGTTTTGGTCTTGGTCTTGTTCCTGCGAGTTTCGATATCTTTCCTGGTCATGCGGGTCCCCAATAATGTATCCCAGTGAACAAAGAACGGTTGAGAGAAATTGGACTTGATGCCAATTGTCTAATGAAAGTAATGATGTCAGCGTCGAAAAGGTATTACAAGCCAAATAATATACCTGATGGTGTATGTCATGATAGTCTGCGTTGTTGGTGCTGAGTATTTGAAGAGGGTCGAACGGGAAATTATAGCCACAGTGATCATCGACCGTTTTGCAGGTGCTGAATGCAAACAAGAGGATTGATTGACGAATGGTCAAACAGGATAGATACTCGGCAACCATGGCACCCATCGTATCCAAAAGGAAGCCTTCCACAGGATGGTTATACAGCGCCCCGAAAGCATAAGGGACATATAGCCTGTGGTGTACAGAATGTAAATGCTTGTACAAGAACTTGTTGGTGTGCATCAAGCGGTGAAGGAAATATTGCCATGTATCGATTACGAACCTAAAGCGGTGATTTTAGTAAACGATCAGAGAAAGGAGTTTTATAGCATATAGACGCACATAGCAAAGAAAAGTTGAGCCATTGGGATTCCCCACCAATAAAGCCATTGCACTATCCCAGCACCCCTTGACTCCAGAAAATCCTGACCTGCTTCATCCCCTATGGTGCGATGAATGATGGAAACTAGGATCCGACCAATGGTTGACATGGCTTCCTGATGGCCAGAGAGTGTGTATGGTGGAGCATCCGTCAACCAGAATATTCCTAACATCGTTTGAACAGAATGTTGCAAAACAACGGCCCAGACGACGTCCCAGCGTGAAGCCAAGTTGCGAGATTTGACTTCAGCGGATTCGTGTATGCGATATCTGTCCAGCCATTTCCACCCGGATATGTCGAGGAGATGAAAAAAAAAAGAGAGCAGCCAGTAGGCAAGAACTGGGGCAGCGAGAGCTAGGGCATAGTCTGGTATGTCTCTGAGCAATGTCGGACGATAACTGAAATAAAATGGTACATCGGTCACCGGTGTACATACATCCTGGCCGTCATAGAAAGATTGGCATGTTGTGTTCATGGCGAGAGGGATGGGATCAAGGAGCACAATGCTCAGATTTCGCAGAACTTATGTCGATGGAGTAGCAGTGTTGGCTTGAATACCACCGTACGACAATTTCTCGATTTTCACATCATTCCTTACAGCGTACGTAAGCTTGCCGCACAGCTTTTCACCGCGTTCTGAGTTACGTTTCGGATTTCCCCTTTGCACCAATTGTACATGTCATGCGCTGGGTTATTACACAATTACATGTTCGCAACCTGGCACCAACGCTCTGGCAACCTGGCTTCCCTAGGGATCATCCGGGGTCCTTATAACCATCAGTTGGAATAATGTGGAGTTGAAAGCCAGCATGCGTACTGTTTTCGAACGGGGAAGGGTATAGCATCAGAATGGGCACAAACCAATGTCAGACGTGGGAGGTGCTGCGATATAGGTGGCGTTACGAAATCATATGGCAGCTCAAGGTGAAGTTTCCAACTTACCACCGTCTTCTATTGCAGGACAATCAGCATTTTCAATAACTCCAGCGTGTGTCAGAGTTGAAACAGCGAGCAGGAGTGCAAAGAGTCGATAGCTAACAGAGAATGGCGACATGGATAGCTGGAGATTGGTGTTAAGCTGCAAGAATACCGTTAAACCGGGTACGAGACCTTTGCCAGCCATTATAAAACTTTCAGTGCATAGGGTTGAATCGTATCAATGAAATAGAAAATGTTTCATATCATGGATCTATCACTAACGTTTTATTTATGACATTCATTCTTCTGTCAAAAAGCTGTTTTTACCATGTATGGCATCCGTCGACGTCAGGCCAGAAAAGGTGCAAAAGCCTGCGACATGGCTATATAAAAACCGAATTTTGCGATATTTCTGATACCCTACGCTCTGATCCTAGGAAATAGATCAAGGAAATAGTACAGCCGTGCATCAGTTTGAAGATAAGCCACTGATAAGCCCCATCTGTGATCTGGAAGTGTTCAAAAAATGCTGTACGTGCCATCCAAACATCGATATAGCTTGTCATCCTGCTGATGGATTTATTTATATCATAGCCAAAAAGTGTACCGGAAAACTACAAGTTCCAGGAACACTACGCTAACATGTACACTGCCAGTGAGTACAGTACACTGATGCGCGCAGCTGCATAGAAAACACACGATCTGATCTGACACAGATTCTGACTAGGCTCAACGCAATGTTTGCTAACCGAGCCAAGGCTGGACGTTGTAATGCATTAATCATGACGCTTGCCCTCCATCGTCCCTGAACTTATAGGTCAGGTTTTCCTCTTGAACTTTAGCCTACATGTATCAACTGACATCTACAAGTAGCGTTTCACTCGCGTCTGTAGCGGGTGACGAAGGTGACGAAGGCAATCTCAGTCGCAGGGATACTGACCCGAAACTCCCCTTTTGGGCTATTCTGGTCTGCATTACTTGCACAGTTGTCAACCTCGTATCTGTATCACAGCACTCACGCTATGAGTCGCATCCGTATGCGTTCCTCTCGAACACGCCTCGATTAGCAAAGCAGGAAATTGCTAAACTTCGCCGACCCTCCCAATTTATTGGCTTTGACCAAATTGATCGTTCAGCATCGTTTCAGCACAAGCACTTTGTCAATTACCCATTCCTCCTTACTCAGGTAGACAAGGGTGCACAGGAGAAGGTTTTTAATGGTGGCGATCCCAGAAGGCTTATGACTCCTATCGGGACAATATCGCCGGAAGACCGAAGGGTTCACATTACTCCAACGGTTAGTCTACGATAGATATACTATCGTGTTATCGCACTAACCGTTCGTTTAACTGTAACATAGATATCAACTATATTACAATTCAGAGCACTGGACTTCGGGATGGAACATTGCCAATTGCAAGTTGTCCTTCCAACATCAGTAGCAAGCAAGTCATCTACGACACTAGAGCCATCTTCACTAGTGCTTGAACTGAACCGCCTTGATGCATCTGGTGCTATGGATGCTAGTACCTTGTCCTACAAAACATGTCCTGGTTTTATCGGTAAGATCGCCGATATAAAGGTGGATTATGGTTTAACATGGAGTCACAACTTCACATGTGCGACGGATGAGGTGATCACATTCGAGCTTGCATGTAGCAGCTCGAAGAATCCTGGCGGTGAATGTTACGTTGACTGGTGGCAAACCAAGGGGCAATCAAACCCAGGTCAGTTCGGCATTTGTTTATTCCATGTCGGGATCTTGCTGAGGAATTTGATTCCGTACCAGCTGTGTTTCTTACCCAACACACATCTGTTTAACATCGTAATATGCGAGTTCTAGTGCTAGTTCAGGCCCGGGCTCAAATCGAGAAATCGCCATCACAATATATGGTGTACTTCCTTCATCTCATAAATTCTTCTGGATTAATAGGCTCATTGGGAGACTACTACTGCATCGTACATTCCTGTTTTTGACCATTATTGTAAAGCCTGTACCGAATATCTAGACTCTGACAGCTGTGCAAACGCCCGACATTCTCACATCTTGCACTAAGTCATACTTGAAACCAGGATCATGACACTGATGGCAACTTTCAGAACTCATCGATACAGTGTACTATGGCTCCTTTTCACACTGTCAATAAAACTTTGTCGGATTTGATTGTGTTCTCTTGTTAGTATCAGAGGACATTCTTTGGTATATGGCCTATGTATCTACAAAGTTAGAATGAAATCCAAAGTGACACTAAAGCTGGGGACACAAATCATTGTGGAATTTCACAAGATTACACCAAGAAGCAACTTTTGGATGAATTTTGTAGCTACAACTGATACAGCTTTACTACAAGAATGGAGTATGCCTGTAATCTACAGGATTTTCCGCACAAAATATCTCTATGAACAGAAATAATCTATGCAAAACTGAGGGCTGTAGATAGAAATCATTGTGAAATGTTGATTTGCTGGCACTGCTGTGTGACAAAGAGTGGCAGAGTGTGTCTGATCTGAGGACACATTTTAAATCCTTCTTGTACACTGCTACTTCTATTCCCCTTCATTTGGTGCCTACTTGCCTTATTCACCATGGTCTTCTGTGCTCTATCTAAACATGTAAAGCATATCAAGCAGCTCTGCACAATGAAAAACATGCTGGAGCAGGCTGTTGGTGTTACAACCAAAGTTTTCATACTCTGACACATAGTGAGAACAAGCAAAGAGGGGTGAGTGAGAGAGTGGATAAACTCCCTTAGGTTTAGGACCAAGCTAGCTGATGGTATTCAACAGGAGGACTGGCTGAGGAGTCTCCTTGATCTATTGGGGCTTATATACAACTACAAACTATTTGTACATGTGTACTTTACAGTTGATAACAGTGGTGGCTGATGATGCCATAGGGCGCAGCCCATGTGACTAGCTTCACTACATGAGAGAGTTGTATCTAAAAAATAAAGAGAAGCAGTGCAGTATGAGAAAGTGAATGATACAAGTGGAGTTTGAAAATAAAGGAAAGTGCCATATAGCACAAGAGAGAAGGTTGGAGCGGGGATTGAAGGTTTAAGAGTCCAAAAATTGTGTATCATAATAGTTGTCATGTATTGTATTGAGCTGGCAAAGCCTCCCAGTGAGAAAAGGAAGGGAGTAAGAATGATTGCAGAAGAATTTGGCATTCCTACACAGTACAAAATTATTCACAACCATGGAAGAACAATGTCAATGTTTGCATTTAATGGAGAAAAACAAAAGGTCTTGCCTGCACAAGAGCTCACAATGGTCCATTTTCTTCTCAAATCAGCAAAACATGGATTTCCACTTTTGACTTGAGAAAATTGTGGCTTATGCTAATGCCATTATTAAGAGAAGGAAGGGACAAGACTTTGTTCCGAAGTCAGACTGTATAGGCAAGCAATGGGTATTCCTATTTCTTGATTGACACCATGACCAGTTGCAAACTCATTGGGGAAAAAAGCCTTGACACTCAGACTTTCAGAGAATCAAGGCACTCAATCCTCTGAATGTCAAGCATTGGCTCAACTTAGTTGAGGAGCATATTGTAAAGAAAGGTATACAACCTAAGGATATATATGGGATGGATGAATCTGGCTTCCCATTGTCATCAACCACTCACACTCATCAGTGCATTGGAGGTCATGGTGTCAAGTTTCAGCATGTTGCAGGCTCAAGTGATTACAAGGATGTGACTGTGTTAGTCACTATATGTGCTGATGGCACCATACTTTGTCCGATGATTGTGAAAACACCAACAAGATTCTATCTAGGGGCACTGGAGAACAACTATAGAGGCTACAACTCAAATGAATAGTGGTACAACCTATCAAAGGGGGGAGGTTGTCATACTAATGTTGGTAGACACTAGAAGAGGACTCGCTCCCCATGTATAGCTTTAGTACATATACTACAATATATGAGGTACTATACAGTCGTAAATAAAGTTCAAAGTCTGATGTCTAGCATGTGACTGATCACATGGTGAGTCTAGATACTGATCAGGTGATGCATCACATAATTGGTCATGTGACTATGAAAAGTCCGAAATGTAAAGTAAAGTAAATGGTCACGTGATCAGTCACTTGACTTGGAAAATGAAAAGTAAAAGTACAGAAGAGTGAAGTATAAGTAGGTGCTGGTATGTTGATTGTAACAATGATCATCGATAAAGGGATGAACTTCATGCAGAAATGGGCAGAAAACAATGTAGCTCATGCTTCATAAGTGACATTCTCATAATCCCATTGCATGGCATGATCTAAGTGCCTATAGTATTGTACACTCACCAAATGGCTGGACATATGGTGAGCTTTGTCTAGATTGGATGATTCATGACTTCAACCCTGAAACAAGGGAGAAAGTTAGAGAAAGGACCCAAGTTTTTCTTATAGATGGACATAGCTCCTATTTCACTCCTGAGCTTCTTGAGTATGTTATCAACGACGACATTTGCATCCTCAGCTACCCACCACACTATACTCATGTTCTTCAGGGTCTTGATGTTGTGTGGTTTGCAATAATAAAGGCTGAATTTGGAGATAAGGTTACTCAGTTCCAGGCACTGCACTGGAAGAAGGTTAGCAAAGCAGACTTTACTGGCACTTTTGGGCAAGCTTTTTGCAAGCTTTTACACCTGATCTGGTCAAGACAGCATTCTGGGTAATGGAGGTGCATCCTTTTGACCCTGAAGTTATCAAACCAGATCAGATGAAACCAAGCATGGAGACCTCAATTTATGGTGACTTTCTCCCTTACCCAAGTCCAGCTTGTGCTATGCTGTTAGTATTCTCAAACTATCAGCCAACTTTATTTGAGCTGTCCCTATCCACTTATACCCTGTTTTCCCCATTGCAGGGCCATCCTAATTCCATGAAAGCTTTGAATCACCTTCTGAAACCTCTCCACATACTCTATCACCCTTTCATCATTGCCATGACACTGAACTTCTTAATACCCCCAAAACACCTTCAAAGAGGATGTAACAGATGGCTGCTTCACTGTCCCAGACATCATAAGGCTCATTTCTTGTATCCAAAGCAAGAATGCACAAGGGACTCACCATACCAGCACCAGTCTTTCAAAAGCCTCTCCTTCTCCCACAACCCAACTGGAGTTTTCTGGCTCCCACTCAGCTCTTATCAGAAGATGTTGGTGATAATGAGTGTTGGTGGGAATGGGCACACCAGCTTGAGGAAGAACTTCAGCTAGCAAGGCAACACCTTGTTTCTTACAAAAAGATAAGTGCAGGACAGAATGCACAAATTGTAATCCAAGGTCTCACCTTGCAGAAATTGAATCAAATACTCAATGTGAGTGACAAGAGAAAGGACTCCAGCTGATCAAAGTTGTACCCCAAGGAAAATTAACAGCACATGACAGCAGAGATTTGTTGAGGAGTTAAGGCAAGACCAGGCCGATTGGGCATGGAAGGCTGAGTGTGAGTGGCTAAGCATAGAGGGAGTTTAAAAGATAAAATTGGCCTAAGAAACTAAAGAGGGTGAGAAAGCTGAAGCACACAGATTCCAAGGTGGTTACAGATGATGTTACGATACACAATTTTCGGACCTTTAATTTTCATTCTCCTCTTTAACTTTATACTGTAGTTTTCACACACTGTGCCATGTGGTACTTCCCATTTTGTTCAAACTCCACCTTCTTGCGCTACGCTGCCTTTATTCTTATTTAGCTACAAGTCTCTCATGCAGTGGAGCTGGTCACATGGGCTGCGCCCTCTGACATCATCAGCCACTGATTTTATCAACTGTACAGTACAAACACTCTGTATTACAGTGCGCGACACACTTTTTCGGCGCCTCAAATGTCAGTGACACACATTCATTATTCCACGCTGGAAATACCATGTTTTTTTGCGAAAACTATTGCAATAGGACCGTATTAGATACTACTGTAAGGTATGCTGAACAAAATGCGATGAATTCAAACAAAGTAAAAATCACGACAAAAATTGAGACTGTGATGACTATTGGTACCGAAACATCGCTTTCTGGTAGAGTATGCAGCATTACATGCATGTAAGTATCGAGGAACGGGCGGGGACCTTATCAGCGGCTCATGAGAGCCTTAATCTCGGCAGGATGACCGACTCTACGGTGTGACTTGAACACTTTGACTGCAAATGCAGTCTGATAAGCATCAAGTCCTTTCCTGAATGTTGCTCATGATTAAACCAAGGATGTATATGTAAAATAGAAGTGAAGAAACTCACGAGTATGAGTCCATGTAGCGCCATGTCTTACGGAAAAAGTGTCGGATCGTGATTGTGTCACACATTTTGAGACACTGCGGCACGAGGACTTTGGCAGTCGAGAACTTGCCATCTGATACTTTGCGATAGCCTGGTACAAATAGAATAAGAATGATTTGAATTAAACGGGAGTGAAAAGACTCACGGTACTTCATAAATCCCCATAGCATTTCGATAGGGTTAAGTTCGCAATGGAACTTGGGCAGATACATGCAAATGTGACCGCGCCCCTCGATGTATTTTTGTAGCATCGGTTTTTTGTTCACAAAGTCGTCCTGCAACAAGAGAACACGATACATACAGCACCAATCACTCACTGGCTGAATATCGGGCTGATCAGCCTGCGCGACATCATCTTCCGGCACTGCATCCTCTTGGCCCATAGCCTCTGCCTCTGCAACACGTCTCGCGGCGTCTTTCTTCACCTCCGACATTTTGCACTCCTTGCACTTCCCCACTGGTTTCCCGGCCTTTGACCTCTTCATCAGCTCATCCCAGACCGACTCGCTGTCGATGATGAGAACTGCAGTTAGAAAACCACACACAAAACAAACTAACACACAATCCTCCCAGATTCCACGGAACTTGTTTATGGGCTTTGCCTCCTAGAACAGTGGAGTGGTCTGGTTGTTCGTGGGGTGGTACATATAAAGATCCTTCAAAGTAAAACCCAGAGGTGTATGAGTGTGGGTTTTGAGGAGGAGGGATAGTTGAATTTATAGGAAGATAGGTGCTTTGTGGCGAGTATAGATGAGCACTACCTTGCTAATGGTAGCACAAGGTAGGTTTGAGAACAACGAGGATGACGAGGTGACGAGATTCCCAGTGATAGCAGGCTCCTGACGCACAAACTGTAGTGCTCAGAAGGACTCTAATCAAAAGGGATGACAATGACTTCAAAAGTGGGAAGTGACAATAACAGCAGTTGACAGTGGTAGAAGTGGGAAGTGTTGTGACCACACTGGATCACAAGTAGCAGAGTAGTGAACTTGAGAGTAGAGAAGAAGTCTGGATTGGAGTTCTTGTTTTTTTTTACAAGGTAAAATACAGGGGTTTATATAGTAAAAGAAAAGTAGGCTATGCACAGTATAGCTGTGCAAAAAGAATGAGAAAGAACATGAAGGAAGGAATGTATGCTGACAAATCCTGCGTAGGGAGTACAGGATAAGATTGTCAAAAAAAGGAAAAGAAAGAGATAGAACAATCAATGCTGTGAGTAATGTCACAGGTTTGTACAGCCATAAAGTAAAGTCCAATAGCAAAAAGAGAGCAGGAAAATCATGATGTCATGGGAAGATGCAGTAAAAAAAAGGGCAAGGCAAAACACTATCAGTATCAACACAGTTCCTTTATTGTCAGTCAGGCATTCTAAAAAAATATGTGTCCATAAAAATGATTCAAAAATCAAAAATAATCGCACTGTAAATGAATGTTCTGCTGAAGAAAAAGAAACTGGAGCCACCGGTCCACCACCTAGTCCAAATCCGACAGTTCCATGGCCTTACCAATGGACTGGTTGTGTTGGACCACCTGATCAAACGAGGGAGGGAGAGGAGTAGTTCCAATTTGGAACAAGTGAGTCCCAGGCAGCGTGTGGTAGGTGTAGCTGTAGCGAAGACGATGGACAAAAGATAAGTGTACCCAAGTGAATGGGACAGCGATGAACATGGGCGACGCAAGGGGATGAACCTTCTCCAGCTCAAAAACTACCCACCCACGCTCCAACCAGGCAAGACGAGCGACCAATGTTTTGATAGTATATGATGGCAGATCGACGTCATGAAGATGGACCTGTTGCCCTATTTGAACCGGCCGCCGGGGCTTTGCTGATATCAGCAGTGGCACGTGGTAGTCAACGGATCGGCGACGGAAGCGGATAGGAAGTGGTGACATCAGAAATGGTGGGGGTGCAAATAAAATGAGGAGGAGGAGGGTGGAGGTGACGGAAAAGTGGATTAAAATGGGGATCCAGAAACGACCATCAGGTGAGAATAAAAAGGAGAGGAAGGGGCCCATGGTGGGGCTAGGCAAAGGAAGGGGAGTAAGGGAAACGACAAAAGTGAGGGCGCAATGCAATGTGTAGCCAGTGGCGACGCAAAAATTTGCCGAAATGCGAAAACACGGAAAGTACCGGATGGAAAAGCAAAGGTGAGCGTGACTGGATTGCCTAATAGAGGTGGTGCCGATCAGCCACAAGTTCAAAAAGGGCAATATTAATTACTATTCCACGTGGCACTGTGCCTGTGTGGCGCAAAGGCGAGTCTTTTTGAATATTTGCTTCGTTATTGACACCTGTCCATGCTACCAATCAACTTTGGTGTATGACAACGGTCAATATTAGCCGTGTAAAACCCTACAAAGGGCCACTGCCAGGACAGTGTGTAGACCGGCCCGAACCAATTGTAGTCACCCAGGAAGGTGAAGAAGAGTTTGAAGTCGAACAGGTGGTGGAGGCACGCTTGAAGTGTGGTAAATTAGAGTTTCTAGTCCTATGGAAAGGCTATGAAGACGAGGACAGAACGTGGGAGCCAGAAGCCCATCTGGATAACTCCCGCAACACTGTTCACAAATTTTATTCTAAGAATCCCTCACATGGATTCAAAACTTTTTAATTCCCTTTTTCAAACTATGCCCGAAAATTTAACTACCACCTCCGGTATTTGGTCTTGCCTGGAAGTCGAGCCTTAGAAGGGGGGTAGTGTTACGATAACACAATTTTTGGACCTTTCCTTTAATTTTCATTCTCCGCCTTAACCTTTTACTATAGTTCACACTCCGTGCCATGCGGCACTTTCCTTTTTTGTTCTAACTCCACTTTCTCGCACGACACTGCCTTTATTCTTCTTTTAGACACAAAGTCTCTCACGCAGTGGAGCTGATCACATGGGCTGCGCCCTCTGACATCATCAGCCACTGCTTTTATCAACTGTACAGTACATAGGTACAAACACTCTGTATTAGTATAAATACCCCAATAGATCAAGGAGACTCCTCAGCGAGTCCTCCTGTTGTTAACCAACAAACTCTCTGCAGCCTAAGGGGTAACCACTTCCCATTCACTACCTTTATAGTGTGTTCTTGTGTGCGCCAGAGTAACTAACTCTTGGTTGTTACAACTTCAGATATTCAAAATACACATTTTACTCTATGCTACTCCTAGTCTGGTCCGAAGTAAGGACCTTTGGCAGGAACCCCTGCTTTGGTAGTAATAGAGAAGGCACCATGAGCAGCACATCCGGTTTGAACTCGGCATTTTGTGACTAGTCACACCAGAAAAAATCACATAAAGGTTTCAGCTGAAACAGCTACTGTAGAGAACAAATATTATGTATATGATCCCTACTATTGCATTGCAACTACGACAATTTATGTAGCACCTTGAACCCATATAACTCTGAATATCATCCTATTTCTTTTTGCCCATGTTTTGGTTCAGGTGTGTCTGCAATTTGTAGCAGTGTTTTAATTGGAGTGGCTGACAGTTTCACTATCTCAATGGCTCAGCATCTGTTTGGGATGGAAGAAAAATTTGAAACTAGTGTTGTTCGTCATCTGAGAGCTTCACTATCAACTCTACCGATTCACACAAAGGCTAAGTGGTGAGTTACGCTGGTTGAAGCTGACAAATTATGACATTCATTTGTTTACAGTATGAGAAAACATGCATTGGCCAGGGCTTGAACCTGGGACTCCAGCTTTCCTGGTCTGGTACTTTACCAACTAAGCTACCAAGGCGTACTTGGAAAGCATACTGATTGGTTGCATGCCCAGAAGGTCCAGAATCACTGTACACGGGTGTGGATCCCATTGTGTTGTGATAGAAGCAATAGCTAGCCTTTACTGTGATGCTCAGCCATATTCAATCGGAGCGGTTGAGTTTAAAATCAAGGTGCAAAAGAGCTCAATATTCGTGTTATTGGCACCGAAGGGGGGGTTCATGCCAAATGGTCTTACTTTGGTGCAGACCTTATTTACAACATATCGACTTATCATATATTGAATTAGGTAAGCAAGGGAGACTACACTACTCCTTCAAGTGTAAGAACAAAGATATTATTATACTAATAAACATATCAGTCACATGAGGCGTGAGAAAACATTGTCGAGCAGTTGAGAAATGAATTTTTGAAAGCTCTTCTCCCATAAATGGGAGTCGGCGATGGTATCGCGCTTTCTGGGGTCCTCAGCCACTCACTTTTCGGGGCCTTTCCGAGTAATAAACTGGCAGTGGCTTGCACCTGTACAGTCGACCGGAAACCTCCTCGATCCTCCCGAAAGTGAATGTACCAGGTAGTACCGACTACGACAAGTAGACGACACTGACAACCCACAGATTCTCAAAATGGTACGTAGCATTTTATACCTGCATTATGTGGTGCTGATTGTACATGATAGACTAAACGTACACGCAAAGTTGGTGTTACCGGAAAGTATGGTACGGTATGTACACCCATTCAGATATGGTAGTAGATAGTGGTTTTCTGAGTCTTATGGGTCCTGCATATCTAGCGTTACGGTGCCTCTCTGCGAAAGCAAGTGAAAAAGGTACGTTTTTGTATTCTCGGGCTGTACAGAATGAGTCTCAACCGAGATGGGATACGCAGATGGAAATCACACAACATGCTCGTTACACCTGTACATTTTGTGGCAAGGTAGGCCTTTTTTATGAATGCAGGTACGTGTGATAAATTCTTATGTTTGAACTTTCCAGGACTCTGTGAAACGCACGGCTGTTGGTATCTGGAATTGTAGCGCATGTAAAAAAGTTATTGCAGGGGGCGCGTGGACTGTTTCTACCACAGCAGCTGCGACTGTACGGAGGTGCGTCGAGTTAGTTATTCTCATTGGTCGTCGAAATTAATTTCTCTCGTTAGCACCGTTCGTCGATTACGGGAATTGACAGAAGCATAAAACCTGATGGGCTATTTCTCTATTTCTCTTTTGTTCTATGTTATGCAATCCATGATCATCTACATGGCATGAATCCAGACAATCTCCACATTGTATTGATATCAGGGCTTGGCAGGTAAAATTGGCTAGTACTCGAGGCTGGTGCGTTGGAGAAGTACTTACATACATCCTGTTCTTTTGATTGGATCAGTTGCAGAATGAACGATCCATAGAAAACCGCACGATGAAAACGACTAATTTGTTTGCAGGTTATCAGACGTTTTATTCCAGGTTCATTTATGTTCAGCAGCTGGAAAGCAGTCTACCCACCGACACTGAAATATTAATATTACTCTAAGTTATATTTTCACAAGTTACGCCGCTCCTTTATGCTAGTTACAACTTCCCATGTCCCTTTTTCCACCGCAGCCACTGCGAAAACTGGTCGCTCATCTTGCTGTACACCTTTTCCCAATCTCGACAGATGAGTGTATCCCCAAGCCTATCTGCATTGAAATCTCTCTTCAAAAAGTCTCCCTTTTCTAGGCTGTCTGTGGCATCACACAGAAATGACTGCCGCAGGTAGTTTAGACAATGTCGAAAATGACCAGACGTCGGTATCGAGTGGTCACGATGCATGAAAGCACGCTCCATCTCGCGGATACAGTGAAGTTGGTGAGAAAAAACAAGTGCGAAGATCCTATAGTCAGGACCCATGTGTACACGGCCCAATCCTTGCGGATGTGTTGTGAGCGTTGTCCATTCCTTGTCCAGTAGTGAATAGGTCGAGTTGAGTGTAAAATGGACAGATTCTTGCAGAGTCAACGCTACCGTATCAAGTTTTCTCACAGGAAACGCGATAGGGTAGTCGTCTCCTATATATGCTTTAACAATATTTTGATTTCAGCCTTCAAGTTCAACCAAAGGTGATATTTCAAAAGCTCACTTAGATTTTTCGACTCGAAGTCTTGTCTTTGCTTTCGATAGAAGTCGAGGCATTGGTAAACCGTGATGCAGCAATTCGACACGACAAGCAGCCAGAGCACCCAGTATGAAAGTTGTTTCTTCTGTGCGGTCATTGTACCAGATCTGAGGCACGCACAACATGTTCTCGAAAGATGCTGTTATATCATTCTGGCTCATCAAACTGTCTGAGGCGTTGAAGTTGGACAGATGCCTTACGGCATTCAGCATCTTGGAGTGCTTCTGGCATGCGATCATCGCGTCTCAGCAAATTGTCAGTATCCCCATGTATTGAAACCGGTTCACAGCCCTCATCCTCATGCATCGCATCACTTACATCACAGAGCTGGTGACATTCCACAGGAACGGTGGTTATTTGGGTGCGCCGGTGTTATGTTTGATGATCAGTTTCGTACTCATCAGCATTATCACAGTTGACATGATGGTACACATTGACAGTAATTACTTATCGCAGTGCTTTCGCTTAATTGGACCTCGGTGAAAGCCTTTTGCGAAATGCATGTTTTCAGTGTTATACACGCAATAATCCTTCGATCTAAACTCGAGGGGGGAAATAGTTTCACTGCAAACATCGGTTCTTTGATCCACCCGAATAGCTCTGGCTACTAATACAATGGCCTTGCCATTTCGTTCCAGCTGGGGGTATGCTGCAGCGATCTCGGTTTCCCTTTTGCTACTCGCCGTTGCCATAGTCAGAACATATGTCGAGCAGTATGAAGTCTATACTAATAGTATGTACCTTCATTATCACGGTCTGATTGGCTTTATATTAATTAGCTCATTCTGTAGAACAACATATCTTTACTGTATCAACAGGAGACCCTGTCGTTATGGATATCTATAATACTGCCCATTATCAGCTTGATGAGGATGGGATGCAAGAATATGCCCACCTTATGCCCCTCAGTGGACACACCGTCTACGTCAGCGAGAATCCTGGAGAGGCGCCCGATGTCTATACAGTAACTTTATTCCACCAACTAAAATGCCTGGAAATTATCCATCGCGAGTATCTTGATCCCTCCCTCCCTCTCATCCCATCTGCACTCCTCAGCCATTGCCTTAACTACCTGCGACAAACAATTTTATGTCGCCCAAATCTGCGACTGGAATCCGTAACAACGCGTTCAGCGAAGTCAGCTCAAGGGTATGAAGCGGTCTGCCGGGATTGGACAGAAGTATATGAGGAGGCGGAGAGAAACAATAGAGTATACTTTAACACTGGTAATAGTACCGAATAAATATGTTCGTAGTTTGTGTTGTAGCTCTAAATCAACTCATATCAACGCAAAAGAAGTATCATCGTGCATGACATTTTATTGTTATACATGTGTGAAGACCATTTGTTGCAGAAAGTATATCGTAGCATAATACAGTGAAATGATCTAATCTACTCAAGCCTCGGTATGCACGAAAGACTGGACATAAACCAACATTGTATACCCCTCTATCTCATGACCCGGAGGAGGTGGAATATCACCTTGACCCTTTATCTCATAACCTTTATGCTCGTACAGTTGAGTCTATCCAGACGAAGGAGTGAGAACATATATCAACACAGTTGAAAATTAAGGCAACCTGCGGGCCACTATTTGTTCCAAAACAGACCGACGTTTTCATTTCTCTGGCCTTTAAGGACACGTAAGTCTATTGAGCAGAGCAAGATTCACTGAAAGATGACACATACACCGTCTTCACCGATCTTGAGCAACTTTGAACCAATTCTTTTACCTTGATAGGCAGGTTCTACGGTAAATGAATAAAGGTTCCAGTTTTCCAGGATAAAATTATTGTTGCCCAAGGCACTGTTATATATTTCGGTCGATTTCGGGAGAAGCTTTTTTTGCTCAACGTCGAATGGTTAAGTCTAGGCCAAATCACTCACCGTGCTCATCCACCAACTAAACAATTGAGCATGGTTGGTACCAAGCTCACGGAGTAGGTTTACTACATCTTCTTGCTTTTGCTGCTTTTCACTGGTATGCATTGGATAAGAAATCAATGTTGCATAGATAAAAATACGCACTCCAAAAGAAAATCGGTTTGAGGTGGGTACCAACATGCGGTACCCAAAACTTTGCCCGATTCTTGATCTAGGGCGACGTAAAAGTGGCCACCTATGACGGTTGCACTGACGATTGCACGTAGTGTCATCTCGCGTAGTTCTTTTACGCAGCCAGTCATAGTATCAAGTATTTTGTCTAGTCACGGGAGTTATTGTGAGTAAAAATTCAATTCGATAATACGGATATTGATTGTACACAGTTCACACCTTTGGCAAATGCCCTAAGCAGCACATGGACGGCCTCTTCTAACCTGGTGTCTACATGCCACAAGTCAGTCAAGGCTGCAAGTAATGGCGTAGTTGCATAACGAACCCTGGGCATCAATTATGCGAACGATGTTGACTGGGTGATCTTCGGTGCTTAGCCCTTGAGACATGCTGGGTGATTTCTATCCCCCGTGACCAACGCTACGAATTGTGGACGTTGAGGTTTAAATTGGATATTATTGTATCAAGTAACGTACTTATCTTTGCAGTGACTTGTATCCGATAACGACAGAATCTTGATACAGTAATCAGGAAACCAGTTGCGTTCTATGATTGTGGGCCGTCATCATGATCATGATGTGTTCTCATGGAAGGACAGAAGACAGGGCTTTTGTTATCGGCATGGCTTAACGGGATCAAGTTGATTAGGAATTGGTGAGTGATATGCTCTGATATGGCACAGGACTGGTAACATGAACGGAGCAATACGTGATACTAGTACTGCCTCTCAAGCTCGAAACTCCGCGGCTAGCAGCATCATGGTATTTTCTACTTCAAGATAGCTCGGAACTTGGAAATGGGCGAATCGTTGAATTCCATTTTTCAACTCGAAGTTGTTCGTTTCCACGATAATAATATTGATGATTATCTCCTTGGATCGTTGTGTGTGCGTTCAGGTTATTCATGATGAACTTACGACTTGCCATCACACTGCAATTTTGACGAAGGCACACTCGTTGTATCAGTATTCGGTTTGTCTAAGCCCTCGGGCGCTCTTAAAGGGCTACATATAATAGTCAGTACCAGTACTTAGTATTGCCACTCTCGATCCATAGATATCATGGCACTCAATATCTCTGCAGGCGTGCCTGATGAATCCGCCTGGGACATTCTCAACGACAGCACAAACCTGATAGGTACTACGACGATAAATGGCGTTTCCTACGGAATCATGTTCACTCTCTATGTCACATGCGTTCATTTCCTTTACCAAAGGTTCAAAACTTCAGGGGGGAAGCGCACTTCTGTTTTTTTGTTCGGATATATGTCCGTGATGTTCATCTTCGGCACACTATACACGGTTTCTGGTTCTCGGACCATTCAGCTTGCCTATGTCAATCATCGTGATTATTCTGCTGGTCCTGCCGCCTATGACCTCGTTATTTTCTCCCAGCCGATCACTATTTTGGGCTCCGTAAGCTACACCGTCTCTAACTGGATGTCCGATGGTTTAATAGTAAGCTTCCCTTAACCTACAATGACGTAGTGACCTCATGTTCTCTTTAGCTTTGGCGTTTCATCATATTATATCAAAATATTCGGTACAATCTTTGGATCATCACTTTCCCGTGTATCCTATTTCTTGCCTCAATAGGTCAATTTTTATTTGTATCCTTGCGTGATCTACGGGACTGAGGCGTCTGCAGTTATGGGATTTTTTGTTCTAGTACAAGCGTCCTTGCCAAACCAATCTCTCTGGTCACAAGTGGCAGTCAGCTTCGTACTGCCATACTACGTTCTCTCGCTGTCACTCAACATCATCACCACAATACTGATAACAATACGCCTTCTCATGCACAAAAGACATCTTCAAACTATCCTAGGTGACACATGCTTGTCTCAGATACGTTAACTAGCTCTCATCTAAGATCACATAGGGGCGGCTCATGCAGCTCAGTATACAGGCATCGCCACTTTGCTAATCGAATCTTCAGCACTCTATGCACTGTGGTCAATTATTTTCCTTGTTCTATACGCCATCAACAATCCAGTGCAATTCGTATTCCTAGCATCCTTAGCTGAAGTGCAGGTGATTACAAGCGTTTTATCTTCAGAATCGTGACTAATGATATCATCCCGTGTCAAAAACAGATCATAGCTCCACTACTCATTATTGTTCGTGTTGCTCAAGGAAAGGCCTGGACCCGTAACACGGAATCGGCCATTCTATCAACCTTTGTGGCCAAACAAGAAAGTAAGGCTACCTACAAAGGGAACAAGCAGGAGGATAGCCGTACGAACACACTCTCAGTCTCTGCATCACAGGACCATGTCGACCATGACGAAAGCATCCATTCACTGAAATTTGCTCCAGGCCTGGGAGACAGCAACGACATACCTTTGCAGACACGAGAGGTTCCTAGAGGGATGTTGCAATGTTGATCTTCGCACATCTAGGTTGTGCGTTGACGTAACTTGCCTCTTTGATTGCCATGACTGGATACATGAATGCTTGGGCTGTGGTGTCAAAGAACGGGGAGTCCCAAAGTGCCCTCGTGGCCAAAGGGCTTGAACCACTGGTGTACAAGCATGGGGATGCGAATTAAAGCATGCCAATTTAATAGCCAAATATCACGGTTTTTCAAGCCTTCCGTGTCGTGAGCTGACGAAGCGTGTTAAGCCTCACGCACAACGAGCCTCAGTACCTCTGAGAAACTATAAAAGGTATACATCGACTATCATGTATACTCACACGTAGTATTTAGTTATAAATCTAGATTTACTACTGAGAAACACCTTCCTTGAAAAGGCGCTGAGCGCAAAAGATTACGTAACGTAAACCACCTGCAGTTCAGAGCCACTGGCAGTGCGGTAGCAGACTCGGACCCAACAGTACCGCCGAAGTCACCCCAAGCATTTTGAGCGCATGGCGCGTAGAAAACGACAAATGATGGATGACGACGATTCAGACTCATCCCAGGGGTCAGACGGCGATATGGACTTTGATGGAATCGACCCAGTTGCCCGAGAAGAGCATTCATTATGGTCTGATCCTTACCAGCGGAAAAGGCGTCGAAAGAACGGCAAGGAAGATGCGCTATATGGTGTATTTGGAGAGGATAGTGAAGATGAAGGCTTCAGGGGGAAGGGAAAAGGAAAAGGTAGTCAAGAGAAAAGAAGTGATTGGACGAAAGCCCCTTCTTTTGTGGCTGGAGACAAGGTAGACCTGGACAAATCGATGGACACAGAGGCAGGGGCGGAAAACATTGATGGCGAGAATGCCGTAGAGTCCAGTGGTGATGAATCCGAGGAGGAGGAGGAGGAGGAGGAGGAGGAGGAGGAGGAGGCTGATGATAACAGCGGCGATGAAGAGTCAGCAGAAGACGAACCATCGCGGCCACCATCTCCTCGTGTGCGAGTGGAAGAGGACGAGGAGGAAGAGATGGAAAGACCAAGGTTCGGTGGAATAGGCTCAACAGGGTCAAAAACTGAAAACAAGTCCTCATTTTCTGCATTTACAAAAGGTGGTATAGGTTCTGCCCGTACAGCTCCAATCGCAACTCCTACACCAACTGTCGCGCAGGTTGCCGTAGAAGATTTACCTTCTACCTTTGGAAGCGCGCGAACGCAACGTTCATTTGTTCGCAGTGGATCTGCATCTGCCAGCAAGCCAGCAACTCCTTTACCCGCCCATGAGCAGGCTCATTTTAGTAAAATTGGAGGTTCGTTCGGCGCTCGTATGCTAGCAAAGATGGGCTGGGAAGCCGGAACTGGGCTGGGCACTACGGGTGAAGGCATAGTGATTCCTGTGGAGAGTAAGCTACGGCCGAAGGGCATGGGTATTGCATTCAAAGGCTTCAAGGAAAAGACGGAGCAGTCTAAACTTGAGGCTAGGCGGCGTGGTGAAGTAGTAAGTGATGATGAAGAAGTAAAGCCGAGGAAGAAGAAAGGCGATCAACAGCAAAAGAAGTCCGATGCATGGAAGAGACCAAAGAAGGTCAAGGTCAAGGTGGAACACAAGACCTACGAGCAGATTGTTGCAGAAGCAGGCGAAGAGCCTGCTTCATCGAACATTGGACAGATTATTGACGCAACTGGTCGAACTGTACGTCGTTTGTATGAGCTTATGATCAATTTTATACTGACAACTTTTCTAGCCACGTGAAGTTGCTTCCATCGCCGACATATCATTGTCATCCTGGACTCCATCCACCGATCCTACTCGAATACCGGAAGTTCGACATAACCTACGCCTCATTGCAGATGCGTGCAGAACCGATCTTGATGGCCTCGCACGCGAAGCTAAGGCACTGGAAGAACGGAAAAAATGGATTGTACAGGAAGATGCTCGCCTCAAAAAGAAAGTAGCAGACGAGGCAGACTGTATGTTTTTATCTCCGTTATCAATAGGCTTCTCTTACCCATGCGCGGTTTATACAGTAATTGCACGGATGCAACAAGTCACATTAGTGGTTGATGAGATTAATTCACAGGCAAAGGAGCTGGCCTCTGTCTACGAAGCATCCTTGGATGTCTTTTCGCCTCATTTCAGTAAATTGCTAACCCAGTTTGCACTCGAGTTCGATCAATATAAACTTGATGAGATCGTCGTGGCCGCTATCACCCCTATAGTCAGGCGAACGATAGCACAATGGAATCCTCTTCAAGATCCGTTCGGGCTCGTTTCGACTTTCCGGTCTTGGAAACAAGCACTCAAAGTTAACGTTGTTGACGAGACACCTAAAACACAGGTTGATATCTATGGTGCAAGAGCTGCGCCACCGCCTATTCTGGTGGAGAAACCTATGACGCCCTTCGAGAGCCTCCTCTGGAATGTCTGGTTGCCTAAGATACGAACATGTATAAACAATGATTGGGAACCCACAGACCCCCATCCAGCAGTCAAACTGTATGAGACTTGGTCTACATTCTTACCGCCATTCGTACGGGACAACATGCTCGATCAGCTTATACTCCCCAAAGTCCACAAGGCAGTTGCTGATTGGAATCCCAGACGGGATTCGGTTTCTTTGCAGACACTTGTTTTTCCGTGGTTACCTCACCTTGGTCTGCGGGTTGAAGACGTTATGGGAGATGCGAGAAGGAAAGTGAAATCGTTGCTCAGATCTTGGACAGCTAAGGACGAGGTACCGAAGGATCTCGGCGTTTGGAGAGAGGTAAGCATCGTGATCGCCACGAGTGGGCTGTGACTTATATTATTATCGCCTAGGTGTTTGATCCCACTGACTGGGATAACATGATACTCAAGAACGTCATACCTAAACTTGGAGCACTTCTTCGGGATGAATTCCGCATTAATCCCCGAAACCAAGACATGAAACCTCTGGAACGTGTCATATCATGGACCAATCTTATTCGCCCATCCATATTCTCCCAGCTCCTCGAGTCCGAGTTTTTCCCCAAGTGGCTAGACGTCCTTCACATTTGGCTCATACAGCCCAAAGTCAGCTTCGAAGAAGTAGCACAATGGTATTCATTCTGGAAAGGATCATTCCCTGAGAGTGTACAGACTATGCCTGATGTCGCTCGTGGGTTTACACGTGGGCTTCAGCTGATGAACAAGGCCATCGAACTGGGTCCTGATGCACCGACAAAGTTGCCGCGCCCAGACCTGCGTGCAGAGCAAGTGGCAGCCAGTGCTGCCGCCGCCGCCAAACACAGCACTCCGCCAGTCATTGCACGGCCTGCCCGCGTACAGGAAATTACCTTCCGCTCCATCGTCGAGGACTTTGCCTCGTTGCACAATTTGCTGTTCATGCCTGCTGGTCGTGCCCACGAGAAGTCTAGGATGCCGCTTTTCCGGGTATCATCGACTGTAGGTGGAAAAGGCGGATTACTGGTCTATATTCAGGATGATGCGGTTTGGGCTCCTGATGGTGATGAATATCGCGCGATCACACTGGAGGACATGGTATTGAGGGCAAATCGATGAATCCATTTCATGATTATCAGGGTCTACTGTGTTTGCACGGTCCGTGGCTCTTTCTGGTGGCGACCTGACTACTTCCTGGGTAGATTTTCAGATATGTAATATAATCTTAGGCACACGATTGTTTGATAGAATTCACGAACTCGAGAAGACGCGGTGACACGATGTGGAAGCAGAATAATGCTGATTTCTGGCTATCATGAAAACGTCACGTGATGAGTCCCCTTTGCTTCGAGGCAAATGCTTCCGAGACTCTGTGGCTGGCAAGGAATCATTACCGCTACCTTTGTAGCCTCTGGATGCTTGCTTTTTGGAGCACTGTTCTGTTCTCTTTGGGATAGCTTACGCACGACTGGGACGATAAGCGCTATACGAACTCAGAAACCTCTTTGACGTGACTGGGAGCATTCGGCACTCTGGAGGCCATCCATCGTGCTTTTCACCGTCTACAATGCCGCCTAGCCCTATTAAAGCAGAGTCTCTGATCATTGACGTCGACTCCTTCACGTCTGAAATCGAATATATCTGTACCAAGCCCGCAGTTATCACCTTGGATGGCAACGAAGACCCATCGCGTGTTGCCTCGTCCTCGAGGCTGCAGCCACTCCCAAAAGTAGCTCGGTGCGTGCGCGTGCTGTTATCATAGCTCAGCTGCTTCATTTCAGTCGGAGTATGCGTCGTGCTGACTGAACGTGTCAAGCGTAAGGCCCTCTTCTGCATATGGTGTCCCCCATTCGAGTCTACGAAGTTTCATGGACGAGTCATCTCATGTATGCTTGTGTATTTGCCCTCCGTTGCTCAGCGGCACTGATCAATCTTCCAGTTACGAAAACGCAATGCGCATAGCGCGCATTTTGAAAATCCACCTGGCAAGATCCCCGCGACAATTGCAAACTATGCAAAACTCCATGCTCCACCGAACCGTCTCGACCTCAAGAGGAAACAACCAGATTATGGAGATGTCATTAATCTGTGCAGTGATAGCGAGGATGAGACTCATTACATAAAAGTGTGCATATAGTTGAACTTTCTCTTGCACGACAGTTCTGACATGGAGACGAGAGAAGAAACCCAGATGGCAAACTCCAGTTGACGACGACTCGGAACGCAAAGTAATGCATGACTGCAATGATGGCAAGAGCGCCCGTTTCCTCGCAGAGTCTTCTGAAGACTCGACAATGCCAACCGACCCCGTAGATTCTAGCGACTCTGAGGAAGAATACTTGCTCTACATGGCCTCACTCACCTTGTCTGAGGAGAAAAACGTCAGTTTCAACCAAAAGGTCGTCACCCTCATCATCTGACCTTCGTCCGCTATATAGTGGGTGCCGATGAAACGACGTGAAGTAGAGAGTCCATGCCCCAATGAGAACCCTCCGGCTCCGCCGTCACCAGAAAGGCCGCCGCCCCAAAGGAGGCATGAAATGTATATCGATGATCCCACTGAATGGCCCGATAATATGCCCGAAGACTATCTTAACACACCGACTTGGAAAATTGTAAACCCCGGCTTCACTTTTTTTTCGTTGAGCTAGTACTAAAATTTTTGACGTCTCTAGCTAGAAGTATCGAAACGCATGCGCCGCCCCAAGCCTCCGCGGCCTAGGATGCACCCGACGGAAAGGATGCCAAATCCTTCTCCGTGGACCTATCTATCGCGACGCCTACACGACCTTTTCAAAGACAAGGCGTTCGACAAGTACGGGCTTGTGAGATCTTTCCACAAAGCATCCGGCTGTGAGTATTTGGAATCCGTGATTTGCTGGACATGGCTCTTTACCTTTACTACATCTTGTTGACGCTTTGTTTCAGCTATCAACAAGATTGCGCAGGCTCCCGGAGCAATAGTCGTTTGTTCCGCTGCACTGGGAGGACATACAGATGCATCCAGGGGTGACGGTACTACTGTCTGTGCCTGTACTGAATTATGTTCCTGACTGCACGACGCGATACAGAGCCAGTGGATCCTTATAACCGCGATGGTACCCTGTTATTCTCGCATAAGAAGCAAGGTAATATATCGAGTTTTTTTCGAAACGCTATCTAAAGTATTAATGACAATATAACCGATCAGAGCACGTACTCCGTGGACATTGTGCCTCGAGATCAGCAAATGGGAGTAAGTAGTAACCCGAAGAAGATGAATTTGGATTATTTTGACGTGTTTTTTTTTTTGATGAGATCTGGTCACAAAGTACTATACTGTGAACGATGTTAAATTCGATCCTCAGTGGTACGTTCTCGATCCTCGACACACTATGGTATGTACTTACTGCAGATTAGCCACACGAGATTTCTTTCGACCGGAAACGACTGTACCGTCCGATTGTGGGAATACGGTTCTGACAGCGAAGGACGCGAGGATTCGGACGCCCCTGATTCCTCTTCGCAAGTGGTGAAACTACTGAACACGGGTGAGCTAGTACACCTTGGTTTTATCACTAATTAGATTATTTACATCTGCTTCTCAGTCAAACACATCGGAGTTCCGCTCGATCTCGTGTACAAGCCCGATGGTGGGGTGCTTGCGGTCACATGCCAAAATGGGTATGCCCTTTACTCTTTCCGTATGCTAATCAATTCCGCCTGATCGTTCTCTGTTTTAGAAAGATCATCATTTATCCGTCTTTCCAGCCTTCTAGCCGGAAGAGCACTGCAGTGTTGAACGTCTCACCTGTGAATGTGACATGTCATGCGACGGGTGCGGTTGTGTGGGGCCGGGAGGCGACAGCTGCCTATCTGTTCGCATCTTCAGAGCCGCATAGGGAACAGGACCACCATGGATATCATCGCGCGTTTGACGTTGTCAAACAGAAAGAGGCGTTCGTACTCGGTGCCAAGGAAGCAGGAGATGCGATGGCTATTGATGCTCGAGGTAAGTTATGCTGTGAACGTCCACATGGTCCGAAGCTGATGTTGATTGTCGCAGGTCAGAACCTTGCGCTGTTCACATGTGGCGAGGCTGGGTCGCATCCTGTTCGGATATACGACGTGCGACGAAAAACGGGACGGGCTACTAGCGAGATCGAGTTGCATGAGTTCCATCGAGCAGACGACCATGATGAGGTGAACTGTGCATCATTCAGTCCTGATGGGATTTTTCTGGCGGTGGGGCGGAGCGACAACACTCTGCATGTGTATGACTCGCGATACCTTGGTCGGGGACCGCTGTACCGCTTTTCGCACGAAGATCCGAATCAAGGAGTGGCAGGTAAGAGTTATGGAGTGGTAGAAGCACAGTGGATAATGGGGAGAGATAGATGTAAGCTGGGGCTTGTTTCGGGAGGGAATGACGGTGAGTGGCTCGATAGCTGGTGCTGGTGGAGTGCGAACTGACGGGCGTATAGGCTGCGTGCGGATGTGGGATGTGGGGGTTGCGTCTGGGGAGTACACGAATGGAAAAGCTGTGGCTGAGGTTGCGTATGATGTGGCGCACTTTACGCTGGGGGATCCATTCGCGGGAGAGAGGGGTCTGGTGGTGTGAGTAGTCTGTTGTTTGTGGAGATTGCATGACTAATTTGTGCACAGAGGTGACTCTGGTGGACGAGTCTACGAGTTCGATCGACTGGATGGGTCTGGGCAGGCGTGGGACCGCGATCTATAGCGCATATTGTAGATGACGTCTTCGCAATAGAGTGGTTGTTTTTACCTCAGAGTGTTCTCACGCTCGAATCGTCGGGTCGTGCCCAGTAAGGAAGGTCAGTTACTCATTGTACTCCGCTCGAAACGCCGCGTCCGCTCAGACGTATTCGGGACTTGGCGGAGTCGAAGCCACAGAAGGTTCGACGATCCATTCTTAGCAAAGGTTAATATTACTCGAACGGTAAAGGTTTCAGGTTTATTACTTATATCGCCATGCTCGTGTGTCCCTCTGCTCCATCGCCATGTCCGTCTACCCATACAACCCATACAAGGTCTGTCTCCCAGCCCATTCCCAGACTCGTGCTCACCGCCTCTCCCAGTCCGAAGACACTTCTTCGCCTTCCTCGTCTATTCCCGACTACCCAGACTCCGTCCAGCCCGTCTACTACCCCCAGGACATCTATCCGTACAACCCCGGCCCACTCTACCCGGATCCATCCACCCAGTCCCTGCAGTACCCAAATGTCCACAATGACTTTGTTCCCACAGTCCCCGCCGACCAATACAGACAGCTGAGCACAGACATCCTCAACCCCTTCCACCACTTCCACGATCCCCAGGTCCTTTTCCCCACTCCAAGCGAACTTCTTGGTGGCATCAGCTCTCACCAGCATACCCAGTTGCAGCAGCAGCCCGACGACCACCTAGAGCACAATGACTGGCCCGACCCTGCTAACGCGGCTGTTCGCCGTAAACGACAGGGTCCCGACCAGAGCGAGCGCAAGTCAGAGTCTCAGCGCAAGACCCGCCAACGTGCCATGGCTGAGGAGCTTGGCTTCACTGCCACTGATCCGTGTGTCTCTTCTTTTATTCTTTTAAACCATGTTTGCCTAAGTATTCGACCGCAGCGACACTATCTCTTCTCATGATAAAAAGAGGCACTACCTCGAATGTCTCGAACACTACGTCATGTATTTGCACGAACAGCTGAGGCTCGTTGGTACAGAGCCTTTCGCTTTCGAGCGCGTCTCTTCCTACCGCGGCCTAGGCAGCAGGTCCATCAGGGTGCGTACTGATTCAGCTTCAACGCCCTCCTCCTCGCCCTTCTTTGCTATGTTGTTATTTTAGTGGACTTTCCATACTTACACAGACCGTCGCTTCTCAGACTCTTCTCGTACACATGCAAAACAACGTCAAAGCACTCCATCTCCAGACCCTCGATCAGGAACGCGTCGTATGTATCGTCGTCCACTAACCGTACTTTGGGCTTTTACCAACTTCTCCCCTCACAGTTTCTCGATTTGAGCGGTCAGGTCATTGCCTCCGGTCTGGCTGAACCGGACGGCATACAGCCCGCTTGGGAGGGACACGCCCAGAGTAATGACACCATACCTGGACCTGAGACGATGCTCGGGCATGGCGGGTTCCACTCGCAAGTCACCGGACATGGTGAGCAGGGCGCGTATACGCTTCAAGGACCCTCGATGAATGCACCGATCGCTGCACCGGGAGCGTCTGGGTCGTACCTTCTTCCTTGATCTAGGTTTTCTCGCAAGCGAGCGAGAACATGGGGTTGACACAAGTGTGCCCATGACACATGGGCTTGTGCTGTATTTCATGTGTGTTTATAATTACAAGTTGCATATTTGGACATCGTAGATCTTGGCGAACATATTTCTGATTGGTGGGACCGTGCTGCATGTATCACGATCTCATGTTCATAATACCATCCTCTTGACCCCAAATTCTCACAGTATAAAAATAATTTGTGTACAACTGACTCTTATCATACACGCGTTTTTCATAAAGTGAACTTGGCATGATCAAATACGCAGCGTGTTCTGTCATTGCCAGCATAACCTTTTACTCTTTCATGTACGTATGCTGTACGGCGCATGTGCAAACGACCAAAGAAGCACCACAGATCCAAACCATAAAAGTAAACAGATCTCCCGCAAAGCAAAGCAAAAAAAAAGGGATAGAAAGCCGTAAATCTATATAGACGAGCACAATATGATATGTATTTGAGTATTACTATGAGTGCAATTGGGTTTGCGTATGTGTGATGAGTGGAGTGGGAGTGGGGAGTGTCCGACGCTGCGACATGGATAGGGATGGGAATATCCGCCCTGGTCCGAAAGGAGTTTGGGTGATGCGATGTAATAGGGGATGTGGTGAGAACGCGAAAGACGCCAGAGGAAAATGTCCATGGTGAGGGGATAGGGCTTTCGTCTGGTGCTTAGAGATATGCGCGTGAAGACCTTCGCGCCATCTACAACAAGTTGATCAGTATGAATGGTCGTAAAGCAGACGCAGTGACTGAATGATGACACAATATAAAGTATGCAGAAAAAAGCGAGGGCAGACACGTGAGGGGGAAAAAGACTTTTCGACTTACCTCCACAACCTTCCAACCACCAGTGAGCTCGTTCCCGAGCTCCTCCGCCACCCGCGTCACGACGGCTGCATACATACACTGCTCAACCTTGTCCTCAGCGCCCACAATGACTTCGCGCGTCTTTGCGTTGCGGAAGAGCAGGACTTCTTGAGTGGCGAACGTGATAACGAACACTGGGACGTTGTTCTCCAGAATCTTGCCATCAGATACCTAATCGTGTGCACGCAGCCAGTTCATATCACAGTAATGCAGTAATAGATGCATGAGCGGCAAGTTAATCATGGAGGTGATTGACCATGCTTACATCGACTTGTCGAATATCGAGGACTTTGCTGTCACTGATAAGTCCCTGTTTGAGGTATTGCTCCATCGTAGCCCACAGGACGTTATACGTCTACGCACACGATCCAATAAATACGGCATTTGGTGCGCATACATGAAGAGAACACTCACAGCTTCTCCACACCACGCCTTCAATGCTTCCTGGTCCGCACTCAGATACGCATCTACGACCTCAGGCACAATGTACTCTCTTAGCTCGCGCTCAAAGCCTTCCTTGTTGAATGCAGGATCGAGCGTGCGCATGAGCTTCGTCACCTGTGCCGTCTCGTTCTCGTCAAACCATGACCCTACGGTGTCGGTGACAGAACGCATGGACGCGACAACCGGATTCTCAGACTCGTCGTAAGACTGCCGGAGAGAGACGAGGCGCCGGAGGAGGGGGTTGGTTTCCTTGAGCTTGTTCCATGCTTCTTGGCGTGGCGAATCTTTGTGAAGGACCATAGCTTGACCAGCTCTGAGAGGTTCATAAAATCACATTAGCACAAGCATCGCAGTGAGTATTCATAATTAGATCAAATGAAGATATACATATACGTGGTGATCGTGTTGGTAGGTTGGAGGACTCACTCTGGGTTTTCTTCCACCGGTTTCACGCCAGTCCCCAAACCCCCGCCTTTGCCTGCTTTTGCGAGACGGACCTGTCTCCGCTTCCGCCGAGCCTCTTTTTCCTCGAACCCTGCGTGCTTTGCAGAACCGCTATCGTCGAGCGCATCGACGAGCGTTTCTGAAAGCGTTTTGTAGGCTGCTGTATTCCGTATGGGTTCCGTGGTGTGAGCGATCGTAGATGAGACGGCGTTTGTTGCTTTTGAAATCTGCACCAGCGCAAAAAGTTAATGGATTAAATAACAAAGGAGAACTGAGACGCACTGCACGCATAAGCTCGCTCTCTTCCATCGTTTTGAGGGCTTCAGAGACGGCGTCCCCGACTTTGACACCTGTTTTTCGGAGCTCTTCAGCTGCAGCACGGAGCCGTGGGTTTTCTTTTATGCTCGAGGTCAGCTGCAAGAGAAAGGGTAGAAGGAGAGGTCAATATGACTATTCAAGCCAAACTGCAAGGCAGCCATAGAAAAAAACACCGACTCTTGCACGCTCATACGCCGCCCTTGCGCGTTTCATGGCCTCCGAGTCCTGGAGCTTATCCACGTCTCCCTGCAGCTGCTTGACATTGTCCTGCAGCTCCCTGTTTTTACGCAGCTCCTCGCGCAAGACCTCGACGAATGTCTGGAATGGAGACTTTGGGAGGTCGTTGTTGCGGGGTGAGGAGGAGTGGAAGGGACGAGCGGTGGGAGGGGAGCGTGTATGGGGGAGCGGGGCTATCCGGAAGGGCGGGGGGAATGAGCGGGAAGAGGGAAGGACATGGGCGCGGGCAAGGACAGCACTGCGGAGGTGGCGGGGAAGCATCGTAGACAGCGACAGACAGCGTTCTCTAGCAAAACCAGACATTCCTCAGGAAAATTATTTCAGTCACGTGGCCACAGCGGATATACAACCCTCTCTTGCCGAACGGATGAAAATCATCAATGGCAAGTGCATTCAATAATGGCTGAGCGGTGTAATTAAGTAGCTATGCTGTCTATATAATACTCAATATCCTAGTGCATGTCGTCTACGAATCACGTCCTATTGGCCGCGAATTGTTTGTCTCGCGGAACGTAGACCATGCCTCCTCCGTAGCTACCGATATACGCTCTTTTACGCTACCAAAGCTGTCCAGCGCAGGTCGTACATCCAGTGAAAACACGGGCGCGCCATCTGACTGGGTTGGTGCGGAATAGTAGTCGATCACATAACGAACCTCTTCCCCGGTTTTTGGACGGCGAACCACCCAGTCATGACGATCGAATGGCGGTTCAGCACTAAAGCCAAGTGGTAAATACTAATATATAATGTAAACGAAGCAAGGCGCATACTTGAATCGTGACGGGAGAAGCCAGCCAGCAAATAGCCAGAACCGTGCTTTTGGTGATATCTCCCCTGGTCGTCCCTTGAAGCGCGCAAGGTGGGGTTCTTCCTCACTTTCAAAAAAATGTTAAGCGGTGTCCTACTTCACTGATGAAAGAGACTCACGCTCCCGTCCTCTTCTCCCACTTGAGAACCTCCTGCCATGCCTGCTCGTTCAAAAAATTATGTATATCCACCATCGTCTCCACATGCTCCTCGGGCGTCTCCCATCCCTTGCGCACCAGTGCATTGTAGAATTGCTGTGGCGACGGGTACTCCCACTTCGCAGCTGGGTCACGCGGGATGGACGACTCGGTGCGCTGCGTCGGCAACTCTAGCGACTGGTGTGGGGCGGGCGATTGGGAGAGGGTGGGCATTTGGTTGAGTGGGTTGAGCCCCGTAGCGGTGTGGTCGATGGGGCATTGTGGTTTGGATGAGGAGTCATGCTGGATCGGGCAACCTGAAGCGGCAAGTGTTTGGTGTTGGATGGGACAACTTGAAGGTGACTCGAGAGATTTTGGTGAGGACGTTGTTTGACCCATTTCTTAATTTCTTACAGGTATAGTCTACGTCAGTTCGGACGTTGCAGGTCGGCGTCACAGAAAATCACACTTAGTCACGATTCCGTCACAGAAGCTAATTTAGGACTCCGACAGGCAAAATGTTCAAGTCCATCTGCAAAGTACAAAATTTTCGCTTATGCTGAAGCGCATTTGCAATTGTGAACTTCCTGGCGGTATGCCATCCGATAGGCTGGTTCAGAAGACATGTCCATTTCAGGTAGTCACCCAACTTGGGATAGTTGGATTGAAATTGTGAAGTATGATTAGATTGCTTGGGGCATAATATTAATAAGATACTGTAACAACCAAGAGTTAGTCACTCTGGCGCACACAGGAACACACTATAAAGAGAACGAAGAGGGAGTGGTTACCCCTTAGGATGCAGAGAGTTAGGTGGTATACAACAGGAGGACTCGCTGAGAAGTCTCCTGGATCTATTGGGGTATATATACTACTACAGGGTTATATGTACATATGTACTATACAGTTGATAGTGGCAGTGGCTGATGATGTCATGGGGCCTAGCCCGCATGGCCAGCTCCACTGTGTGAGAGAGTTGTATCTATAATAAGAAGAAAGGTCAACATGGCACGAGAAAGAGGGGTTTGGACAAAAGGGGAAGTGCCGCGTGGCACCATGTGTGAAAGCTAAAGTACAAGGTTAAAGCGGAGAATAAAAGTAAAGGGAAGGTCCGAAAATTGTGTTATTGTAACACTACCCCCCTTCTAAGGCTCGACTTCCAGGCGAGACCAAATACCGGAGGTAGTGGTTAAATTTTCGGGCATAGGTTGAAAAAGAGAATTAAAAAGACTTGAATCCATGCCTCTAAGCTTCCTAGGAGCTGAGGGATTCTTAGAATAAAATTTGTGAACAGTGTCGCGGGAATTGTCCAGATGGGCTTCTGGTTCCCACGTTCTGTCCTCGTCTCCATAGCCCTTCCATAGGACTAGGAACTTTAATTTGCCACACTTCAAGCGTGCATCCACCACTCGTTCAACTTCGAATTCTTCTTCACCTTCCTGGGTGACTACAACCGGTCCGGGCCGGTCTACACGCTGTCCCGGCAGTGGCCCTTTGTAGGGTTTTATACGGCTTATATTGACCGTGGGTACTACCCTCATTCATTTTGGGAGTTCCAGTTCCACCGCGTTGGGTTTGACTTCCTTAATCCGGTAAGGGCCAATCCACTTTTCGGTCAGTTTTCTAGACTGCCGATCTTTAAATTTTAAGTGGTCGGTATCTAACCAGACCAGGTCGCCGACCTTGTAGTCAGGGGCCTTAGAGCGTCTACACTCTGCCCTGTTTTTCATCTGCTCTGCAGTTTTAAATAGTGCCTTGCACGTTTCGTCCAAAACAGACTTCATATCTTTTGCCATGTTCTCAGCAGCCTCGTTCTTGCTTTTGCCAGGTTCTACACCCATTCTGGGGAGGTACAATCTAGTAACCTCAAATGGTGCCTTTCCTGTAGCCAATGACTGTTTGATATTATATGAGAACTGGGCTATTATTAGCCACTTGGCCCAATCTGTCTGCCTGTCATTAATAAATATCCGGAGATATTGTTTCAACTCTTGGTTGAGTCTCTCCGTTTGTCCATCAGTCTGCGGATGGAACACTGTTGATAATTTAGGTTTAATGCCCAGCATCTTGCATAACTCTTTCGTAAATTCGCTAGCGAATTGAGGTCCTCTATCGGAGATAACCGTTTCTGGTAACCCATGGATAGACCATACAAAATCTTTAAATAAATCTGCCGTGCCAGCGGCGGTAATGGTTTTATTGGTGGGTATGAATACCACTTCTTTGGAGAAGCAATCCACTACCACCATTACTGAATCATACCCATTTGACTCGGGCAGATCTGTTGTGAAGTCCACCGATATATCCTGCCAGGGACCAGCTGGTATAGGATTCGGCATAAGTTTACCGGCTGGCGGTTGGTGAGAATTTTTAGCCATGGCACATCTCAGACAGGATTTTATGTATTCCTGTACATCTTTGACCATGCCAAACCACATGTAGTTTCTGGAGATCAACTCCATTGTTCGTTGCCCAGCCACTGGAGTGTCGTGATGTCTGTCTATTGCCTTGATCCTTGTGGACTCAGGCACATAGATTTTGTCTTTAAAATGGAAGAGCCCATCTTCCCATAGATAATTTTTGTTGCCATCAAGGAGTGCCTTCTCTTCTGAGGAAATGTCTTTCTTGAAGACTTCCAGAAGATCGGAATCCTGCCCGATTTTAACATTGGCAACCCTTGATTGGTCTATCAGGGTGACACCTTTGTTATCATCTTCGATGCCGTTGGCATGGTCCTCTCTTCTGGACAAAGCATCTGCTTTCCCCATAGAGCTTCCAGGCTTATGAATTAATTTATAATTAGATCTTGACAAGTATACCATGTAGCGGGCCTGTCTTCGGTTCAGGTCTTGGGCCGTCATAAAATATTCCAGATTCTTATGATTGGTCCAAATTTCAAATTGGTGTCTAGCACCTTCTAAGTAGTGCCGCCAGTGCTCTAAGGCTCTAATGATGGCCAGCATCTCTTTGTAGTAAATTTGATAGTTGCGCTCTGTAGGCGACAAACTATGTGATAAATAGGCACACGGCCTCCAAAGATCGTCAGGGCATTTAATTGACAAAATAGCCCCAGTAGCAAAATCAGAAGAGTCGGTTTCTAGCCGGAACTCTTTGTCTAATTCTGGAAATGCTAATATGGGCGCCGTTGTAAATGCCTGTTTAAGCTTGTCAAAAGCTTCTTGTTCTTTGGCGCCCCAGTGCCAAACAATGTCCTTTTTAGTGAGATCGTTCAACGGTCTTGTGATTTTTGTGAAGTTTTCGATAAACCTTCGGTAGAAATTGCCTAAGCCAAGGAAGGCCCTAACTCCTTTGACGCTGTCATGCACCAAAGTTGATTGGTAGCATGGACAGGTGTCAATAACGAAGCGAATATTCAAAAAGACTCGCCTTTGCGCCACACAGGCACAGTGCCACGTGGAATAGTAATTAATATTGCCTTTTTCAAACTTGTGGCTGATCAGCACCACCTCTATTAGGCAATCCAGTCACGCTCACCTTTGCTTTTCCATTCGGTACTTTCGGCATTTCGGCATTTCGGCAAATTTTCGCGTCGCCACTGGCTACACATTGCATTGCGCCCTCGCTTTTGTCGTTTCCCTTACTCCCCTTCCTTTGCCTAGCCCCACCATGGGCCCCTTCCTCTCCTTTTTATTCTCACCTGACGGTCGTTTCTGGATCCCCATTCTAATCCACTTTTTCGTCACCTCCACCCTCCTCCTCCTCATCTTATTTGCACCCCCACTATTTCTGATGTCACCTGCTGTCCTATTCACTTGGGTACACTTATCTTTTGTCCATCGTCTTTGCTACAGCTACACCTACCACACGCTGCCTGGGACTCACTTGTTCCAAATTGGAACTACTCCTCTCCCTCCCTCGTTTGATCAGGTGGTCCAACACAACCAGTCCATTGGTACGGCCATGGAACTATCGGATTTGGACTAGGTGGTGGACCGGTGGCTCCAGTTTCTTTTTCTTCAGCAGAACATTCATTTACAGTGCGATTATTTTTGATTTTTGAATCATTTTTATGGACACATATTTTTTTAGAATGCCTGACTGACAATAAAGGAACTGTGTTGATACTGATAGTGTTTTTTTTGCCTTGCCCTTTTTTTACTGCATCTTCCCATGACATCATGATTTTCCTGCTCTCTTTTTGCTATTGGACTTTACTTTATGGCTGTACAAACCTGTGACATTACTCACAGCATTCATTGTTCTATCTCTTTCTTTTCCTTTTTTGACAATCTTGTCCTGTACTACCTACGCAGGATTTGTCAGCATACATTCCTTCCTTCATGTTCTTTCTCATTCTTTTTGCACAGCTATACTGTGCATAGCCTACTTTTCTTTTACTATATAAACCCCTGTATTTTACCTTGTAAAAAAAACAAGAACTCCATTCCAGACTTCTTCTCTAAATTCAAGTTCACTACTCTGCTGCTTGTGATCCAGTGTGGTCACAACACTTCCCACTGCTACCACTATCAACTGCTGTCATCATCACTTCCCACTTTTGAAGTCATTGTCATCCCTTTTGATTAGAGTCCTTCTGAGCACTACAGTTTGTGCGTCAGGAGCCTGCTATCGCTGGGAACCTCGTCATCTTGTTGTTCTCAAACCTACCTTGTGCTACGATTAGCAAGGTAGTGCTCGTCTATACTTGTCACTAAGCACCTATCTTCTATAAATTCAACTATCCCTCTTCCTCAAAACCCACACTCATACACCTCTGGGTTTTACTTTGAAGGATCTTTATACGTACCACCCCACGAACAACCAGACCACTCCACTGTTCTAGGAGGCAAAGCCCATAAACAAGTTCCATGGAATCTGGGAGGATTGTGTGTTAGTTTGTTTTTGTGTGTGGTTTTCTAACAGCAGTTCTCATCATCGACAACGCTTCTTACCATCCTTTTTAGGGATGAAGAACACCGGGGACGTCATAGGGCTTTTGGAAGGTCTGATGTATCCCTTCTTAAGCTGTTCATCTATGGAACTTGAGACCTCATCTCTTTCTGGAGCAGAGAGGGGAATTATGTGTCCTTTTCTCGGTTTGAAAGTGTCCTTTAAATCTATTGCATGGTCCCAAGGCTTAGCCTCTGGGAAGCATTCTGATTTGTGTTTTGAAAAGACTTTCCAGAAGCCATGGAACTCGGGAGGTACTGTAACAACCAAGAGTTATTTACTCTGGCGTACACAGGAACACACTATAAAGAAGATGATGGGGAGTGGTTACCCGTTAGGCTGTAGTGAGTTAGTTGTGTTAGACAACAGGAGGACTTGCTGAGTCCTTCCCCATGTATTGCTCTTGTATATATACTAAAATACATGAGGTACTGTACAGTTGTAAATAAAGTTCAAAGTCCGATGTCTAGCATGTGACCGGTCACATGATGAGTCTAGACATTGGTCAGGTGATGTGTCACATGACTGGTCATGTGACTATGAAAAGTCGAAAATGTAAAGTAAAGTAAATGGTCACATGACTGGTCATGTGACTTGGAAAATAAAAGTAGAAGTACAAAAGTGAAGTGTAAGTAGGTGCTGGTATGTTAATTGTAACAGGTACCAGCCTCTTAATCTCTTCTTCGGGTTTTACCTCATCATCATCATCGTCGATCTTTTCTAAAGATCTGAGTTCATAAACGTGACCAGCGTTTATCTTTTCAAGACGCTCATTGTGACGGACATGATTCGGTTTACCCAAGTTCACACACTCCTGAGGGCAACATGACAATGTGACAACCCCTGTCTGCCAGTTGATCTCAGGATTGTGTTTAAATAGCCAGGTCCAGCCCAAGATTAAATTAATCTTCCCTAGTCGGGTAGCTTTGGCGGTGACTCATTCTCTGTGTCCTTGGTATTCGACAACAAAGGAACATTTGTGCGTGATGCAGCCACCCGCATTCAGCGTACCGTCAACGTTATAGACGGGAATAGATACATCTAATTTTACAAGGGGGAGTCCAATTTGCTCCGCCCAGACCTGATCTATGAAGATTCCATTAGCACCTGAATTAAGCAGTGTGCTGGTCGGGTGTACTATGCCCCGGGCAAGGTTTTCCACACCAACATCTAAACAGATCTCTTTTTGGAATAAATACGTGCGCATCAACACACGCCTTGGGATTTCGGGAAAGGGTGGCTCCAGTGAAGAAAAAGGGGTATTGAAAGTTACATGTTTTTTTATTTTATTTTTACCAGAATCAAGCACCCTAGTGTTTGTCTCGCCGGGGCCACACTCCAAAGGAGACGCTGGTGCAGCGGTAGTATCATAAATATTACAGTCACAATGTTTCATACAAGTACATACTTCAGATAACAAATTTAGAAATTTATTTACAAATTGGGGAGCCATCCTCGTCTTTCCTTTATTGCTCGTGCAACACCCCGGAGCAGGGGCCACCTTGTTGTGGTTTACTTCATTGTTCATAGGAGCGAAGGCACCCAAGTGACCTAAGCTCCGAACTCTTTTCCCTGAGCCTTCATTTCAGCAGCTTGCTGATCTTAGAAGAAGGCCCGGATTTCGTTGTACGAACGACCGGCCAGAGTCTGGAGCCGATCGTCCGGTTTTTCGGACTCTAATTGGCGCGCCTGGCGCCCTTGGTTATTTTTTTGTTGGGCAGCCTGCGCTCCTTTTCTGCAGTCTCGGGACATGTGTCCCTCTTGGCTGCAATTATAGCAGTTCCCCTGGAATCTGCGCATCTGTCCTCCTTGGACCGCGCCGATATCCATAGGGGCTCCCTGCCCTGGTTGCAGCCCGAACGGCTTGAACCCGTGAGAATGGTTTTGATGGTTTGATGACCCAGGGCGCCTCTGGGATTTGTTGTTTTTGGTGGTGGACCCGCCACCATGGTGCATTTGGTAAAGTTCCATGGCTCTACCGATTCGTCGTACTTCCTCAGCCGCCAAGGCCAAGTTCTTGTTTCTTGTATCCTGCAAGTAGATTTGTTCTGCAATGCAAGGGTTCACATTGCACTCCAGCAGTTCTACTGCATGTTCATTTTCAAGCCCTCCTTGGATGGAGAGGGCCAGGAACCGGGTAACATAGTCATCCATCCTCATATTTCCTTGTTTGAAGGAACAGATTTGCTGACGCGCCCAGTCACGCTCAGCTTGTGGTTTAAAGTATTTTTCGATCTCTTTCTTGAGATCGTCCCAGGTCGGCCACACTCCCGTGGTGTAGCACTCCTGTAATCTAACTTGGGCGTACCGACCCGCCACAGGTCCTTTTAGTCGAGATAGCACTGCAGTGGCTACCTCAAAGTTGTCGGCAAATGTGTCCCAATTTGCCTTAACCCAAATCTGGAGCTTGATCCACCACTCGGCGAATTGTGCTCTGTCTCCTTCAAAGGCGCCAGGGTCAGCGACAACTTCAACTTTTTTATTGAACTTTTTCTCTACCGAGGGGGTTGCCGCAGGAGGGTTTGTCTGTAGCTCGGCGAGTTGTGAGGTTAACATTGCAATCTGTGTACGCATGGCGTACAGCAGGGCATTGATATCTTGTTGCGACGACATGTCGACTTGTTCTCTTTGTAAAGTAAAAAAAATGTAACTGGGGGTCTCCGCTTGCTATCTGCGGATCTACCTCTTCCCAGCTGAGTATTGGATCTCAATCTCCGACTACCCACACTATAGTATTTTGTAAATTTTATATAAAAGTTATAGTATTTAAACCCTGGTCCGAACGGTTGTCAGGGGGTGGTCCGCTTGTTAAGCTGTCAACCCTTCTCCAGACTGGCGGAGGCAAGTGCCCGGCCTGGTCAGAGGAAAGAGAAAGTGAAGTTTTGTATGTAAATTCTAATCAACAGTGGTTCCACGCTGACTGCTGAGCTAAGTACTCCCCTTAACGCTGGGGGCCGCATATCGAAGGTTTTGGTTCTTCTCCCAAAGCACTACAAGGCCGTCGCAAAGAGCGCACCTATCTGCTATGCGGGATATTCCCAACCAATAACCAAATCTCCTTCACCCTGGAGTCCGGGTGCCCAGTGGGACTTTTTGCACAACATGCGAGAGAGTAGAAGAGCAAGTCCTAATGTAACAACCAAGAGTTAGTTACTCTGGCGCACACAGGAACACACTATAAGGTGGTGAATGGGGAGTGGTTACCCTTTGAGCTGCAGAGAATTTGTTGGTATACAACAGGAGGACTCGCTAAGGAGTCTCCTGGATCTATTGGGTATATATACTACTACAGGGTTATTTGTACATGTGTACTATACAGTTGATAGAGACAGTGGCTGATGATGTCATGGGGCCTAGCCCGCATGGCCAGCTCCACTGTGTGAGAGAGTTGTGTCTAAAATATAAAGAAAGGCAATGCGGCACGAGAAAGAGGAGTTTGGACAAAAGGGGAAGTGCCGCGTGGCACCATGTGTGAAAGCTAAAGTGTAAGGTTAAAGCGGAGAATGAAAATAAATGAAAGGTCCAAAAATTGTGTTATCGTAACAATAATATATATTTACAGATTATGGACCCTATCATGCACAATTTATGTTAGAGAATATGTGATAGGTCACACACAAATCCACCCACTTGCTATCACTGTGTATAGAACTGTTGCTGAGGTAGGTTTTATACTTCCTAGGCAATATCACATGTTATATGATGTGCCATGTACTTATTCTCAGCTGTTATGGCTACTAAGGCCATGCACTATATCCTATAGATAATGTGTATCTGGGTTGTTACCATTAGCATCCTCTGGTGGAGCAGTGTGGGAAGCAGAGTGTCATTTGGTGTGATATATTAATATACTAGTCTATAACTTGTTGCAGCTTTGGGCACCTGTAATACTATGGGGTCAGGTGCCTTTCACATCTTCCACACCTTTTCCCCCTCCATTGATTTCTCTCTTTATTTAAGATATCAACTGTAAATATAGAGATATATTGATATCTGTTAGGATAACACTTGGGAAGATGACAATATCTCTTCAGAAGTCCCAGACCTATAGGGGCATCCCTTGGGATAATACTTGGGAAGATGGGAATATCACATTTGAAACCCCAGACATATGGGGACATCCATTGGGATAACACTTGGGAAGATGGGGATATCCCATGAGATAGAAACTGGGAATATGGGGATATCCCTTGGGATAATATTTGAGAAGATGGGGACATCCTTGGGATAGATTCAGGGAAGATAGGGATATCCCTGGGGATAACATTTGGGAAGATGGGGACATCCCTAGAATAAATTTTGGGAAGATAGAGACATCCCCTGGGATATAATTTGGGAAGGCAGGGACTATCACAACACAATGGGATCCGCACCCGTGTACAGTGATCCTGGACCTTCTGGGCATGCAACCAATCAGTATGCTTTCCAAGTACGCCTTGGTAGCTTAGTTGGTAAAGCACCAGACCATGAAAGCTGGAGTCCCAGGTTCAAGCCCTGGCCAATGCATGTTTTCTCATACTATAAACAAGTGTCATAATTTGTCAGGGACATCCACAGGGATAGCTCTTGGGAAGATGGGGATATCTCATATACTAACATTTGGGAAAATGGGGACATCACCATGGATAGCATTTGGGAAAATAGGGACATCCCATGTACCAACACTTGGGATGATGGAAATATCCCCTGGGATAATAATTGGGAAAACGGGGACACCCACTGGGATAAAATATGAGAATATAGTGTTATTCCTTGGGAAGTCTCAGACATACTCAGATATCCCTGAGCATGACCTGTGGGTATATGGGGATATCCCATGGGAAGTCCCAGAGATGTACAGATATCCTTTTTACTAACACCTGTGAAACTGGGAATATTCTTTCAGAAGTCCCTAACAAATAGGGACTTTCCCGGGGATTGATATAGACATACTTTGAGATGACAACCAGAATTATAGGGACTTGTCCCACTCTACCTTTTTCAGCTTCATAGTCTTTGTACCTCTGGTAGCACTTCTCAATGCCAGCAGTAGTCTTTCAGATGGGACTCTTCTGTAGAAGGGAAATGATCTGAAAGACCCACCACCTGCACCTGTGAATAAAATCAATATTTAGAAATAGATTGGGCCCTTTGCAGTTGAATTTATATTAAGTAGACCAAAACCCCAAGAAACTATACATATAAACAAAGAAGCAGGGGTTTCATGGCAAGTACCAGAATTATAGAGATATTTTTGAGACAATACTCAAGGATACTTGGTAGCTACCAGGATTCTGTGGTCATATCTGGGGATTGAGTTTGAGTAGATAGGACAATATCTAATATATTATGGGGATAATAGTGTGGTTGTCCCTGGGACAAGAGAGTAGTTTGCCCAAGGGACATCCCCAGTAATTATGATAGACCGAGGAAGACCGGCATATTATGACCTCTTAGGTACATAGGTATATAGATATATATGAAGCTAAGAGGTATGTCCCAGAGGGGTGACTGAAGTGTATATATTGAATAAGTGTGCTGTCTCCAATTGGTCAAGAACTCAGACACATTGCAGCTTGAAGTTGAGTCAACCGTTGGTAGCACTAAAAGGGTGTTTGCAGTGTGTAATGAGAAGGTGTTCAGTAATATCAGCCATAAATTGAATAATGCAACCCATGTCCCTTATAGACCGAGCAAAATGTTGCAACAACTCCAAATTAGGTATGTTAAAGTGATTAATTGGAGTGCTTGCACCCTGACATGCTTTTGCATCCAAAATGGACTGTTTATTGTTGTGGAATTCCCCAAGCAACACAGCCGTAGCTGCTATCAATGCTGCTGTGTGTACCGGGGATTGAGCTTGATATATAAAGTCCACAAGGGTGCAAACTGCATGTAAAAGAGCAGGTTTAACAGCCCCTGCAGCCACTGCTACAATTATCCGCTGAATCTCACAGTGTTTGTGGCCAGTTATTTGTCTGACATGTGAAATGCCTGATCTGTTACGATAACACAATTTTTGGACCTTTCCTTCATTTTTATTCTCCGCTTTAACCTTGTATACTTCAGCTTTCACACATGGTGCCACGCAGCACTTCCCTTTTTGTTCAAACTCCTCTTTCTTGTGCCGCGCTGCCTTCTTCTTATTTTAGATACAAGTCTCTCACACAGTAGAGCTGGTCATGCAGGCTAGGCCCCATGACATCATCAGCCACTGACTTTATCAACTGTACAATACATAAGTACAAATACTCTGTATTAGTATATATACCCCAATAGATCCAGGAGACTCCTTAGCGAGTCCTCCTGTTGTTTACCAACAAACTCTCTGCAGCTTAAGGGGTAACCACTCCCCCATCACTACCTTTATAGTGTGTTTTTGTGTGCGCCAGAGTAACTAACTCTTGGTTGTTACATGATCCAAAATGCCGGAAACCAACTCTTGCATGCAAACACTGATAACAAGCATCCAGCTCATCCCTTCCAATTGCCTCTTTACACCACAGGAGAATATGATCAGAGAAGAATTTGTGGCAAGTATGGAGGACTTTGGGCACCAAGAACTTGCAAGGGTCAGCAAGTGGCCAGTCATGCCAGAATGGATGATGGACACCATTAAGATAGAAAGACTTTGCTTTGGGTAGATAGTTTGCAAAGTCCCGGATGTCGTGCTTGATTCCAGCTATTGTGACCAGTGTCTGAGTGCTGTCGATGATGAGAACTGTTGTTAGAAAACCACACACAAAAACAAAGTAACACACAATCCTCCCAGATTCCACGGAACTTGTTTATGGGCTTTGCCTCCTAGAACAGTGGGTGCTCTGGTTGTTCATGGGGTGGTATGTATGAAGATCCTTCAAAGTAAAACCCAGAGATGTATGGGTGTGGGTTTTGAGGAGGAGGGATAGTTGGAATATAGAAAGATAGGGGCTTTGTGGCGAGTATAGACAAGCACTACCTTGCTAATCGTAGCACAAGGTAGGTTTGAGAACAACAAGATGACGAGGTTCCCAGTGATAGCAGGCTCCTGACGCACAAACTGTAGTGCTCAGAAGGACTCTAATCGAAAGGGATGACAATGACTTCAAAAGTGGGAAGTGACGATGACAGCAGTTGACAGTGGTAGAAGTGGGAAGTGTTGTGACCACACTGGACCACAAGTAGCAGTAAGAAGTGGACTTAAGATTAGAGAAGAAGTCTGGAATCGAGTTCTTGTTTTTTTTTTACAAGGTAAAATACAGGGGTTTATATAGTAAAAGAAAAGTAGGCTATGCACAGTATAGCTGTGCAAAAAGAATGAGAAAGAACATGAAGGAAGGAATATATGCTGACAAATCCTGCATAGGTAGTACAGGATAAGATTGTCAAAAAAAGGAAAAGAAAGGGATAGAACAATGAATGCTGTGAGTAATGTCACAGGTTTGTACAGCCATAAAATAAAGTCTAATAGCAAAAAGAGAGCAGGAAAATCATGATGTCATGGGAAGATACAGTAAAAAAAAGGGCAAGGCAAAACACTATCAGTATCAACACAGTTCCTTTGTTGTCAGTCAGGCATTCTAAAAAATATGTGTCCATAAAAATGATTCAAAAATCAAAAATAATTGCACTGTAAATAAATGTTCTGCTGAAAGAAAAAAAAACTGGAGCCACCGGTCCACCACCTAGTCCAAATCTGACAGTTCCATGGCCTTACCAATGGACTGGTTGTGTTGGACCACCTGGTCAAACGAGGGAGGGAGAGGAGTAGTCCCAATTTGGAACAAGTGAGTCCCAGGCAGCGTGTGGTAGGTGTAGCTGTAGCGAAGACAATGGACAAAAGATAAGTGTACCTAAGTGAATGGGACAGCAATGAACATGGGCGACGCAAGGGGATGAACCTTCTCCAGCTCAAAAACTACCCACCCACGCTCCAACCAGGCAAGATGAGTGACCGATGTTTTGATAGTATATGATGTTAGATTGACGTCATAAAGATGGACCTGTTGCCCTATTTGAACCGGCCGCCGGGGCTTTGCTGATATCAGCAGGGCACGTGGTAGTCGACGGATTGGCGACGGAGGCGGATAGGAAGTGGTAACATCAGAAATGGTGGGGGAGCAAAGAAGATGAGGAGGAGGAGGCTGGAGGTGACGAGGAGGTGAACTAAAATGGGGATCCAGAAACGACTGTTGGGTGAGAATAAAAACGAGAGTAAGGGACCCATGGTGGGGCTAGGCAAAGGAAGGGAAGTGAAGGAAATGACAAAAGCAAGGGCGCGATGCAATGTGTAGCCAGTGGCAACGCAAAAATTTGCCGAAATGCCGAAATGCCGAAAGTACCGAATGGAAAAGCAAAGGTGAGCGTGACTGGATTGCCTAATAGAGGTGGTGCTGATCAGCCACAAGTTTGAAAAAGGCAATATTAATTACTATTCCACGTGGCACTGTGCCTGTGTGGCGCAAAGGCGAGTCTTTTTGAATATCCGCTTCGTTATTGACACCTGTCCATGCTACCAATCAACTTTGGTGCATGACAGCGCCTAGACGAGGAGGGGAAGGGGTATTATTGCCAAATTGACATAATGTGGCTTGGGATGAAGGGGATGCGCTCTTCGAGGTACATGAGATCATTTGCTGTTCAGGAAGATCCGCTACCCATGCAATGAGAGGAGTATAAACTTGATGTGCACTCCCATTGGGGTCTCCCATCCAAACACCCGTTGAAGCAGCAGCTTTAAGGTTTCTTGCAACAAGGATTGGTTCTCAGTATGACAATCCAGGAAATTGGGCACAGGTAAAAATATGGTGCATAACCAAGCATGAGACGTGGCTTTCACTTGTACATCTGATGCAATGTTAGCAAGTGTCAAGAATGTCGGATGCATATCTATCCCCCCAGTCCCTTGAGTGACTGTAGTCTTGTCTGAAACACCAATAACTCCTATGATAGTGGACCCTTTGGGCAGCTCATCCTAGAGTTGTGTTAGTAATTGAAAAGAATTAGAAATGAGAAATCACCTATATGGTGCATGCATAATCTTCTGGCATTCATTCACCATATTCATGCAATCCTTGAGTGTAACAACCAAGAATTAGTTACTCTGGCACACAAATAGGACCAACTACAGGGATGATGATGAGGAAGTGGTTACCCTTTAGACTTCAACAAGTTAGTTGTGAGGATACAACAGGAGGACTCGCTGAGGAGTCTCCTTGATCTATTGGTTTATATATACTACTACAGGTTTGTTTGTACATGTGTACTGTACAGTTGATAGAGGCAGTGGCTGATGATGTCATGGGGCCTAGCCCATGTGACCAGCTCTACTGCGTGAGAGACTTGTAGCTAAAATAAGAAGAAGGGCAGCGCAGCGCAAGAAAGAGGAGTTTGAACAAAAGGGAAAGTGCCGCATGGCACAATGTGAGAAAACTACAGTAAAAGGTTAAAGAGGAGAATGAAAATTAAAGGTCCAAAAATGTGTTATTGTAACAAGTAGTACTGTGTTTTTGTGACTAAGTCCCATCCTCTCTTGGGAGGATTTGCCACCACCAAAAAATGTGATGAGTCATCCCAGCCTGCTTGCATGTGTAATATTCTGCTAATATATGACACGCGAGCTAGCCAAGCTGGATGGGTACAAGCCTAGAAAATCACTCTGGTAGAAGTGTTTAGATACTCCAACTGATTATTTTTACAAGAGGGATAAAACATTGGGGGGAATTTGAAGTAGCTGTAGTGAATGCACAAAAGTAGTGGTGACTTGATAAACTGCACCATGGCCAAACAGGCCCTTTGAAAGTTTTGCAAACAAAATAAATATTGAGACCCGTAGGTCTACCACTCCGGAAAAGCGTGTCATCCTTGTGCAGGGGCCATGCTAATCTTCTCTGTATCATTCCAATTTTTACGTATGTCATCCCGAAGGGGACATCTTGGTGTGGAAGAGAGAGCAAGGTATGAGAAAAATACAGGATTGTGTTTGGTAGACGGGTGGCGTATATATCCTAATCTGGTGATATATTAGATAAGCTTATCGTACGGACGCAGCTAACCCGGACATTACCGGTCGAACTAGTATGTAGTGCTAATCTGTTAAACTTGAAACTACTTTCCACACTGATCGCTTTTTCTACTCACTACGGCCACCATGGTCTACACTTAGGCTACATCATCTTCTCTGACATTCTTACCTGCCAACTCAAACAAGATTCATGGTAGGATAGTCGCGTCAAGGACGGGACGGAACTATGGCACGTCCGGATCTTCTCCTCTGCTATCATTGGACAATTGGCGTCCAGACGTTTGTATCTATTGTTCACAAGAAAAACAAGTGCGTGATGTTTGTCTCCGGCACACCGATACAAGAAAGCCGATAGCCTAGTAACAATATTGAAATTTAGAAAGGGCGGAGCTTCTCCAACGAGTGCATAGCGCATTAGAGTACCCGGATATTCGGTTTCTCTCGCCCAATGCTCGAACGGGATTCCGACTGGGCATCACCCCGAGAGTTGACATACTGACACTCTCAAGTTTGGGCCTTCTAACCATAGATACTTGCAATCCGCTCCGCTGTGCCGACGTATTGTCGATAAATGGAACATTGTGCATCAAACTTTGGGCATCGGGAATATTTAGATGAAAGAAGGCACAGGAGACTCCGAGCTATATTATTTTTATGGAGGCCGATGAGCGCTAGTGAAGCCAGCAATAAGTACAGCTACTTCTAACGAGGCTATCATCGCGAGTTTTATTTTTCATTTCATGGTACCGGTCTCCTCGATGTCACAAAGGCACTAACATGATCCTCAGCATACGTTGAACTGGCACATGGAAACTAACTATGGCGGCACTGGGGATGGCTATATCACGTTCAGTTGTTGGAGTATATCGATCCGGCCTGTCATTAGCTCGCACAAGTCACCGGGTTTGATCGCTATCAGCTCTCCCGCGCTCCTGTTCATTGTTTTACAGCAAACACTCGTCTCAACGTTTCTCCTGTCATACCCCAGAACAATAGGGTGTTGTGACCCATGATATAGTTTGATGTAAAGTGCTCTCACTTCATTTTTAACACCTCGATTCACAGTGGATGGTTGACATGACCACTATAAAAGTTTCGACCTATTCAAAAACATCTTTTTTCTCCGGTGCAGCTTCCTCATATGCTTCTCGAGACCGATCGAGCGTGAAGAAGCTGAAGTCCAGCCTTCTCGGGATAGTTCCCCATGGGGCAAACCAACCATCCAACGCTGGGCCTCGAACCATTGCGCCGCTTCTCCTCTCAAGCATTCTATGCGTTGCCATCCACCAAAAATACATATAGAACGGTACCGTACTCACCGCCCTCATCCTGGACATTATTTCACACGAGGCTAATATCGGTCTAATGTGTCCTCATACAGCCTCAATGCATCATTCCCATGGTACGTTTCTAACAAACGGTTCTTCTGATATGTACCGAAGTTCCTCCTCTTCTCGGATCATTGTTATTTGTGGGAGGATGGGAGGAAGAGAACTGGTATACCTGTGTGTATCCGGTGAGCTTGAATCCTTCGGTGGCGAAAGAAGGATGGGGAAAGGGGTTCCCCGGCCTTCTTTCGCCTTCCCCGCTCTCAATGTAGAAACGAGGCTTCCGAAGAGTGGGTGTTCTAGAACCGTTCATTCATGATACTATAATCTTACACAAGAAAATGAAAATCCAGTTTTGCACGAAGTATCATATTCTCACCTCGTATGCGCCCAGATAAGCCAGACTGATAGCCACATAAATAAGACCATGCTTCTACACTCCATGATAGGAACGGCGGTCACTTGAATAACAGGATAAGGGGTGATTATGGCACTAATGGTGGAAGTCATTCGCGCCAAACGAATTTAATTAATCCTCCGTTTCTCCATTTGTGACGGGATAACGCCATTCACGGGTAATTTCGAATGGCAGGCTGCAGTACGGATTCAGGACGTACAAGTGCAGTAGCAGCAATGAGACACACGTTGTAGGGGTCATTTGCAAAAAAAAACAAAAAAACACTCAAGGATGGTTGGTGGCGAGCTGTGAATAAAGTTGATGAATATGATAGATATGTCAAACTCAAACTACATGTCACATCCCATCATCATACCGCTACGTGCTGCACATTCCTCTTACCCGTCACCTGTGCCTCGGGCCTGATTGAATACGTAGAGGAGAGTGATGAGGAAAAAGAATGCAGTTAGACAGACGCCCCTGAGGTCCGGATGTGCTGCCGTTGACAGGTTTGACAGGCCTGGAACCCTGTTGATACGCACAATGACCATATATATATATTACGTATGACAGGAAAGATGGTACTTTCACCGATAGCAACAGGCGCCGAGGCTATCGGATCCAAAGATGTAGATGTTTTATACGTATGCCCTGTATCAGTGATCGCTGGGGATAAAGGGATCATGGAGAGCGTTCGGAAATACCCAAGGACAGGCGCGTATGACAAGCGTACAGGACAAAGAGATGAAATGGGCTATTGTTAAGAGGAATCGACGCAGAGATGGGAGCTGGGCTACCTGTATGGAAGGGAAGGGTGCGAGGATAGGATCAGCGCGACGAAAAAGCCCTTAGGATTACCGTTGTCGTCCGAACGTGCGACTTGGGAGAAAGATGGACGGGCAAACGGCTGAATGTGAGAATGTGAGGCGCATCTGAGCCGGTAGGGGGAGCTACGAGAGTGTTGAGTGTATTGCGTTGGAACCCGTAGACCGCCGATAACTGTACAAATAACTGCAAGAGTCGAGGTCGAAGTAGGTTTGGTTGGTGATGTGAATCAAGGCGGATCTTTGATTAAACCAGGATGCGACGAGGATCAGGCTGCAGGAATGATTTTGAGTAGGACAATTGCTAGAGTTGGACTGGGACACGGTACCGTTACAGCTCAATAGAAGCGAAGCGTGGTGCATACATATACATGAATAGGGATGTGACAACGACACTTGGATCAGGGGATTTATATTCTTTAGAGTGACTGGGCAGTGAAGCTTTAGTTTCATTAGTGTGTCCTCCGGCAATTAGGTTTGGTAGGTTTACTAGTAGGCTTATACAGAAGGAGGCCGAGCGTTTATAATTCATCGACCCTCGGTCATGTGGCCATCATAGGCCGGGATCACAGTAGCTGACTTGCGCTCCGCATTCTCGTAAGTCGAGACACGCCAACTTACAGATGGTGATCACTTGAAGTAAGTCACTTGACCTGCATGGCACAGATCTAAGGGTGGAAAGAGATCGTACTCTAAACTGGTAATAAGTTGGAGTTTAAACGCATGCAGACTGATTTTCCTTTAAAACTCAACTGGTTAGTGGAAAGTTGTGGGATGATTTCCCCATGTAGCGGCGTAGTGAATTCAGGGCTCGGGTCAGGGCGCTTTCTTTTGCTGCAGTTTTACTCCTATCAGAGTAGTGATTGGCGTGACTCGAGCCGTTGTAGAATTATTTTGTGGTGTTGGCTGCACGATGAAGCTGACATCACTGCTTCCGGTAGCAGGTGTGATGGTATCTCGTTCTGCTAGAAGATAAAATAAATAAAGACATAGGCAAATATTAATTATTTACATACCAAGAGAGCACATATCGAAAATCTCGGACACATCATGCAATTATTTGTTGTGAAACTAGACATTACCGATTCGTACAAGTTAAAAAGTTGAAGCACAAGGCTCCTGTTGCGCTGTGTGCATTAACGCTTGGCAGCGAGCAAAAAAGGAAAGCTGAGGAACATGGATGTCCCTGTGGGAGGCTATAGGTAACTTGTTGAGTTGAGCGAGCGTTGAGCCCGGCAAGCAGCGCACAATGTAGAGGCGCAACCATCAAATGACCGAGATATGATGGAAGGAAGCATAAGCGGTCCCCACGTTGTGGTAATTGTCAAAAAAAAGCGGGGCATGATCGAATATCGATCGCGGGTGTAGCGATGGTGGTGAAGTTGGAGAGTTCGCATCGTATAGAGCTCTATTTGACTTTTAGAGGGGACGTGGGCTGATTCTGAGGGTTTTCCGCCAGCTCAAGAGACAGTGATGGTTGAACCATCAGAACTAGGTCCACCATTCTACGTAAAATGGAGAAGTATGACAGACTGGGAACCAATAGTAAATCATCGATGATCGACGATAAAGATTGAAAGAAAAACATAAATGGGCCCATCAAAGAGACTGGCAGGCTTTGGGAAGTGCTTGGGATGACGACCTACATCTATGTGAGTAACTAAGGGAGTCAAGGCGGACATTGGCATAGCTACTCCGTACGCATGGGAGGGAGAGATGTAATTACAAGGAATAAGCGAGATCTGGACAGTGACAAACGAGTACGTATGGTACCACGGGGAGCACTTGGGGTACGGGGATGGGGTCTGAGAGACTCGGTCTTTGCGGAGAGGGCTGGGCAGAATGGTGCCTAAAATGTAATGGGATTGGTTATTGGCGGTCATTGGACCATAGTTCGGAAGAAAGGAACGGGAAGCCTGGAGAGAGAATGCAGGCTGATACATGTGTTAGATATGAAAGTGTTATTTGATGGGAGCTGTCCCGTTGCCGGAAGAGCATCACTGCCTTCAAATCTTCCTCATCAAGTGTCCAAGGGAGAAAAAAACGCTGAAAGACCTGGAGAGATCCTGATCAAACGATTATCCGGCTGCTAACGGAAGTGATCCGCCATATGGCAGGTGGTCTAGGATGGAGTTTCAGTTTGCACCCTGGTCCAGTGTGTCTGGCACTGGGTGGCAGTCGCGGTTTCGCAAGACATCGCAGGTCAGAGCCAGAGAGAATGCGGGCAGGAGGACTGCAGCAAAGACGGAACTGGGGAGAGAAGAGACTGAGGATGATCCGAATTGGGAGTGTCGCGGCGCTTGTTCTGTTCCTGGATCTCGATCGAACGCGCGGTCGAGGTGCCAGATTCACGACATGTCACAGACCCATTTCTGTGACGCGTTACTTCTCTTTGCTCTGGTCGCTTCAGATTTTGTATATAACCCAGCGCAATGAGTTCCACGCTGTCCACATCTTTGTGCTTCGAACCCCTCTCTAGTCCATAGCTCACCTCTCTCACAATGCCAGGTGGTCCAGCTGCTACAGGTGCGGGTATCGGTGCAAATGCACCAAAGAACGCCTTCGCTGGCATTCTTATGGTATGTCTTCTCTTCCCTTCCCCTTCTCCCTCTCTGATCCTCTTTCTAGACGTAAGATCGCATCTATATCTTTACTGCTCTTGTTCACCTTTTATTCCTTTTCTCAGCGCCTTTGCCGCCTTTGGTGGTGTTCTCTACGGGTCTGTCTCTACTCTCCCCCATCCCTCACAACACTCATTTCATCCCTCTCAGTTATGACACAGGCACAATCAATGGCATCAAATCCATGTGTAACTGGCTCGAAACGTTCGGACATGAAGTTCCAGTCTCCACTCTCTACCCATGTGGTTACACCATTACATCTTCCCAAGAATCTCTCGTCGTTTCTATACTCTCTGCCGGAACTTTCTTCGGTTAGTCTCACTTTTACCGTCATGCATCCATTTCACTCATTTCATCTCAGGTGCTCTCCTTGGTGCACCCGCGGCCGATATCCTTGGTCGTAAATGGGGTATCATCTTCTCCGGTCTGGTTTTCTGTATCGGTGTTGCCATGCAAACCGCATCAACAGCCATGCCTCTGTTCGTCGTCGGTCGTGTCTTTGCCGGTCTCGGTGTCGGTCTCATCTCCGTTTTGATTCCCATGTACCAATCTGAATGGTATGTTACTCTCGTAACGATGCCCTCCCATTTTGGATGCAGACTGACTTGTAAACAAAAACCAGTTCTCCCAAGTGGATCCGTGGTGCTGTTGTATCTGCCTATCAGTGGGCTATCACCATTGGTCTTCTCCTTGCATCTGTGGTCAACAATGCCACCCAGGCTCGTAACAACCACTCTTCGTACCAAATTCCGATTGCAGTACAATTCATTTGGGCCATCGTTCTCATGTTCGGCATGTTCTTCCTTCCTGAGGTTAGTGGCTTGCCCTATCGATAAACCTGTGTCTCATCTTACCTCTTCTGCCTTAGTCTCCCCGTTGGTTGATCAAGAAGGGCCGCGACGCAGATGCTGCTATTTCTCTCAGTCGTCTCACGTCACTCGATGTCAACAACAGTGAAGTTGAACTTGAGCTCGACGATATTCGTGCCAACTTGAAATCCGAGGAAGAGTTCGGCAAGACGGGCTACATCGACTGCTTCCGCGGTGGTCCCACCCAGATCGGTTTGCGTACCCTCACTGGTATTTTCCTTCAAGCGTGGCAGCAGCTCACTGGTATCAACTTCATTTTCTACTTCGGTACCCAGTTCTTCCAGGGCGCTGGCATTGGAAATGCTTTCCTTGTCAGTGTCGCTACCAACATCGTTAACGTTTTCATGACTCTCCCTGGTATGTGGGGTGTCGAGCGTTTCGGTCGTCGTCGTTTGTTGATTATCGGTGCCATTGGTATGACCGTCTGCGAGTTCATCATTGCCATCGTCGGTGTTACTGTCCCCACAGCTAACAAGTCTGGTCAAAACGTTCTTGTCGCGTTCGTGTGTATCTACATCGCCTTCTATGCCGCTACGTGGGGTCCTATCCCTTGGGTTGTCACCGGCGAGATTTTCCCTCTCGCTGTCCGTGCCAAGGCTATGTCGCTCTCCGTCGCATCCAACTGGCTGTGGAACTTTGCCATTGCTTACGCCACACCATACCTCGTGAACCCTGGCGCCGGGAATGCCAACCTTGGAGTGAAGGTGTTCTTCATTTGGGGTTCGACGTGCTTCTGTTGCATCGTCTTCTCTTACTTCTGCATTCCTGAGGTGAGCTCTCAGCTGAGATACAGTTTTTACTTTTCTACGTTATCTAACGAGTTACCGAATTCTCTTTTCAGACCAAGGGTCTTTCTTTGGAGCAAGTCGATATCATGTACCAGCACTCTTCGCCCATCAAGTCCGTCCAGTACCGCAAGCAGCTCATTGCTGCCGACGTGCATGCCTCGGACCCAACATCGATTGAGAAGGCTGATGAGCAATCCACTGATGAAAAGGCGTAAATAGTAACCGCACTCGTAAGGCGCATACGGTCAGGGTTAAGCCCTGCCATTTTAGTAGCAGTATTTCACTCACTAAATAGTGAATTTGTGATTTTTACGGGTACGATGTGATATACACGACCTCTTAATTGATAATACGATTTTTTTTGGCTTCCCTGCATTGCGTTTGGATTGACTGCTGCACGCATATGTTTTTCCAACCCATCAACAGGAAATAGAAAAAGGTCCGAGTCGGTGTCTTATAAAATAGCCTGTGAATGATGGTCGTATTCTTGTGAACGCGCAGCAACCCCTAACATATCAACTGGGCAAGGGCTTGGCGAATCAAGCCCGCGAAATACAAACAAGAAGCGAAGTCACTGGCATGTGGTTCGCATCCTTATCCCACCCCACATTAAGCAATACAGATATGCCTACCCCGTTCTCTCTGAAGATGGGAAGATGCGGCGGCTTGATTTATTTAAATTCGAACCTTGATGTCGAGCTGGAGCCTTTCCTGGAAACTTGACTGAGCATCCCACGCGCGTTTTCTCTACACGGGATCAGCGCTCAGCAGACCTCAACGGATTCTATTCCGGCAGGGTGTTTAGACAGGCTTGGGAGTGTACTTGCTTCGGTGTATACACGGAAAGCATTGAATAGGAGTGGTTATTTTACTCGGTGGTCGAACGTTAAGCTGTTGATTGAACCTTGTAATACTTGGTTTGCCGAGTCATCGTCCTGTTACTATATTACGGCATGCATAAACGCGAATTCATAAAGAAGACTCCATTATGGCATCGTGATGGCCGCGTTGAACACATTGTAGCCTGCATTCATTCATTTCGGTGGATGTGCGGAGACGCTGGCTAGTTTCGATACCATGATTTGGGGAGAGCTGGTTGCATGTAGTAAGCTAGTGCCAGTAGGACACTGAATTGAGTTACGAACGTGAATAATTCGTCTGAATAGCTTGATAGGCGAAATGCCATAGAATTGAGAACTAATACCCACTGCCATAAGCGTTGTCGAGATTTTGTCTGATGAGTCTGAATGGTCTGATAGATGAAGCACTTCGGATTTGATATCGTTGCCTGGTTTGGACTGTCCAAACGTTTTTGGGACCTTCTTTTTCATATGCATGTGTCAAAAGCACAGCGCCTCTTGTTGCTCAATGGAAGATCGAGATGGAAGAGCTATCAAGACCAGTCGGATTCGTTGTTCTGCGCACTGTCCGATTGGAAAGGACTGCGGTTGGCTGACGTTGAAGTTTGAAAATGGTGCTGGATCTTGCTTATCGCAAAGACTCGATGAGAGTGATGCACTATACCAAGGTAGTCATCGTCCTGGAGTGTTCGCTCGAGTTCTTAAAAACCTCACGTTAGCCACGTTCATACCTTAAGATGAAGATGTCCATATGGTTGCTCGGATGTGCAAAGGGGGTTAACACCTCTTTGAAGTATACGGAAACGCCAAATTCAGAAGTAGCTCTGATATTCGAAGGACATTGTCATTTTCTATCAGACGGTCTGTTGCGGACGTATCTTCGAATTCGACGGATATGCATGAGAGGCCTTACTAGGTGAAAGCAAGTGCATATAGAGCGATTTTGTTTCTGTGATGCGGGTGATCAGTATTTCGTGTTAATGATCGTGAAAGGAAGGTAAAAGCACATATACGCCACCGTTAACGCGTGCACCGTGACTGAGCTGAGTGATTTGTACATCCATAAGCCAATTTAAGCATTTTCTCTTCGAGGAAGAAAAAGGAAGAAGAAACTGTCGTTTTACTACCCTTGACAGCGTTGGATATGATATCTTCAAGTGACTGGGCTGGACCCGGAATTTTCTTTAGTTACCAGACCTGATCATGAGCAGATGAAGGATATACAGCTGAGACGACTTGGAGCGAAGCTATGAACACACAGGTTTTGTGAAATAACGAAGTCACGAATTTGTCACCTGCGTATTCGATCGATCGATCGTGGTAGTACTCTCTAGCAGAGGCCACTGAGTCTACAGAAAGCCATAAAATATGATCACTAGCCCATGCTGGGCTTATTGTGATGTGCCCTAGATCTGACGTGTCGCCAAGTAAGAGTCGCTGGGAGTTACGATGGGGGATGAAGTTAAGAAACAGACTATCTCGTTGAATATGAGTGGATTGATTTTTGTAACTTGAGTCGCCTTCAGACTGGTGGAAAATTCAGTCGCATCACGAAACAAAGTCCTCGGATATGGAACAAAGAAAAATACACGCTAAAGGTACGCCATACATTCGCCATGATGAGAATTATCGTACATACACAGAAGCACTGCCAAGCTATTTCATCCATGATCCATACAACCAGAAATTTGCTTTTCTTTTGAAACTAGCCACAAACCTCTTCATTCCAAGACCAAACCTTTACCTTAATTACATGCTCGAGTCCATACTCACGCAACCAACGCTTCCAGGACGACTTTTACTCCCCAAGCACCAGGATCAGGTACATGTTCCGCTTTGAGGCGCTCGCCTTCGACATATGCACTGCGTCCTGCCTTTGCTTCTACATCTCGCGTATGCTCTGCCGCGCTACCCGCCAATCGCACTGCGCTGGCCGCTCCTTTCGGTAATGCTTCCACAAACGCAGCAAGTGGATCAACAAGTGTACGGGAGGGTGGGCGAGCGCGAGTGTAAGTATAGAGAGTCTGGAGAGACGACGAGAGTGCAGTGGAATAGACTTCAAGAGTTGCCAGAGGCGATTTAGAAATCTCAAGGTTGCGCGCAAGCGCAGAGAAAAAGATGCTATGAAATGATAGGTCAGTCGAAGGTCATGGAAGAAATGAATCGCACGCACGAGTACAACGCCCCGCTCGTTCCTCCCATGGCTTCTTCCGCAACTCGGGCAACAGTAATGGCACTGCCAACGACATCGTCCCCAGTAACAGTACCATTAGCCAGTTCCTTCAGGACAGCTGAGAAAAGACGGATGAGCCAATGATTTGATGAAGAAAGTGCCAATTATATGAACCTGAAGCCCCGGCCTTGAGGGTCAGTCCACAGTCACCATCACCGGCAATGCTATCCATTCTGGTGATGTCAGGCTCAGCAGTAATGAGTGCCTGGCAGGCTCTCTGGACTGCTGCGTTGAAGAGTCCTACATCTGGAGCTTTCAGGTGAGCTGTGCGGCCTGTTGTATCCGTAGGAGAAGCTTCAACAGTTTGAGAGGTAGTACGGGAAGGAGTAGATTTGGACGACCACTTCCAACCAGGTGCATTTGTATCATCATCCAACAGGGAAAGTATGAGGTCAGACGAAATATTTGTATGATCATGAGAACCTGGCAGGAGAAGCAGGGTGATCGAAAACCCGGGCATATTGAGGCTGGTCTGCAAATTATATGCGGTCAGAGTGATTGAACTTGAAAGTGATGAAAAAGTGAATCACCATAAAACTACCTGAAAGTACACGCTGAATCGAGATACCCTTTTCGTCGAGGGAGAGTCGCGCTGCACGCGTAATAGCACCGAGCTCCAGCTCACTAAGACCCCCTAGGTTATTAACGAGCAGAACGACACTGTCTTTGCCCTTTCCTTGGTATGGCAGGAATGAACGCTCCGGATCGGTAGTTGAGATAATCATCTCAAGAAGACTTGGGACGAGTTCCTTCAAAGGAGGGACCGGTGAAACGCGTCTGTAGCCACTTTCGTTGTGAATTCCAAGGCCGATCTCAATTTCTTGAGCTCCAAGGTGGGTATCAGGCACTCCAGTCCCCGGTACCTGTCAGCTTCTTTCAGACGCCTCATACGAGGGGCACGACAGCGAATAGGAAAATGCGCACATGACAATGTTCCAAGCCTACGCCAATGGTCCCCAGTCGTGATGACACCCATTGAGCGACGTTGTAGACTTCGTTAAGAGACCCTCCTCGGTGTGCAAGGGCTCCTGCGACCTTGTAAACTAGACATGTGCCAGCTAGCCCTCTATAGTTACACATTATATACTTGTTAAGATATTAATTGGATAAATTTTGTGACTGACCGTTGGCCGACGATACTGCCTTGCGTTTTGCCCACAGCAACGTCGTCGCCCACGATGACAAATTTTACATTGTCTGATTTTTCAGGGTGACTAGCAGCATAGTGTTCTTTAGCCAGCCCAAAGTTGAGGATGTCTCCTGTGTAATTCCTTGAAAATTCTCTCGGTTGGTGCGCCGAATTAAATGAGAGGTGGCTGTTACTTACTTTACGATGATGACGGTCCTTCAAGTAAAGGTGAGAATTAGCACCATATCCGTACAGAAAGAATACTCACCCTTTGTCGTTGTCGACAAGGTCAATGCCACGTTTAACTTGATTGGAACTAGGAGAAGCGAAAACATTTCCGCAAACGGCAGCTAAAATGCCAGATGGTCACGATATCTAAATACCCTGGAATGAATGGGATATACCAGTCAATATGCCTTCACCTGTTGGTTGAAAACGGTCAAATGATGCAAAAGACAAAAAGAATGACATTGTGACGTACCAACAAAGCCAGAGTGAGAAGGTTCGTGACCGGAACCTCCACCACAAAGAAGGGCAACCTTTGAACGATCGGGAAATGCAGCATAGACCACTAAAAGGTTGTTAATCGTGATTAGCAATAGAAAGTAACACCTATTACCTTTATTTGTGGCATCAAGAGCCAAATGGGGGTTCACAGCGCATAATCCTTCGAGTGACTCAACAACAAGAGATTCAGGTGAATTCAAGAAGTGTTTGCCTAGACACAGAGGTTAATTGGTTGTTTCCTTGCCCAAATGCTACATACTTTGCACAACCATGGTGAGTGTGGGGAGGAAAGACACATGTGAAGTCGAAGATGTGTCCTGCTGAATAGAAATACGAGGCCATTCTTCTGTTCCAAGTTGTTTTCGGCGCGGGTGATGATCAAGTGACCTGTAACCCCTAGCGTCCGTCACACGACCCCCAAACCATCACGCACAAAGGCGTTGCGGCGTGACTTTGTCACAAAGAAATAAAGAAAAAAGCCACTGTGGCACACACGTATGCTTGTAATATTTTTATGAAATCTAGCCGGCCTGTGGTTTTCATTTTTTACTTCCTTTTCATTCTGTCCATGTCATGCATAGTCTTCCATCTCCAGCAGTATCACTTTCTCTAGCAGCCTCAAACGATACACAGACAAGTCGCAAAAGACAGCGCTCACACTCTATGGAGTCCGATACTTCTTCCTCTTCCGTCAAACGATCTGCTTCTGAAGGTCCTGCAAGTGGCAATGGCCTCCCATCGCCCGAGAGCCCAGCCCTCTCCACTCCCGTAATATCTCACCAGGCTTCCGATATCGATGAATACATGGCAGAACAAGGTGAAAGCGACTCTTTCGATACAACCACTCCGAACCTCCCTGCTTCCTCTCAGACCCACAACTACGCCATGATCAATATGTCTCCTTTGGACAAAGTCGCCTTTATCAAGCAGCAGCGTGGGAGATCTATGGTTATTGGCGAGACTTGGTATCTCATAGCTCGGCCATGGTACAAAAGGTGGTCGATAGCTTGCGAGGGTATAATTGACAAGGATGGTAAGGTGGAAGAAAAGGATCTGGGTCCAGTCGACAATACGCCTCTACTCGACAAAGATGGAAATGTCGTGTCATCTCTACTCGAAGGAGTGGACGTCGAGTTCGTTCCTCAACATGCCTGGGATGCACTTGTTACTTGGTTTGTAGAACATGTCGTGCCTATGGCTTAACAGTGTTTCACATCATCTAACAACAGGTACGGTGAACCAAGTCATTCGTTACCTCGCACAGTAATCGCGAGAGGGATTCTCCACGAACCCGTATTGGAGCTACGCCCCCCACGCCTCAAAGCTCTCCTACTGCAGGATACGCCATCTGAAAAGCCGATTGGCCCCCCGCATCCATACGTTACTATGTCTACTACTGGTTCGGTGAAGGAGCTCTCCACAGCTCTAGTCAAAGCCGTCTCAATTCGAACGAATGCTGCATATAGAATCTGGAAGGTCGAGCCGGGAGATTTTGATGGATTACAGTATCCCGCCGCGAAACTCGCCCAAGACGGAGCTGTGCTGCTAGATGATAATGATCAATCACTCGAAGATGCTTGTATTGAGCCCGATGATCCATTTGTCATTGAATTTCAAGAGAATGGTAACTGGATCGTCGACGCATCTCGCATACCTAAGTCCAATGCATCTTCTTCACTGGCAAGTCCGAACGGGGTGCCGCCACCTTTGTTTAGCTCCGATGACGATTTCTTTAGCCGTCTAGGGAATAAGCTACCTTCTGCACAAGCATCTCAGTCAACACCTAGTCCTGGAGCCTCGTCGTCTGTGAATGGGACCTCCATTAAGCCCGCTAAATCTCAATTCAATTCTGCAAAATCAGCTCTGTCAGCTCCGTTTCAGTCTTTAAAGAGCAGTAAGAAAGCTGTTCAAGATCCAGGCACTCTTGGATTGGGAAACATGTGAGATCATTGTTCATGATACTACGATTGTACTAACCTCTCCTTCAAGGGGGAACACATGCTTCATGAATTCAGCGCTTCAGTGTCTTGCGCATCTTGAGGAACTCACTGATTACTTTATATGTAAGTTTTTCATTGGGAGTCTTACACTTTATCTGCTTGACTAACCTTGCGTTCGCAGCTGGTGTATATCAGGATGAGTTAAATCCCGATAACCCACTCGGTATGCATGGAGCTATAGCTGAAGCTTTTGGTTCGCTCCTTCAGCGCATCTGGGCGACCAACTCGCCCTCTACTTCTTATTCTCCTCGCGAGTTCAAGCAGCAACTTCAACGTTTTGCACCTCAGTTCAGTGGATATCAACAGCACGATTCACAAGAGCTAGTTGCCTTTCTCCTTGATGGATTACATGAGGATCTAAATCGTGTTCTCAAGAAGCCCTACGTCGAGAAACCAGACTGGGAAGGGGGTGGAGATCTTGAACTGGCTCAACTCGCTCAAAAATCATGGGAAGGATATATGCAACGGAACGATAGTGTCATCGTGGATCTCTTTCAAGGACAATATCAAAGTACGTTGGTTTGTCCAGAATGCCAGAAGGTACGCGTATGAGTGGGACAAAGCTCATATTATCGAGTTTACGCAAGTGCACTATACTCATCACTATGTGATCGATCATTAGGTTTCCATTACTTTTGATCCGTTCATGTATCTTACGCTACCTCTCCCTGTCCAAAAGAAGTGGAGACACACGGTATTTTATGTGCCTTGGGACATCTCGAAGCCACATGTCAGGGTGAGTAATGCCTTGAGGTCAAGGGTTGCATGCACTGACTAACATTAGGTACCTGTTGAAATTGGACGTGATGCATCTTTCAAAGAACTGCGTATTTTACTTGGCCGATGGATGGGTACGAAACCTGAGAATGTAAGCTGTGTGTTGTCCTCCCTTTGACCATAGCTGACGTAGCCTATAGTTATTAACATTGGAAATATTTAGCAACCGATTCTACAGAATCTTGATGACAGCATTCTCTGCGGTGAAATGTCAGAACAACGATGTGATCGTTTGTTTCGAGCTTCGGTGCAATTCACGGCAAGGGCGTTCTTACAAGGCCCAAAATGACGATCCATTCATATTCCCTGTGATTTTGACCGACGTTCCACCCATACGGCCGGCGTACAACTACAACCGGGGCCCTACGATGTTTGGTTATCCGTTTATCGTAGTTATTGATCAGGAACAAGCGAAAAGTTTGGACGCCATATATGAAGCTGTGGTTCTCAGGCTTCAAAGGTGGACCGTTAATGCCAGAGACCTGTTCAAATGGCAAGTTGGCTCTTCTGCTTCTACCGAGCACATACCTATACATATCACGAGTATCCCTCCCATCGACAATCTGACTGAGATCACAGAGAACGGAGAAATTTTAGCCGTTGAAGAGCCTGCCATTGAGGAAGGAGACATTACTGATCAGAAGAATATCGTAATTCAGGAAGGTGATTTGGCCATGGATACGTCTGCAGACGACATTCCTCACATTGTGGGTCCTAAGAAGGACATATTCAACCTGCTTCTTCAAATCAACTACAAGGATTATGGAGCAGGTTTTGGTGCTTATGGATCTAGTAGCCAACGCAACGAATCCTGGGAGACCCGCATCGATAATGTCGAGGAAGGAACACCCCTATTGCGAGAGGGAGATGCCTTCTTTTGCGAATTCGACGAAAACATGAAGGCGTATTATTTTGGTGATGACCATTCTCGCTGGGAACATGCACGATGGGACCAGTGGGAAGAATTCACTCATCATGAATATACCGATGCGAAGCAGGCTGCCGCGGACCAAAAGCTCAAAGGGATATCACTTAACGACTGCTTGGCTGAATTCACGAAAGAAGAACAACTTGGCGAGGATGATTTGTGGTATTGTCCTCAATGCAAGAAACATCAGCAGGCTACTAAGAAGTTTGACTTGTGGAAAGCGCCTGACATTCTGGTCGTCCACTTGAAACGTTTCAGCAACAGCCGTGCCCTCAGAGACAAGATTGACACATTTGTCGATTTTCCCATCCAGGGGCTGCACTTGGAGCATATGATTGGCGAGCGGAAAATTGCGACGAAATTAGCTGAGAGCGGTGTGGACACAAGAGAGTTAGGGTTGGACGATCTAGATGAGCCTCTCACGTACGACCTGTTTGCTGTTGACGAGCATCTAGGAGGTCTTGGGGGAGGTCACTATCGAGCTTATGCTCTCAATCATATCACTGATAAGTGGTACCATTTTGATGATTCTTACGTGACACCAGCGCGCTCTACGGAAGCCGTGGTAAGTGTTGCTGTTTTTGAACCTGATGTTCCTAATTGCTGATATGGTTTGTCAACAGAATGCGAATGCATATCTCCTGTTCTACAGACGGCGTTCGAGTAAACCTCTGGGTGGGAAAAGCCATGAAAAGATACAACAAGCCACTGCTCAGAGTCCGAGTCCGAGTCCTGGTCTTGATTCGGTTTCTGTCCAGATGGACAATCGACTGCCCACTCCTCCCAGTGAATCTGGCCCTTCTAGCAAGGAGTCTCCGCTTAGACTGTCTAATTCAGGTTGGCTAACACCGCAATCAAAATCAAAATCATCTCCATCATCCTCACCTCCGCCCCTAGATGATATTGAGCCCCCAACGTTCGAAGAATCCGGATATGACGATATCTTACAAACTAGCCTCGATCCTCTTTCGGTGGCCTCCCATCAATTTGACTTCCCTGACCCATCCTATAAGACCTCTCCGACGTCATCAAATGAAGCGGAACTAGATGAAGACGACGAAGACGACGACCACGACAGCGATCGTACTTCACCTCATACTACATATCGCGGACGCAGCCCATCGCTGTCAGACACCCCGCTTGATGAGAGTCGTGAAAGAACCAGCTCACCAGATTGGCGCGATGACGGAAGTGATGTGTTATCAACTTCTTCCCCTGGGTCTAACATGAATCCATTTTCTGATGAGAACGAGCAACAGTACATCGCGCAGACGGACAAAGACTCGGACGATATTCCTTCATCGGTTGAACCATAGATGTACAGTTTATAATCCCATCGCATATTTTCTGCTCTGTACCATTTCTTTGCTATCGTTATAAATACAAATACAAATTGGCAGGACACATCTGCCATTGCTATCGATATATGTTGTGCTACAGTATTGGCAGCCTCATCCCCATGCTTGTGCAGAAGTAGTTATACGGAAGTTTTGATAATTATAAGGGAAGCCGCTCCCGCGTGCTCCGAGTCCCAGACTGAGTGTCAAGTTGTCACTAACACTCATAACAATTTCTCTGTAGCCTTGAACTCCCACTCCTTTCACCAAATTCCGACTGTGGATGCCACGGTGCCGTCGCGGCGCCCAACAGGCTCATTGGTGGCCAGGCTTTCACTGGCAGCATTTCGCCTTGCACCACTCATAAAACCATTTGCCTGCAGACTTTGCGTATACAGTTCTCGTCTGCCGGAACATGAGTAGGACCCCTGCAGCGTTACTGTATATGACCATATACAACCCCTCACTCCGTCCAGTTGGCCCCGTATCACCAGACGATGAGGATGCTGAGGAACAGGCACATATCTTATTCTACACCTCAAGAGAGCGTGCTGTTTCTCGTGACCGGATGCTCAGGCAAGTCGGATTGGCCAAGGCGCTAGTTAACTTCTCCGAGTATGTATGTATTCTCTCCGGCCTTGTAGAAAGCTCAAGTATTACGCACCCAGAATATTCAGTTCGACAGACTCGTGTCAGAATGTGCACTCTCAATCAAAGAGAATGGTCATGGTAAACCCAGAACCAGACTTTTGGATACATGCAGTAAGCAGCTCGATGAAAAGGAAGTAATACCTTTGTTAATTCAGTAGGTGTCTTCAGGCCGTCGAGTTAGCTCGAACTCCTCGTAAGCCAGTGGTAAATGTCAAGAACAAGGGGAAGGAGAAGGAGAAAGGAAAGGAGAAACAGAAGGCAGAAGCACAAGAGCATCAGATATATGATTATCACGACGGTTCCCTCCACGACCTTGTTCTGCGAGGACACATCCTACGCGGATACGAACTCTTCAAGGTGCGATGCGTACTTCGACCAATTCATCTGTGTTTGCTAATGGCCATGTCTACCAGCTTACGCATGGTTCTTTCACATCAATATTATCGTCTTTGGGGCAGGAAGCACTGGAGTTGCAACTTGAAAGGTTCTTTACTATGTGGGCATGGTCTTGGAATTTGGAAGAAGGCTATGATTTATCGACAGACCTTGGTATGTTTGCCAATATTATATTGATCTATTATCTGTTAAATATTATAACATAGGACTCCCCTTGCATCCATTGCATCGATCTTTCTTACCACTTGTTGACACTTTTTCTTCTCAGTTACCCGATCACATCGTCCCACTCATTCTGTGTCCACCATACTTGGCCCCTTCGAGTCGATTTACGCATTCAAACTTCCCTGAAGCGCTTTCCCGACATCTCCTGTCTCTTGTTCCACCCCTACCACCGAAATCAATTATCGACACAGGCTCTGAAGCACTACCACCTGGCGATGCTGGCCACGTCCCTGCGGCCAATCTCCAAAAAAATCCTCATCGCGAAGCATACACTAGTAGTGCTTTCCTTGGCATGCCGTCTGTGAATTTAAATTTAAATATGGATGTGCGGAAATGGAGTTGGCCTTTTAGTAAGGCTTCAAAGAAGCCTCTCGAAGTCGACTTGGAAGTGAAGGATAATGTTGAGAAGAGTGACAACCCTAGAATGGATCATTCAAGCGCTGGCGTGGACACCAGTGCGTTGCAAGATGCAATGTCTTCTGACAGCATCCATCTACCCCTCAAGGTTAAACATGACCCAATGGAGGGTGCTAGTGTAGTCCCCATAGAGTGTCAAGAGGTTTCGTCAGAGAAACCTATCGATCTACCAGCTTCTGCTCAGGACTACGTGGGCCTTCATGAAGATTATCAACACCAAATAGCCGCATCAGATTCTTTCAATGAAGTCGAATCACGGAGGACGTCACAGATATCGACTTACTTTGACGACGACCATCCCGAGTCTAATGATCCTGCTCTCTGCTCGCCCGAGTCTCAGGCGTCTACAATTGGTGCTCGTAATTCAGATTCTGCAAATCTCGCCCTTCTCGAACCAGCCCCTGAATTTCTAACTACGTCTATTTGCCTTGTAGACAGTCCGAATTCCTCGATCACTCATAGAAGAGAGGTGGCCTATTTGAGAGTACGTTTTTTTCTTCCTTCTTGCACGTTTAACATATGAACCTATTTTAGAGTGATGATTTTATCGTTGCTCTCATAAACAGTGGCTCGAGTAGCCAGGAGCTGCCTAACTTAGATGGTATTGGGAAAGAGGCCTCAGCCCTACTCATCGACATACAGAACGTTGTCGATGAAGATATTACGACCCGGTTTGTGCCCCGTTTTGCAAATGAAATCCGCTCATTGACAAAATTACCAGAGGGTCAGATTCACTGCCATCGGCCTCAAAAATATTGCAACCGAAGGATAAACACTTGGTTAGGTCGGGGAAATTCTTCACTGCAAGCCCCGGCTTTGAACTCAGATCGCACCATCTGTATCATGCTGGTCAACTACTAGAAAAGTGAGTGTTCGTGCTATGGAGTGTGACGGCTGGAGTACTGAGTAAAGTAACCGCAGAGACACCGAGATATCGGAAGTATTTTCGAGAGGTCAAAATCCTCAGCATTGGCATGTTATTAGAGGTATCTATTCTGAGGAGACATCAACAAGAGACGAAGAGATTTACCTTGAGGTGTCGCGGAAGGAGGCCAGCCTGGCTGACGTTGATAATGTTCTACAGAAGATAGCTAGACTAGAACGGTAGTGTGGCACGCACGGACACAACGGACACAATAATAATGCTTTCATTATTGTCGTTGATTTGTGATTTGTGTGGCAATATGCCCTGTCATTACTAAGAGGTGGCTGAGAAGCTTTGTTTATACATATTTGACGCAGCCGCATCTGTGGTCACATTTCACCTTGTCTAGAAAGATTATCCCCCCATTCTTTCACCACCATCACCATGGCTTCATCAACGTCAGAAGCAGCACTGAAACTGGAAATCGCTCGATTAACAGGTAAGCTTATTGTTTTCCGTTCAACCTGTCTATGGGCTAGTGACAATATTGTCTCAGGTGCCATCAACAACCACAAATCTAAGCACCAAGCCACAACATATTCGAGAGACTATCCCACCAAGTCTAGAAGTAACACATACATCAACCCGAACTACAAACCCCCAACAAACCCTAGTCACTTCAAGTCCTCTCAATTCACTCGGGCCCCAGCAACTAGTAAGCCACCTCCACCGCCGGCTCCCGGTCCTTCTCAAGCTAGGGAGGTTGTCATCGATGGCGTAGCTTTTCAGTCGTCTGGTCGTTCCCTCGTTCGCAAAGACTGTATGTCTCTTACATCTCACGCTACATGCGGATCTCCTCGTTTCTGTAATCATGTCTTTCCTCTAGTACCCAAACCAGCAACAGCGCCTCCCACGTCTGTTTCCTTTAAACCAGTATCACAACGTACGGACTACTCTAGAACCCAGGGCGGACACCTTATCCCTAGTGGCCGTGTCTACAAGCCTAAAGTCTCTTCGCGTGGCCGCCGTGGACGTACAATGAATCGCAATATGACGCTCAACAACAACCGAAGTTCTTATCAGTCCGTGTCGTCATCAAGTAGAAGTTGGGTTTTCAATCTGATATACATTCGCAGGTCTCGGCGATCCACAACTAAACGCTTAAAATGCCTAGACAAGCCCTGCCCTCGATTTACGACTACAGGTGCGTCGCCGCCCATAATATTCACGAATTTGTTCTAAACTATCCTGGTGATATCTATATCGATATTAATTCTGCCGTGAACAGGTGCTTGCAGTCGCGGGTTGACCTGTGTGTATCAACACGATGCAAACAAGATTGCTATCTGTTGGAATTTTCTCCAAGGTTGCTGTCCAAACGATGCAGCTTTCTGCAACCTATCACATGATCCAACACCGGAGCGCACACCACTTTGTGTTCACTTTGCCAACAATGGCCGGTGCACCAGAGACAAATGTCCATTCCCACACGTCCGTGTAGGTCCAAGGCAAGGTGTATGTCGCGACTTCGCTGTGCTTGGCTATTGTGATAAAGGCCTCGACTGCGATATGCAACACGTCAGGGAATGCCCCGATTTTGCTGAGAAGGGAACATGTTCCACCAAGGGATGCAAGCTCCCACATGTCATTCGTGCGAATCGCAAGCGCAAAGTAGTGCCTACGACAACTATGGCCATTACTGACCCCTCAGCTGTGGATGTTGCTAATGCAATTTCCTCAGCTGCTTCTAACGTTGGTGCAGTGTCTGACATTGTTCCAAGTTCTCAAAATGTTTCAGTCGAGGAAGCACAAGCTGGTGATGAGTATATTTCTCTTATGTTTAATGAAAGCGAAGATGATAGTGAAGACGATGAAGAAGAAGGTGAAAGTGACGAGGAAGATGATGACGACGATGATGACGAAGAGGGCAATGGCCCCAGCGAGAACGATCAGCATGTTGAATCCGAATAATTTGCTTCTGTATAATTTACCCTTAAACGCTTGGTTGTATTTTCCTTTTTTTTTGTAATGCAATGTATTGCTCTGAACCTCAGGCCTTAGGCTGCGTGATCCAGCAATTGAATAATCGGGTCTATCCTGTCACAAGTGAATCCTTTTCGTTCCGATATTATTTGATCCATGTAGCGTGTGCATGTCATGTTGGGAATTGACTTTGGTGACAGAGTCTGGACTGGTATAACAATACACTGTACAATCAATGCCTTGGTCAAAAGAAGAAAAATATATCTTGGGCCTGACCGGGAATTGAACCCGGGACCTCCTCGAGATTGCGAAATGCCCTAACAAGGAATCATACTACTAGACCATCAGGCCGATGATTCATTCAAATATATTATCTATCAAGAGAGCATCAAGCCGAGAAAGGAACCGCGCTGCGGTGATAGCCGAGGAATGCAGCCATTTATGTCCAATTGGGTGCTGTTGCAGTCTGGTGTAATACGGTCGCGGTGCTGGTCTCGGTGCTATAGAATGTCTTCCTTGATTACTACTGTTCGAACGAGTGCGTGTATTTTCTTTGTGAATCGTCAGCGGATATAATGTTCGTTCTATGTGCAGAGTTTCTCGATGCAATCAGGTCTGTCAATCCGCCAGGCAGATGGAAGATACTAGTGGTGGACGAACACTCTCAGAGGCTCCTGGGCTCGGTGCTCAAGCAATTCGACATTTTGGAAGAGAATGTCACACGCGAGTCTTCATATCATTGCATATATACTGCTATCGGTTGACAATTATCCTCCAGTGATCGAATCGATTTCGAGCCACAGAGAAGTTCAACAGTTTGAAGCAATTTACCTTGTGATGCCTACGTCCCAAAACGTGGATCGAATCATTAAAGACTTCTCAGACGGACGACAACAGTATACCAGTGCCCACTTGTTTTTCATTGAAGGTGCAGTCACATCATCATTTCACACACTTCAAAGGTTCACGCCTGAGAAATTTCTTTAGGACTACCCGAACCCTTGTTCGAGCGGCTTACTTCTTCTCCTGCTGAGCCATATCTGAAAGCTTTGCAGGAGCTTTTCGTCAATTTTTGGGGTAAGAGTGTTTGCACTATGCAAAAAGCAGCTACTAATAGTCTCTGTCTTCTGTTCAGCAATCGAATCACGGGCGTTTTCTCTTAATTCGCCAGGTTTTTTCTTCAGCACTTATAGCCCTCCACGTAGCGAGTCTGCTTTCAAAACATCTCGAGAACGACTTGAGGAAGAACTTCGATTCGTTAGCAAATCCGTATGGAATTTCCCATGAAGTATCAAAGACCCTAAACCTTTTAGTTGCTTCTTTCCAGATAACGAACATCTGCGTCTCTCTCAATGAATTTCCCTTTATACGCTACTATTTACCAACACATCACCTGCCTCTGGGGCCTCTGCAACCTAATGCTCAAACACGTGCTCCACCACCCCCTGAGGGTAGTGGTCGCTGGAGAACCAATCTTGCTCGCGGTGAGGTGGCACGCGCATATGAGACGGCTGATACAGAGTTTGTGACTAGGCTATTGGCGTTCATGGTCCAGCAGAATTTGGACGAACACAAAAAGGCTAATCCAGAGTTTCCCGCGAGTATCACTGACACTCCATATATAAGCTGAGGAACTCAAGTCCTTCTTTGACATTACAGAAACCATCTGACCCTCCTCGGCCTCGCGGGACGCTCATAATAACTGATCGTGCCATGGACGCAATGGCCCCACTTGTTCATGAATTTACATATCAAGCGATGAGTAATGATTTACTAGCGATAAATGACGGAACCAAATACACGTTGGTTTATTCGTTCATTGCTCTCGTATAGCCTCCTATGACCCTGCGCTTACATCCAACTTTTGCACAGGTACAAGTTCCAATCATCAGTGGGCGCATATGAAGACAAGACCGCCACTCTTTCTGATGCTGATACCGTTTGGACGACCGTTCGGCACATGCATATGAGAGAGGCTATAGATAAACTCATGGCAGACTTCAATAAGTTCATGCAAGACAATGCAGGATTCAAAGGGTCCGTTTAATGTGCTCGCATCAATAAATTCTCACCATTTTTACAGAGAAGGCGCCGCTAACCTGAGCGACATGAAGGATATGCTTGCAAATTTGCCTCAATACCAAGAGCAGAGAGAGAAGGTACCTTTCAAGTAATAACGCGAGGAGATCATGATGCTGATCCTACATTGATAGTTCTCTTTGCATCTCAACATGGCTCAAGAATGTATGGCTATATTTGAACGAGACAAATTGCCTTTGGTGGCGACTATCGAACAGGCAAGGCTAGCTGGCTGTCCTGCACTCTTTAATCACTGAAGATTGCCTCTAGAATTGTGCAACAGGGTTGACTGCTGAAGGCAAAACGCCAAAGACACTAGTGGAGGAAATGGTACCACTGCTTGACAGCCGCGAAGTGATGTAAGTGCCCCGCATAGTTGTTGATACAATCATCTCATGAAAACGCAGAAACGCGAACAAAGTTCGCATGGTCGCAATGTATATCCAATATCGCGATGGCGTACCAGACGAAGATCGTCGAAGGTTATACCAGCATGCACGATTGACCTTGGCAGAGCAGGACGCTGTCAACTCATTAGTACACTTAGGTGTCCGCATTACTAGGGTATGCCATATTATTATTGATGTGCCTTACGGGAATAACATTATTTTGTTATGAATAGGGACCTGCTGACAAAGATATAAAGAGAAAGCTCAAACAGAAGGCTGGCGGTGAAGATGAATACGAACTGTCGCGGTTCAAACCCTTGTTGAGGACTGTCCTACAGGTGCGTGACGTTCCCTCGTGCCGGAAAATGAAGGAGCTCAACTATTTACAGGATCATGTTGCCAACAAGCTGGACCCAACACTATTCCCATATGTCAAAGATTCACCAACAGCAGCTCCTGTTTCCAGTCTCCGTGCTGCATCACCTCAAACCACTTCTCTGCGGAGTGCAAAGCCCAGCTGGCATAAGGCTGCACGATCAAATGCCGCGATTGATAATCAGCAGCGCATCCTTGTTTTTGTTGCAGGTGGCATGACTTATTCTGAAATCAGAGAGGCCTATCAACTCTCATCCTCCTTGGCCAAAGACATATACATTGGTAATACTGTAAATACTGTATTAGACCAATTACTCATCATTTTATCACAGGTTCATCGCACGTTACTACCCCACGCCAATTCGTAGACGACCTGAAAGTACTTGAATTGGGAGGTGTTGGATCCAAGGCGATTCCGAACGGTTTACCTACTACTGGGGCTCATCGTTCTTATCAAGATTATTATGACGAAAAATACTTCATACGAGAACCGCCTCCCCCGCAGCGCCAAGTGCAGACTTCTTTGCCAGTATCCAAAGAGGAGCGCGGCAGCAAGCTATTTAAGGCCTCTCCATCATCCTCGTTTGCTGGGTCTTCACTATCTGTCAACAGCTCAGGAACAGAAAAGGAGGAAAAGAAGAAAAAGAAGAGAGGGTTGTTCCACTTCTAACTTCACTCCTGGCTCTTCTTGGTCTGACGAATCTTGCCTTCTTTTATATGTATTATTATACTGTCTAATGATCGGATGGGACTTTCAACATAGAAAGCGTCAATGTTGTTTCGTGCATGAAAAATATGGTAGAAGAATGTGGTATGATACATATGAAACTATGCAGAGTACTCCAACTTGCCTGATAATCATAGAATTGATTAGGCGAGTATTTATAACGATGAATTCGTGGAACTTACCCTCATGTTTCTTCGCCTCTCCAACCTTACGAGCAGCTTTTGTAAGGTCCTCCTGGTTGACGTACTCCCTATATGTTATTGTTAGTTGGGTGCGATATCCTAAGCCAAATCACTAACCTATCATCTCTAATAGCAAACATACCAGCTTCGGTAACAACATTGCGTAAATCTGCTCCGTTAAAAGCATCCGACAGCTATTAAGCGAAATGAGTAAGGAATCAAGAAAACCATTATCAAGAATACATACTTTAACGATAGCTTCGTAGTCAATTTCACCGCCTTTGTTGACCGGTGCAGCATGAATTTTCAGAATCTCCAATCGTGCCTGCTCGTTGGGCAGTGGAATTTCAATCTTACGATCCAATCGACCAGGACGCAAGAGGGCGGGGTCTAACGTATCGGGCCTATTGGTTGCCATAATGAGTTTCGTTTTACCTAGAGCGTCAAAGCCATCCATTTGGTTCAGAAGCTTCATGATGGGCAACAGGCTTTAAGTTGAATCCAATATGTACTAAGAGACGTGAACTCACTTCCATCAGAGTACGCTGGATTTCTCGATCAGCGCTAGTACCTTCCGAAAATCGACGACCGCCAATGGCGTCGATCTCATCCATGAATATGACGCAAGGTTCGTGATCACGAGCGTAGCCAAACATTTCGCGGACTACCCGAGCACTCTCGCCGATGTACTTATCTACTATCGCAGAGGATACAACTTTGAGGAAATTTGTGTGCAAGGTGGCTGCAACTGCCCTCGCTAGAAGGGTTTTACCAGTACCTGGAGGACCATATAATAGTACTCCCTTGGGTGCCTTTATACCAACACGCGTGAACAACTCTGGGTTCAGGAGGGGGAGCTCTATGACCTGTAAGATTTATAGATGTCAAGGCACATTTCATCGACAATTCAAAAGCGAAACGCACCTCACGCAGCTCACGAACTTGCTCTCCAAGACCTCCTATACCAGCAAAGGTAGCACCTCCGGGGTCTTCCAAGCTCATTTTGTACACTAGTGGGTCTACCTCTCGTGGGAGAATGCGCATGATTGTCAAGGTGGTCATATCAAGAGAAACTCGTGTTCCTGCTTTCAACTTGGCTACAGGTAGAGCTGGGCGGTACGATACAACGTATCGTGGTCCTGACGATGCTTTGACAATGACTGCACATAGTCACGAGTGGTTAAATACCGTGATTGTTTCATAGCAAATCACTCACATCGCTCGTCGTCTAGTTGTTTCATAACTTCCCCGATGATTTGTCCTACAGACTGAACTGCTTTGATGTGGTCTTCTGTCTTTGCAAAGTCTTTCTCCAAATCCTTCAATGAAAATCGGACTAGATTGGTACCTTCAGTAAGTAGCGTATGTCCTGGCCAATTGGTACTTACGATTCTTGAGACTGTTGCTAATATTCTCGTGATTACGCATTTTCTGTGTCAAAAGATCAGCTTCTGTTGATACTGAACGCTATCCACATACCTCACGATAGCTATTCAAAGCATCTTTTCTTCGTTGATCCATATCGCCTGAGGACGTAGAGGCCTGTCCGTCCATGGTGAAAGTGTTGCTTATGAACGTCACAGTGACCAAGCCTTTGTACCGCGCAGAGGAAGCGACGCGTCAACCCCCAAAAGCAGCTGGCTCACGTGATAATGCTCTATTTTGCTTATGTATTCATCGGCCTGATGGTCTAGTAGTATGATTCCTTGTTAGGGCGTTTCGCAATATCGAGGAGGTCCCGGGTTCAATTCCCGGTCAGGCCCAGACATTTGTTTTTTTGGTTTTTGTTTTGAACATCCCTCCTAAAGACTTAGCATCTCACGAAGCTACCATGGATACTCACTACAAGTACGAAATAAAACTACTAATCAAACCAAAAAATATTTTGAAGACTTCAGTTTGCGCAATCAAGGGGCCTCATAGTGACTCGGAGACGCAGTTGATCTTTTGACGAGACCCATGATATTAAATATCACCTTTCTACACGCTATAGTACAATATCTATGTTGACGTTTCACTGTACAGATGCATATGTGTCCAAGTCACTCAAATATTTCCCCCAAAATCCTCCATTGTGACTCGCCAAGCTTTTCCACACTGCGCTGTCGGGCCCTTGGGTGATTCTGATCCAGTTAATCCATCCCCCTGTGATACCATCCGCATACGATACCGTGCTTCCCAAGATATACTTTCCTCCTCCGTTCTTCGACAGCCACCCATGAACAGTGGACAAGCCCTCCTTCCCTTTTGCCAAGTCGGCATCACGCTTGGCTCCAACAGGCGAGAACTCCTCGATCTTTATTCCGAATTTTGACTCCCTTGTTTCCCTGAAGTACTTCTCACTGGAGGGGTTAAGAACACCACAACTTTGGGCGAGCTGCAGGAGCATGACGGGACCGATAGCGCTTGTCAAGGAAGCCTCATAAGCTTCGATCAGAGGCTTAGTGCCGGAGGGGAACAACGTATTTTTGCCAGTGTAGGTGGCATCAAGGTATTCAGCAATAACGAAAGAGTCGGAGACGACTTTGCCGGTGTTGGGATCCTGAATTATGGGCAAAGTGTACGATGGACTTCCATCGTCCTTGGAGCCCGTGGAAGGAGCCCCTATCTTAATAGCGAGGGCTTCGATATCGGGGTACTCGACCCAGACAGTCGTGTACGGAACGCCCTTGATATTCAAAGCATATCTAATATCAGGAAGCAAGGAATGTTCGTTGGCTCGGACATCCAATTCAACCAAATTTCAAGAAAAGCTTTCGTACCTCGTCTTCCAGGTGTTGGGGGACCATGCATTGCCGGGCAATTTGCTGGGAATGTCGTAGAAAATGATTGGTTTGGACATGATATGACAGTGGGAAGGGATTGAAGGATAGCTTGCGCTGAGGTGCGCCTTTTATAGTTTATTCGGTGTGGTGTCCATTTGTCCACGATATGGCGACTAGGGTCACTGGGCCAATCTATGTTTGTCTTAAAATCTTCTCCTGCTTATTCATGAAGTAAAAGTTCGCTCAAGAACCGACAACAAAAGAAGTAGGTGGTTGATAACATCGACATTGATACTTCCTCAAGTAATCCACTGAGTAAGCGAACAGAAAATGTAGTATGATTTTGAGAATTTGAAGCATGCTGATTCAGATTCGCCTGATTTATCCGCAAAGTGTGTGCGTGACTTGTTCGAAAGATGACCAAGCACTGTGTAAAAGTAGTTCTCTCGTCGCCTTGGACTACTTATTAATGAACCACGATCAAGAAGATTGCTATGGAATACATACATTGCCATGATACTATAACGCCTTACAATAACTTTCTCATACATTCCCACACTTCAACTCTCAATCAGTTCAACTCAACCACCGCGTCCTCTGCGAAGACCACGACCTATCCCACGTCCAGCGTATCCAATGCGAAAAACGCGACCAATACCCCCACCGATATTACCAGGGAATACAGGGAAATTTCCAGGTTGCTGTGGATAATCATTCGGTGACCCAGAGGATCCTTGAGAAAAAGGGGGTGTTCTATCAGACGGAAATTGTCCAGGCATTCTCCGAGTAGGGTCTTCGTCTTCGTCGTTATCTTCTGCGTCTACTTCCGGCTAATTCCCATTCATAAACATTTTGATCAGCGGGACTTTAATTAGCAGCTGAGAAGTCAAGTCCCACACCTCCAAGTCTATGACAAGGGCTCCCGAATGCCATCCTGCACACGTAGCAGCAAAACAGTATCGTTCTTTTCTCTGTTTCTCACCATGGTCAAATCTGACTTCGGTGGGTTCTCTGACATCGGGAGGAAACGGTCCTCCATGAGTTTGAGCTATCGCACGCCTTTCTTCGGTCCTGTATCCTCCCGGCTCACCGGGAGTGATATGGGCAGGATCTCCCAATCCAAGAGCGCCGCGGGAATAGGCACCCCAAGTGAGGAAATTCCCCGAAGAAGTCAGTGCACCGAAGTGGTAATCTCCAAGAACAACAGATATAACATTTCGGTTCTGCAAGGAGGAGGTGATCAGTGGCTGAGACTCATAGTTGGTTTCGTTGGATCCCATGAGCACAATAGAACTCGAGCCTGTCGAATAGGCGATGAAAGTTTTATACTGAGCGGATATCTGTGCAATGATTAACCAAATGCCGAATTTGTCATACACACTGCGCTTACGTGAGTTATCCTAGTTGTTTGAGGTATATCTAGCCGAGTGCCATCTTCGGGGGAGAAGGTTGGATGTTGTTGAATCCTTCCTACCTCACTGAAGTTTGGAAGCTGGAATATTACGATATGAAGATGCTTTATTGTGGACTTGATAAGAGATATAACTCACGTATACCCATTCACCACGTATCTCATTTGTTTCATCCCCAACGTTAAACTTGAGTACATGACCGTGATTAGTCAACCCAATAAGACAGTGGTCCATAGCAGCTATTTTGACCAGCTTTGTGTCCTCTCCCGATACGGCTGACCTAGTCACATCATCGAGCTGCGGCAATCTAGGCAGAGAAGGCAATCTGAGAGGATCTTTGTGCAGCTCCCAAGTCGTGCAATGGATAACGCCATCCGCAGTAGGATGCGCCCTGTTTGACAGGTCTCTTGCTTCATCCATCGCTGTATTCCGTTCTGCAATAAGCCTTCCAGTTTCAGTGCCAAAAGGCCACCAAACTAGAACATCGCCAGACTTGGTGAGCACCGACGAAAATTGCCAGCCCGATTCGATTTGCAGGGGTGTCGAATCAACTGAAGTATTGTCCAAAAGCGCCGTAACGAGTCGGAAAGGGCGACCCCAGCTTAGGAATGTCCAGATGTAAGAATTATCATCTAGGGTCGTGGCGTGCAGCCTTCCGCAGCTAAAAGATGAACAGTATTTAATACTTTAAAAGTTAGTAAAATGACGAAATTTTGCACCTGATGCTGTGAGTGGCGGCAGGCATAGCCAGTTTCAAAGGCGTAGGCGTTGATTTAGCGGGGACTGAAAACCCATCTTGCTGCAACGCAACTGAGGTCCCATCCAAAGTGCCTGAATGGTTTTGTTCACTTCAATAACAATAATGTGTTTAATTTGCATGGATATGATACTTACCCCAAACGTGTACGTTGCCTCGAGAATCCAGTGCATGGAAAGACCTGCGAAAGCGCATTCAACGGAAATCACATCATGAGTTGTCCTGTATACGCACATTCCACCTGCTGATAAGCTCACTATACGAACACCAGGAGAAAAGCGCAACTCCGTAGGGAATGGGACGTCCTTGACTACGGACCTAGGAAACTGCGTGATACCGAGTCTTCCTTTGGAGGACTCACTGGAAAGGGTTAACAAGAAAGTAGACAAGCGAGCCAAGAGGCGGTGAACTCACCCCCATACAAAGACCCTAGGGTTGCTTAAGCCTTTGTATATCAATTTCCATCCAGTTGTACGAGCAGTCTTTTCGTCAGAAAAGTTGAAGTCTGCTTGCAATCTACGCTTCCAGAAAGTGTCGTCATTGCACAGAGAAGCAAAGAATCGGTTTGTAGAACCCAAATGGACAATATCGGAGATTGAGAAAAAGGGGAGTACGTTGTCGATGAGGACTTCGACGGGTATATCAGAGAGGACAGGCATGATTGTGGGGGGTTATGATGTTACAAAGAAGAATAGAGAAAAGGTACAGCAACTAGTCAAGATGCAAATGTGAAATGAGACCAGGCTCGATTGAAGATTTGAAGATACGATATTGGCACAAGACAGGCTGGGTGGTGTTACAGTAGAACTACAGAGGAACAGAGCTGCTCACTGCGCATGGAGAGTCTGGTCATGACGCGACTACGGAATGCTGCGAGTGGGGTAGTCGCTATTCGGAACTTCATCTGACCCCTTAGACTGCTCACTTCCACACTCTTCCAACACACAGGTATCCACAACATTCACATGCTTTTATCGATTTTATCAGCCGAAAAAGCTACAGCAACAGGATCTCAAACATTTCTTACCAGGCGGAAAACAAATAGGCTAACTCAACACAACATGTCACCTGTGCTCATCCATACTGCACAGTCCTTGTGATCTCAACATACCGTACTCAGCCGTATCATATCATGCCAATGTCCAAGTGGCAGTTGGCCATATAGATCACGATATTCAGCTCGCGATGGTAGTGCACGAGATGATCTCGATGGCTTGCCCGATTAAAATGCCGTTTCTAGTCTTATCCGCTATTGCAGTGGCTACCTCTCATCCAAGCTTCCAACGTTGATCGATAATTGCGCTTCTCCATTATTGCGATCATAAATATTATCTTTTTACACATTATAATACAGTATTTATGCCAACGCTTCACTGTACAGATGCATATGTATCCAAATCACTCAAATATTTCCCCCAAAATCCTCCATTGTGACTCGCCAAGCTTTTCCACACTGCGCTGTCAGGCCCTTGGATGATTCTGATCCAGTTAATCCACCCCCCTGTGATACCATCCGCATACGATACCGTGTTTCCCAAGATGTACTTTCCTCCTCCGTTCTTCGACAGCCACCTATGAACAGTGGACAAGCCCTCCTTCCCTTTTGCCAAGTCAGCATCACGCTTGGCTCCAGCAGGCGAGAACTCCTCGATCTTCATTCCGTATTTTGACTCCCTTGTTTCCCTGAAATACTTCTCACTGGAGGGGTTGAGAACACCGCAACTTTGGCCACGCTGCATGAGTCCGAAGGGACCAATAGCGCTTAACAAAGCAGCCTCATAAGCTTCGATCAGAGGCTTAGTGCCGGAGGGGAACAACGTATTTTTGCCAGTGTAGGTGACATCAAGGTACTCGGCAATAACGAAAGAGTCGGAGATGACTTTGCCGGTGTTGGGATCCTGAATTATGGGCAAAGTGTACAATGGACTCCCATCGCCCTTAGAGTCTGTGGGAAGAGCCCCTATCTTAATAGCGAGGGCTTCGATATCGGGGTACTCGACCCAGACAGTTGTATACGGAACGCCCTTGATATTCAAAGCATATCTAGTATCAGGCAACAAGGAATAGGATATTAGCTCGGACATATAAATCAACTAAATTTCAGAGAAAGCCTTCGTACCTCGTCTTCCAAGTGTTTGGGGACCATGCATTGCCGGGCAATTTGCTGGGAATGTCGTAGAAAATGATTGGTTTGGACATGATATGATAATGGGAAGGGACTATTCACACAATGTTAAAATTCGCTCAAGGACTGACAACAAGTGGTTGATAACATCGGACGAAGTACTCGTTAAAGTAGCCACTGAGTAAGATGGATCATGCTGAGTAAGAACGTCTGATTTGTTCCCGAAGTGTGCATGACTCGTTCGAAGGCGAGTGTGGCGTTATTGGGGAGAGAGCTCTCAGAGCGAACGAGAAATAAAAATAGTAGTTTATTCAAGAATGCTGAACTTTACTCACAGGACTATCAACTACTTATAGGAAAAAGGAGAGGGCCTGATAATCGGGTATTATGTCCAGTTGAGGTGATGGTAAGTGATAACTAGTGCGGGGAGTAGCACAAGGAAAGGATGAAATCAGGACTGAACCGTCAGAACAAGCAGCCAAAGAAGGTATAAAGGTTCGGACTCATCAGTCCGAACGGTTGTTGCTGGATTGTTGCCACATTGTCACATATGCTACATTTCCCGGTTATTGCACCACCTTTCCTCTCGTTTAGCGCAGTCAGCCTCCACCAAAAGCGGACCAAGACATCGTCGACGTAGTATTCACTAGCGGGAAGATCAGCAGATGTAGGCTGGGGCTGCGAGTGGCGAGTGCTATTTGACTCCGCCAAAGACTCGTCAGTTCGATGAATAGTCATCGCAACAGTGGGCGAGTTGGTGGGAGATGCCGTTACAGTGGAGTTGGGCAACTGGGGAGGTACTCAGAGCGCGAACCGGGGGATGACGCGACCAGCCTGTTCAGCCTGTGAGTGGTTCGGTCCTCTTTCTCTCCGCTGACGAATAGCAGCGCGTCACCTCTCGTCGTTTACGCCGTATGCAGCGGCGAAGTCAAGGAGAAAAAGGCGGTGTGCTCACCCCCATACAAAGACCCTAGGGTTGCTTAAGCCTTTGTATATAGATTTCTATCCAGTACGAGCAGTCTTTTCGTCGGAAAAGTTGAAATACGCTTCCAATCTACGCTTCCAAAAAGTGTCGTCATTGCACAAAGAAACGAAAAATCGGTTTGTAGAGCACAGATGGGCGATATTGGCAATTGAGACAAAGAACAACAAGTTATCGAGGACTTTGACGGGTAAGTATATCAGAGAGCACAGGTTTATGATGCTATAAAGAACAAAAAAAAAGTGCAGCAACAAGTCGAGATGCAAATGCAAACTGAGACGGGGATCGACCGAAGACTTTGAAGGTATGGTGGTACAAGACAGCCCGGGTGGTGTTACAGTGGAACTACGGCTGCTCATAAGCCAGAGAGTCTGGTCATGACGCGGAATGTTGCGAGAGTGGTTGCTATTCGGAACTTTATCTGACCTCAATTCGGCACCCCTGTTCACGCGTTCATGTTCCAACACACAGAACACACAGAATGGGCTTGGTACGCTGCCATGAAGTTCTCTTTTATGTTGCTGAAAAAGATAACAGGATCTTAAGCATACATTCCTTACCAAGCGAAAACAAACAAACAAACAAACAGGCCAGCTAGCGCAGCAGCGCAACATGTGACACTGTGCTCATCCGCACTGGCACTGCGCAGTCCGAGTCCTTGTGATCTCAGCATACCGTACTCAACATCTACCGTATCAGAGCATGCCAGTGTCCAAAGTGGCACTGGGCTATCGATCACGATCTTCAGCTCGCGATGGCAGTGCGCAAGATGATCTCGATGACTTGCACGACAGTGCCTTGGGGGGGGGGGCGACGACGACGACGACACTAATGGAGCTCCCCTCAACCGGATGCTCGTTAATGTGCCTAGCAGCTGTATCTTCGAGGCTATGAGTGAGCCTGAAATTCCATTCTCATCCGCGTATCATTGACGAGGAACTCAGCAGCGACGTTTACATAACTCAAACCGAGCACCGCGCCGCTATCTTCGACTTGGAGTCCACTGCTTATTTCGTCGTGGTGGCGCTACCGTCCTAATACCGTCCTTCTCTTACAGTTTGCCGCACTTCAAACTTCAAGCTTCATGGTCATTTTTCTTGCACTTCTAACTCCATCGCTACGTGAGTATGACGGTCAATTTCTATATCGTTCACCCCCATTTATGCAGACTGTGGCTGATTCAAATGAACTTTTTCTGTTCTGAACGACTATATCTGATGATAGATGAAGTCATCTGCTCGGCCGCTTCAAAGGGAGAAATACAAACGGGGCTGGCGTAATTGCGCAGTTGCGCATTTGTATAGGCAAATTTGTCACTACAGTGTTCATATCCCGCTCACCTCACGAATTACACGAAGCCCGAATGTTTTATTCTCCTAGGTCGGCAAATGCAAAGCAATAACTACGTATAAACACCATCTGGCCCGCTTATTCTGAATCCGACGCTCATGCTGTGCGTTCAGTCAGCCTCCCTCGGTAGTCGTACCTCCATTAGGATTTTGCTGCGACTTGTAAGTTTCTTTAAGGTTTTCTTGAATTCATATCCCGTTGTTAAAGGAGCTTTTTTGTTCACATAGGGGTCATACTTTTTGTTACAATATACTGGGTATTGTTTGTAACCGGAATCCTAAATGCTTCGGGCTACGCTTAACCGGAAGGTCGATGTCCTCGTATTTTTTTTCTTATTCCAGTGCGTCTTACTTGAACGTTTTCCATGATGGCACATTCTCACCCCGGCGCCGACAGCTTTCAGGTACTCATGCTCGCCTGATGGGGGATCGACAGGATCATGAGGCCAAGATCGCGCGACTAGGTTCAAAGTGCAGGGTGTTCTCTACTAATAAACTGTTATTCAAACTGCGTCAACCGTGACGTCCGTCATCAAATATGCGGAGCCCCTGTTCCCCTGGTCAGTGGAGTATACGGGTGTAACAAGTGCCGACCGCATATCCGCGATTCTCTGTAGTTACAAAAACCCCACAGGCACTACATTCGATATTTTTATGGATATCTGTCCGCTTACTGGATGAGCTGTGTATTGTGATCCGGGCCATTTGATTTCTTACCTGGAGCGAGTCCTGTTCTAGATCACAGAGGTTTGTTTTGGGCAAGCCGACCGTCTGATTCCAGTCTGTAAGTAGGCTGAGATAAGTACACTGCCAACAGGTATCTGGAATTGACGGCATCCGGGCCGGCCTTTTGCTTGTCCTCGTTCGTTCGGAAGCGATCATCATCAACACATCGTCCGACTGTATCTGGCCGAACGAAGTACAGATGGATCCACGGCTTCCAATCACCGTGGACGATGATAACCTCTGAAGCGAAACTTGCCATCATCATCTGGTATCACCATATTTCCTTATCGCGGTCTTGTACTCCCAGCGCTCCTGCAACTTGTTTGTTCGCCAGACCTGATGTCCGTTGTAAAATATTGATAGCCATAGTTACGTCTGGGCAGGTATAAGTTTGCTATGCCCTGCGACGGTGACGCCGTATTTGTCCTTTGACCTTACGATTTCGAGCAGCATCAATGATTTGTGCAAGATAACGGAGGTGCGGCTTCAAGATCGACTGCCGAAACAAGCGCGCACTAATGCTGGGATTAACCCAACGTTTAATTATGCTCTCTACGACCTCCACGCCAAATTCGAGCTTCCATGTCGTTTTTTCATCAACGTCTATTGTCGGATCGCGCAGACTTCGAAACGGATCTATGTTGGCAGAATTGAATGCGGCGTGCGCGGCTGGCTTGGATCTGATATATGACCGACATGTGTGGGTAAACGGCATGCTCTGTGACATGTCTTCCGTACAACCTTTCAAGCTTCGTTCTACAAATAGCGTTGCAGGAATTCTATGATGGGGAGTGTCACAAAACGACGTGTCATCAAGATTCGAAACCCTTCGAGTCACGAGAGGAAGTCTTGATAACACTTCACGCGCCATGCCGTGGACGGCACACAGACAAAAGTGCCATGACATGACAAGAGACAACCCCATGGCGTTTGCTTACTCGCACCTTTCGTCGCACCTTTGGTACACACAGAACCGCTGAAGTCGGACATCCGCGATAGTTGGGCAGTACGCAGATTGGAGAGCTTACCGCGGTAATTGATGTGACATGGTTGTCACGCTGATGAAGTGGGAGGTGGTGTCCTTGGTTTGATGCAGTTTGATAGCGTATCCTAGGATGACCTCGACATCGAAATGAGCGCTCGTCTCTGCCAAGTAAGGGCTGTGCGCGGGGTACCGTCGACGATGTTGGTAGCCGTCGTTTGAGGTGCTGAGCTGGACGGTGTGGAGGGGAGGAGAGAAGAGGGAAAGGATCTGCCCTCGGTTGTAAGGGCAATAGGTCCGAAAGAAGTTGTGGGGAATCTAATACAAGGTCTCAGCACGTGTTTTAGGGCAGGCTTCGTGATCTGGAACCAGCTGTCCACTTTCCTTCCGTTCTGCTGATCTTCACCATGGAAGAAGTTTTTGGCGTGTAACAGAAAAGATCGAAGACGCCATCGAAGACACATACGTCAAACAAGATTTCTTCCCACAGTCCCCGTTCAGGCAACACCGTCCCCACTTGCTGGGTGCGCGAGCATGGAAGCAACTCTCCAACAGTGACAACGACGACACGACAAGCATAAACAACAACGACACACATCGTTTCACTCTGACATAAGCTATCTGCAACAGACGCTCAGTGAAACGAAACACAACGAATTAAAAAACAGACATATCACACCCATTCTGTTTTACGTTGCTCCTCGACATGGTAACTTCTACGGCATCCCGATAATTACACAGGGTCGGAGTATCTTGACAGCCAAAATGCGCCCGGTCTGCGTCAATTAAATGTTTTACGGAAACGTTGGGATGGGAAGGCAGGCCACATGAACATCTCAGTCCCTCACTGGACGTCACCTGCTTGTCCAGGGTTCTCAATGACATGTCTCGACCATTCGTAGGTAAACGTACCGTACGATGATCGGACAGCATGTCTTTGCATTGCCATTCGACTCGCGGAGTCCACCTCTGTGTACTGGCCTCTCTACATAGTATATCAACAGATCAACAGTCTTGCACACCAAAATAAATATATCATAGACGTGACATACCGCATTGATCATCCCGTCGTTGGGCCGTGAATGACAGAGGTCGATGGTTGCCGCCCTGCAATGCTTGGCCATGCGCCAAGATAGCGAGCGTAGGGATACGTCCCTCTCAAGAACGACGAGTGCGGTGCACTCAAATGACAAGGCGGTACCGGGATCACATGTCATCTTGTCAGCAGACACCGAAACGTTCGCCTTCTGAAACCTTTCTGCCCAACATTTCCCAGGAAGAAGCACGTATCGAACCTCTTTGTGAAAATGGAACGAAACGATGAGCATCTTCACCGACTCGGAGGGCAAGTCCCGAACGCGTGTCACGGTTGTGTTGTACGTACAACATAACGGAATAGTGGCCATCACATTATCATCGTGATGCGCTGGTTGACTGGCGAGAGGAGAGCCAAATGGGATTCCGGGGGCGTGTCACAATGATCTCCTTCCTCTTGATGCGCGCATCGACTCAGTGAAGCTGTACGGTATCGACGCACATTGTGGTGACTCTTTCAAGTGGTTATTAATGTGCTGACAGTGGCACGTACGACAGAAGCTGAGTTCAAGTTTGTCGAAGACCGGAACGTGGTCGGCTATTCTTCGTTCTTCTTCTCGTTACGCAATGAGCTGACAGAGTTCAAAATCTAAAGTGCTGACTGAGGAGAAGACGAAGGGAGCGGCCAATTCCTGCATCCGGGCCCACCGTAGCTCCCGAAGCAAAGAAACCTGCAGCCAGTGGCACTTGGCTGTCATGATCAGTTTCGCGAACTGAAGCTTGGATCTTCCTCGGTCCCTACTATGTACGGCGGGCGTTTAGGCTGTGATGGGCCCGAATGACTGGCCAAGTCCTCTGACCTTGGATTATTATTATTAATACTTTTTTTCTTGGTGCAAGGCATCGATAAGTAGTGGCTGAGAAGCCTACCTGTCTCAACTAGGTTTCAAAAAAAAGCGTGGTCCGACGTTGCAGCCATGTGGACCCAACCTTTCCCCCCCTCCCTTGTTCGCTATCTCTGAATCCGTATCGGAACCAAGGAAGGAAGGCAAGGCGTGGAGGGGTAAGGAAGGCCAAAAGGACGCACCCACCACTTGTGATGCCGAGAAACTAACAGCATAATTAAAGTTACACCCGATCCTCACCCTCGAAAAAAAAAAAAACAGAGTTTCGAGCTCCTTTTGAGCGCCGGCCGGGACGCGTGGACGCATGAACTTTGCGGGCCCATCATGGCAAGTGACAATGCGACATACCTGAGGAAGGAAGGCAAGGGCCCTATCTTGCAGGGTTCAGACTTTGGATTGGGTGGTCAGTCATCACAGGGTGTAGCACTGTGTAGTCTAGACACACGCACTAGAAATCACCTTGACGGCGTACATGAGCTCCTGCGGGCGAGAACAATAGATTGACGGTGAGCGAGGAATGTTCAGACACGTGTGGTACGCTTGAATTCCCCGAGGCCGTTGTGATCGCGATGTGGTCGGTGTCCGGGAAAAGCAAAATGAAGAATTATGATACGACCGATTAACTTGCTACTTACATACAGAGGGAGGGATCCGCAGCGATTTCGAGAGCGACGTGCAAGAAAAATAAGTAAATCAAGAAATAAAGAGAAGAAATAGGATGAGAATGTTGGAAGAGACTGTAAAAGACAATATACAAAATCCTACCGATATCGGCGACTAATCCTTCCACATAGACTAAATGATAACGCTCCGTATTATACAAACGCACGACAATAGCAAACCGCTGCCAACTCTCCAGTCACGGTAGATGAAACAGGAGAGGACAGCTAGTCCGCGAAACATAAAGGTAGTAAAATATGAAAACATTGAAGAAGGAACCAGTGATAGACTAGGTATATACCAGCGTAATATAGCATAGAAATAGCATAGCGCTCGAGGCGAACCGACGTTGTCATTATCGGAGGCTCGTAGGAGAGAATAGAGACGAGTATATAGGCCCGGTGAAACGAGGGAGAATCCTGGGATGAAGGAGTTGATATATGCACGGATGGACAATGGTGGGGAGACACAGAGAGCGATATATGCGATGATGGACAAGGAAACAAGCAATGGGAATGTGAGAGATCCGCCAGAGAGAGCTATTTCACGAAGAGCGTAGTGCCCAATAGGTAAGGTACTGTTGACCGAGGTCAGGGGAGTTTTAAGCCAGAGACCAGCTAGAGCTGGTAGTAGAAGTATATCGTCGTCCGTCTATCGAGTCCTTATGGGTATTCCTGGTCTGGGACACCTCTGAAGTGCGAGTGACTTGAATTGGGCCTCATATCCTCGCCGTACACATTCCGTCGCATCCTTCCGTCGGTATATCCACTGACATTACTGTGACCAGATCCCGGACGTCCGTCCTCCTCGTAGACACTGTCATAGCCACCACCGCCGTACACATCTAGCTCTGGTTGCCCGTGCATAGCACCAGGAATCATAGCGGGTGGCTCGTAACCAGGCAGCGGCGTGAGAAGCGTGCTGTCTGGCGGTAGACGGTTCATCGCTACGTGAGACGAGGATGACGGGAGGCCCATGCCCTGATGCTGTGAAGGATGCTGGCCAGAGAGATACACCGGATTGCTGCGCCCTGACGATCCATGCCAAGAGCCAATGCTAAAACGCTGCTGACGACGCATGTAAGCATCCTCATGCGAATGGCCGTCATATTCATCTGACGGAGAGTATCGCAGCTCATCTAGAGATGTAGAGGTTGCGAACCGCGAGTCTGTGAGTGGTGGGACGGGCAAGGAAGATGGGATGCCGATAGGGAGGTGTCCACGGTGGTGTGGGTGCGAGCCATGCATCTGCGAATACTGGTGCAATTCAGCGTCTGAGAGCGAGTCATGGCGCATGTGGGCTGGGTGGTGGTGACTGGAGCGCATACCAGGGCCTCCGAGTGTACGCGCATCAGCTTCTTCCTTCTTAGCTTTACGCCATTGCTTACGGAGTTCTTTGAATTCTGGGGAAAATAAAGTGAATTAGCAAGCTAATAAACGGCTAGAAAAAAAAAGAATAGAGAGAAGAGGAACGCGATAATGAAAAAGAAGCTTGGGAGGTACGAAACAAGAGGGCGATGATTAAGGCATAGTTGAAGGAAATTAGCTCACCATTAGGACTTCTCTTGCCGCCATGCTTCTGCATGGTTACGTGTGCATTTAAGTGGTTGAGAGTACCATAGGCTTTTGTGCAGTCGGGCCAAGAGCACCGGTAAAGACGTTCAATTTCGTCGTAGCGCCTTCTAGGGCGCTTCTTGACGGCATTGCCAGGAAGAGATACGAAGGAATACTGCTTATTGTTTGAGCTAGAGCCAGAAGGGCCGCCACCTGGAAGGGGATTTGAGGACGTGGATGTGCCAGTGCCTGGTGGGGAGGGACCGTATGGATCATCCAGGATGGAGTAAGGCATAGACGGGATGCCCATACCAGGAGAGCCGGCACCACCCGAGAAAGTGGGATTGAGGGGAGAGATAGGATCGTCGAGAGGCAAGTGGCCAAAGGAATGGAGGTCTTCCTCCTCCTTCCAGAGAGGATGGCTGTCGCGGATGGAAGACGAGCTGAGACCTCTTTGGAGGGGAGTGTAGGAGGAGTAGGAACGGGGAGAGGGATAGTGGGGATGATGATGATAGCGAGCAGGGTGGAGGTCAGCTGACGGAGTAGAATAACCACCTGGAGTGCTGCCAAAGATGGCTGGCTCGGACATCCGGCGTTGGTCGAGAAGAGGATGTTGATTATGGGGGTATTTATCGGATCCACGCAGATAGCGATCTGTAACGTTTATTGTAGTAGAATAACGATCCATTTCGGGGGGCAAGGGAGAAGCCGAACCGGGGAAATGATCCTGGAAGTGTGGCGCGCTAAATGGCTGAGGAAATGAAGAGGATGGATGAGGGTCTGTCGGGGATGGAGAATCAGACACATAGCGTGCAGAAGAGACTGGGGCATCTCGGGAGGGAGTGGTGGCGGGAGAGGGCTGGGAGTGGGGAATAAGGGAGTAGTTTGCGAGACGGGAGGACTGGTCAGGGAAGGGATCGTCTGGGGTGGATGCATTGGAGTCGTAGACGGCGGTGTGCTGTTGACGGGGAGCATAGGTGTAATGAGAGCCCTGGAGTGGGCTGTATTGAGTATCCTTGTCCAGGGTGGTGGAGTGGGGGGCAGCTAAGTTGGAGAGGTCGTCGAAGAAGAGCGGATGGGGGATGCGTGGACGAGATATGGCAGGAGGAGGGGGAGGAGGAGGAGGAGGAGGAGGAGGAAGCAGTGAGTGCATGGAGGAGAGGTGGTCGGAAGGAGACGACGGTGGCAAGAGTCATTCGCTGGGGAGGAGTGTTCTTAACACTTTGCTCTGGTTGTCAGCACGCCGGCGTCGTAGCAGCGCTTCAGTCCGACCTCCCGTCCTTTTTCTTCTTCCTTGCTCGACATCTCAGATCTCCTCTGTGACCCTGTCACACCCTCTTTTCATTTAGACGCGCATCTGCAGATCCGAATAACGTCTTCCCGGTCCTCTGCTTCTTTTCTTCTATTTCGAATTCCCAGAGAACTCCCCAGTCACGTCACATTCTGCTCTTTTACATCATATTCCTATACAAATATATACATTTATTGCCAACTTATCAGATCCCATTCCGAGCAAATCGCAGTCTCTGCACTCACCTCCCGCTCCTCCTGTGCCCCCATCACCCGTCCGAACAGCCTCGTCCCACTTCCCTCCGTATCCACACAACCTTCATTCGCCCCGTCCTGCCCTCCTCCATCTCTTCGTCGCTTACGATCCCTTCGGGACCGTCATCAAGGGTCTCCCGCCCATATTCGCTCAAATCTCTGGGGCCCGGCCCATACACCAATATCTCCTTATCAGGTAATCCTCTCCCCTCCTTCTTTTTTTTTCACTGCTCGGCCGGTATCAGCACCGTACACGTTCGATCCATAACGTCATCTCTTTTCTTACATACGCCTGGCGCCAAGTCCACCAGCGCTCGTCCTCCCGACTTATCCTACTAGTACTCTCTGTACATCCCTCCACCCTCTTTTTGGTGCGTCTCTTGCTCATCACCTCGCGTGACCGACTCCTTATCGCGGCCGCAATTGGTTGATCCAGATTTTGTACACGTGCCACATCGTACCCTCTTTTCTCCACTAGATAGTAATACACCATGTCGCCTTTGCAATCTACCTCCTCAACCCTGTCTCCTTCTCCTTGCCTCGTCTGTCATGCCGTCGTGCGCTATTCAGACTGAACAGCGAATGAGTCTTGCATTCGTTTGATCGTCAAAACGGCGCGCGTTTCGTCCTGTAAAACACGTGTCTCCAGTGCCCGACTGCTCCCGGTTACCACGTCTACAATCCTCAAAACAATCTGCTGACACCTCCGCACACCCCGGACAAAAACAGACTCCTTGGTCACTCTGCTTCAACACCATTTGGGTTCCACCCCCCTCATCACGGCCCAACCCATCCGCACATGGCAACACCATCTCTTTTGCACTGCGCCATACACCCACACCACCCTACCACATCACAACCTCTATTTTGGTACTCCAAACACTCTTTGAGTTTGCCAAAGCATATATCGACCGCATTCTGCCCTAGCCAATCCCTTTGCCAGCCCACTTTTCCGTTGCCTGGGCCCCAAGGCACAGCCAGACGCTATCACTCATCCTCACACCACAATATGGACCAGTTGATCCCACCGCCATGGCGCCACAACACCTGACATTGACAGGCCTCCCGATGAAACTCTGATAATCGCAATCACAATCGTTCCTGATTTCTGTATAAATACTTCTTCGTCATCGTGATGGTCGTTCTCGAAAATGTAGTACATCTTGCGTTAGGGTAAGAACTGTAATGGAGGTGATAACAATGCTATTCCATCTTGAAAAGGTTTATAGATTCGAACAGCATGTGGATTCTGTTTACCATTGGATTCGCCAGTGGATCCATTGTGCACTACACACGTCCCAACAAACTGGTATCAGGTCCAGTGTGGAATGTTGGCAAGGAACGTGATATACAAACACGTCATGGTCAAGCTTTGATGTGAGAGGCAGGAGTCTGCAATCAGTTATGAGGCATATAGTCACGAGGACTCCCGCCAAAAGCGCGTCAGTGCCCCTGACAGCATTCCAACAATGCGAGGAGTATACACTCAGGAGGCCGCAAATACTATGAAGAGCACCCATGGGATCAGAAAAAACCAGGTGGCGAGTGTAGACGGGACGCACTCACATTCGCATGATCGAGCAACCAACGACCGTTCATGTGACCAGCGCATGCGTCTTGTGATCCGTCCATGCTGTTCGGAAATAACCACGACGCGACGACGGCACGATAGCTGTAAATACGATCGTGAATGCCGCTGCGACGGCCAATTCGTCCTTCACGTACTAGATGAAAGTTTAGATAGTGTTTGTAAAGACGTATACCCCCAAAAGGCAGCAGCGAAAAAGACGGTTGTCTGGAAGAGGAAGGGCAGGAGTCATGTCGGGTTGCGCATGTAAGGGTCCATCGGATCAAGTATGATTGTGAAGTCTGAAATGAAAAGGACCAGAAACGGATAATATGAGCTGGTAAGAAATCAGTACGTGATTATTGTTCAGCTATGCGACCCCTTTCCGGGACACGAAGCATAAATGCTGATAATGACCCCCTTTTTAGAGTGATTGCTGTCACAAAGGACTCATCAGAGGTTCATACCGCCACGAGGACTAAGGAACGGGGTGTAGATCGCGGGGATGAAAGACCTCCCCAATTCAATGCGCGATCGCTGTAAGATGTGCGTATAGAGCTTGCCGCGTACGCAGCACCTGCTGGCGTGCGTGATGATTGTAATATATGACGCCCCAAGGGAGTGCCTGCATAAAGGCGCTGGTGCCTTTGAGATTGACTTTTTTGCGACAAGACTACGGACCGCGTCTGCCAGTGCATAAAGGGAGTGGCGATAGCGAGCATGCTGCCTTGTTCAGGCTCGAGGGCAACGACGACCTGTTACTTGCAGGGTTGAGCCAGGAACGTGTCGTAAACCACTGATCATGACAGACGGTGGTAAGTTGTTCAAAAGGCGCCCGGTTGTAAAGAGAGGATGAAAGGGAGCGTCTACGAGCCAATGGCGGCAAAGAAGAAACGTCACAATGAATGTGACGTGAGTGATGCACTAGTGATCCTCACGTGGTTGACACGCGACGCCATAATGAGCCACCGCCATTCGAGAAAGCTCGATCGAGCAAGTATTTACACCGGTTCTGCTCATTTTTCGACTCCACTCTTGTCCTTCGACCACCACCATCTGTCAGAGATAACTCAGCAATGGTAAGAACAGATGTCCCGTCGTCGAGAGTGACAACGAGAAGCATGAAAGAACCCCTTATCAGACGCTCTACGCGTCTAAATGCAAACCAAGGTGAACAAACAGCTCACTGATCTCTTTGCTGTAACAGAATATAAGCCGCTAATGTAGAGATTAATTACTCATTTTAACGGCTTAGCCTCCAAGAGGAAAGCGCGCGCCACTGTCCCGCGACCCAATTATCGAAGACGTAGCAGTAATGAAGAAGGTTCACATAATCAACCATCTTCTTCAAAACGCAGCGCCAGATCTGGTATCAAGGAAGGCAAGACCAAGGAGGTCAAGAATGCGGGAAAGAACCGTCTATTCACTCTGCACACACGAAATTCTGAGTCCGCCAAGGGAAATAGTTCACGCGAGAGAGATCTCGTCAGAAAGGAAAGACAGCTTCAGCGCGAATCGGAGACACTCGAAAAACGACTGGCCCATGTTTCACTAAAGGAAAAAGAAGCGGTGGCTTTGATCGAGCAGTGTAAAGAACATACCGCCAAGTTCACGCTCAACCAGCTGGAGGAGCATTTTACTTGTCCACTGTACGTGATCACGTATTTCGACTTGTATGGCCTCATTTCAATGTGCATATATGCTTCTCCTAGGTGCTTTGAGATTATGTGCGTTATCCCTCTATCACATACGTTCTCAGCTCAGGTTTTTCCGAGAATGCTGATCATGACGTTGCCAATAGGGCATGTCCGTACTCCTTGAACCCGAGATTATGCGGTCATACCTTCTGTGCGATGTGTATCCTTAAATGGTTCTTCTCCCACCTTCATCGCTCTTGCGGCGCGTGGCATGACTCTGTAGACTGTCCCATGTGCCGATGTACACTTTACCCCACTCCGGATGACGTTCCTCGTCCAGAATATACATTCCCCTTCACCCCAAACAGAACAGTAGACTGCGTCATCAAAAACATGCTCACTAATCTAGGAAGAGACGTAGAAGCCAAGCAAAATTTCGCAATCTGGGCGACAGATTGGAAATCAGGCGGCAACGCAAGAAAAGACTGGGAAAGAAAAGACAGGCAAGGATTTTCGATATTTTATTTGGCCACTAAAGCGTGACTAATATATTTTTGGTATGTTGTGGACGTTTGATCTATATTCTTCGTCTGTACGGTCGTATTAAATCTGCATTACACAACCAGAGATGGAAGAGATTTGATGAACCGTCTCACCGATCGTTGGATGGATATGAAATCCCACGAGTTCATTGCCATAAAGGTGGAACTTGAGGTTTGAGACTCCTTATCGCTTCCATGCTGCCAGCCTCATCACTCGGCTACGCTAATGCTCAATCGTACCGGATAATGAAAAGCCAGGAATGCTGTATTCATGTGGCGCGTCCCGAGCACGATCCGGACTAGTTCTTGTCACCGCAAGATCTTCGAATCTCCTCGCGTCGTTGCACTTCTATTATTCTTGTTTTGATCCTGTGTTCCATACGTCCAGTGACACCTTGAGAACCACTGGAACATTCTACCCTTCCATGTCTTTTCAACCTTCGGCTCCGCGCTGATGCATGATAATCGTTCTAGTAAATGGACCTGTATTTGGACTTGTCTCACGCTGCTCTATGCTCTGTAACCTTATGCTCTCTGATTTCATTGTGATATCAATGTAGGCATTGTAAACTAAACAACCATACTGTAACAATGTTAACGATAACACATGCAATTTTCGTTTATAGATAAAAACACCGCTCCTTAAGACCTCGCATGCCTAAGATGTCCTAACGAGTAACACAATTATCACATGTGACATGTCCAGGAGAGATCAATTAATCATACCCAGTCAGCAGGGGTCAGCCAGAGATCGGCCACCGAGTCCATTTTCCCGAGAACGGCAGCGCCTTTCCAGGCGAGAACCCTCGGATCCACGTCCTTCGGAGGAGGGATAATTTGAACCTTTTCCATGTTAAGTACCAGAGGAGTTGCGATAGCTTGCAACCTGAAGTGAGCACGAAGCAATGTACCACAAAGAAGGTCAGGAAAAGTAGGGAACATTCCTGACAGGATGGATCATTACCTGCTCTCCAAGGCATGTGCCATCCCTGGAATAAGACCTGTCCCACCAATAACCAAGACAGCTTGAAGGTACTTGCGTATTTTGTCATCCCCACCCGCTGCTCTGGCGCTGTTGAATATAGCTACATCGAGTGGCAGCTTGCTTGCCTCGAAACATACGTCAATTCCAAGTCCCCTAATTTGGCTCGTACCTGTATTTGATGCAGGTAGCGGAGCGAGTTGTGAAGATGCCGGCTGTGGTGGTACAGCACCGGAAGCAGATTTTTCACCCTCAATATCAACCACTTCCATCGGCATGTCAGGCGCATTTTCTGAGTTAGGCTCGATAGCGGAAGATGCAGTTGATGGCGGAACAGGTGGGGTGACATCGGTACTCGACGAAAGTTGAACATCTTGTTGTTCTTGCTTCGCGACAGCATCTCCAAATGTAATATCTTAGAGGTAGATTCATAAACAAAGAAATAAATTTTAATAAAAGAAAAGCTTCAAACCTCCTTGAGATGGAACTGGCACCGGTACAGAAAGCACTGATGCTGATTCGGGTGGGACAACCGGTGCCGGTGCCGGCATGAGGTGCTGCGTCGATATGATCATAGCTTGTGTCTACGCACCGCATGTCAATGCAGGAAAGGCAAAAGAAAAAACAGACAAAGGCACTTACAACTTGGTCTCCAGCATGATCTATAATCTCCTCCGAAATATCGGGGTGAGAGTGAGGGCGCAAGCCGATGCGCTTTCTGTCAAACTCGATAACACGAGGTTCAAAGATACACTGCATTAATGCATTAGCATAGGAAAGCCGAACAAAAACTTGCTAAAGTTTCTCACCATAGGAGCTAAAATGATTTCATCATAAGCGCGAAGTCCATATTTTTCCGTGGGCTTTCCTGGTTGTCTAACAACAAAGTCGTATAAATTGAGGGCGACATCTCCCTAGAAGAAAATATTATCAAGTTGAGATATACTGATGTGTCATATCCTACCTCCGCTAGGGTACATAGCCTTGCCTTCAGGTCTTCCATGACGTTCCAGTCATACCATCGCGACAAGTTAATATCTCGGTATGGGAAGCTGATCCGCTCTAGTAGCACATATAAGAACTCGGTTATGTCATCTCCACCCATGTTCAGGGACATTCTTTGTCATTTTTCAAGTTAACATTATCCTGGAACAAGAAGGTTACGATGCTCACTTAGTGTCAGAAATTACAAGGCCTTCATCGACGCATGCTACACTGGTAGCAACTGCACCGATATCCACAACACACGCATTTGAAATTCCAGCTCCGTAAGTCGCTGCGAGCGATTGCTGTAAAATAGCATGAGCTGCAAAATAGAGGCAAGCCCGTGGAAAGTGAAGTGTCTAACCTGCTGTACACAAATCTGCTTGAAGCCCATTGCTACCAGGATGATGTTAACAAAATCGCGAACATAAGATCTCTCGTAAAAGTCCGGAATAACTAGAACAACGGAATAATTCTATTCGAGACCAGAATAAGCGAGATTTAAGACGGTAAGTGTATGCCCAACCTTGTAATCTTGTCTCTCAATGCTGAATTTGTCTTGAAGGATACATCGAAGAATTTCTTCTATATCATCAAGAATCATTTGAACTGATGGGTAATCGCGTGTATTAAAATGTGTTCCATGAATGGGCCAACGGACAGCATAATTGAGGCGCTGAGGGTCTGCTAAGCGAAGAACCTAATAGCCAAATAATCCCTTTAAGTGTTTGACAACGTGAAATTACAAGATGTACTCGCCCTCTCACCAACAAGTGCTTCATTAGACTCTAGGGGTGTTTGTATCCACTCAACACGAAAAGGGTCGTTTATTTCAGCAATTATCTCTGGCTTAAATTGTTCATTGAATGTCGATGCAATGCTTGCAGCATTTGGGGTGACGCGGAGCTTATAAAAGCGCATTCGGTCACGGAGGGACACGGTGATAGTACCAATCTTATCGTCGAACTATTCGAACAACAATGTATAGATAAGGGGTCAACTGCGCATGAGTGGAGAACTTACAGGATCATCGGATGAAACGTTGACAGCGTATTCATCGCCGTTCTGAGATTGAGTGGAATTCTGCAAGTTAGAACGTCCTTTCCTAGGTCTCAAAATACCTTCCACAAAGCTTGGAGTGGGGGTAGGTGGTTGATGTTTTCGCGCAATAACATTCGGCACAGATATCGGATTCACGTCTGAGGCCTTGCCTACACGCAGCCACCTAGACCCAGGATGAATGACAATCACTTGAGAGCCACGCCTGTTCTGAGATTTTAGCGTTCATCACAAAACCATGAATGGACGGTGGTAGGTACTAACCTCTGTTCTGGAGGATGAGAAACCGACTCCTCGGCTGACGGTTTACCCTTCCGAGCAGCATTTCTGTGCCACAATGTTTGAGAGTCTGTCTTCAGATAGGAGGTGCCCATGTGTTTTGGATTGGGCCTGTATGCGTGGATTAAGCTGTATATCAACACCGATGTGCATCACTGAACTTACGCCAAAGGTACATGAAAAAACGTGTAGCGCATGCCAGTATCATCGCGCTTAGCATTGGGTATGCCTCTAGGCATGTCGTTGTAGCAGGAAGTCTGTGGGCGTTGGTAGTTGGCAGTATTGGCGGTTGGCTATCTCAATATAAGGTGTGCACTGCGATGATTGCACTGGCAAGTATAGACGCCCTAAGCCTCGAAACTTTGGCTAGTCTTTCAAATGATTAATTTCCTATTCGGGATTTTTTTCAGGCCGCTGCTCACACATACGCGTATTTGGACACTGCTTCACGTCACAGCCGGTATCTTTATGTAGTCTCTTTAAGCAAACCTATCGACGGAAGATAATCGCACCATATAGCTTTTATGGGTCACGGAAAGCATTAAGTTAACGGATCTTCGAAAACTAAACTAAAGTACAGAGTATGAGTGCTGATGTGATAAGTATGCGGGGCCCAAAATGCTACCAGAATGCACACCTAAGCGATCGTCAGTACGTTAGTATATAGAGGCAAGTAAGATTGTAGCCACATACCATCCTGAAAAGCATTGACAGAGATTCTCTAGAGAAGTGGCCTGTAAAATAAGTTTATCTACTTGCGCAGGCACAGACAAAACAACGTCGGGATTGAAATCTCGGCCTAATAATTCAACATTTAGACGAAAAATTACTTAGTGTGTATGTCAAACCTACCAGTGAGTTTATGCTGAACGCGGTTATAGACCAGTAGAGCTCTTTCATTCCTGACTTCTTGCCTTACCCCAGGCTCCCCAACAGCCTCTAGATGAATGGGGTATTCAGCGAGAACTGCCAGTCATGTGACTCTACACGTACCATTAAAGATATCATTTTCATCTGCCCTCAATTTCCGAGTCGGCCCTTGAGGATAAGCAGCTACTCGCGCCAGCTCAACAGCACGCTCAGGATCGGGGTCAGTATCTGCATAAAATAGATCAGTCGCATGCTACAGAACCTTTGAGAATTCCGCACCTTCAGGGCGTCGAGCATCCACATCAGCTTGCATAAGCCTCCAGTTAATAAGCGGATCATATACAAAAGCTTCTAGCACGGCCATGAGAGACTCCTTGTTCGCGCGCAACACTTGCATAGTAATTTCACATGTATGCCTGAAGCTGCCTTCAATTCCACTTATCTATGATCATCCTGGTTTAGTAACTTCGTGGGCGTACTGGGAAAAAAGGGTCTTCACCTCCATTGCATGAGTCAGCATACGAGTCAAGCGGAAAGGAATCTTCTCCGGGAACTTCTCGCGATGCATGGCAACCTCGAAGCAGTCACCAAAATCAATGTGAACTACTTTTCCTGTACTGCGCTCAAGAAGTAGATTGGAAGGGTGCCGATCGCCGAGGCCTAGGATATGTCCAACCATGCTGTTCATTGCAAGAGATCTCGTGTAGGTCGCACGACGCTCAAGCCAATGCTCTGAATTTACGCTTTTCAACCAAAGGACGCGGTACAAATCTTGACCCGTCGTATTCTCAAGAGCATATTCGAAGACTTCTACTTTTTGAAGGAGAGTGAGATTTTCGTAGTCAGGTGCCATCTGTAAAAGAATGTATGAATATCGTGATGGCTGCTGGGAAACTTGAAGAACAGACCTGCAGCATTAAGCGATACTCGATGTTCAATAAAACTTTACGAGAATCACGGTAGTCTCTAACAAGAACGTGGAGGGTGTCACTGTCTTGCACCCATCCTATTAGACCGGCGTTCGGAGCTAGGGGTATGACCGAAAAACGTTGAATATGTAACCGCCTCTTGAAGCTGTTGGTATCCACAGATAAGAGAGTATTGACAAGACTGAACAATTGCATAACCCGCTCATCCTGACGGAGGTCCTCGTGGCCTGATATAGAAACTATGTTAACTTATATATGATTACTTCAATTATCGTTTCACCTTTTAAGAGATATTGATAATCCCTTCCATCGCTACCCTTCAACGAAATTCGTCTAGGCCGTTGTTTAGAGGCAATGACTGTAAGCTTTGTGGCAAAGCTAGCTATCCTGATGATGGGTCTCCCGGATTGGTATGTACCTAAATCGAAGCCTTAGAATCAGCGCGTCTGTAAGCTAGGCAAAACTTACCCGGCATCGCCAACTCGAGATTACGTGCCTTCAGCAGTTGTGGCGAAACGTACTGCAAGTCGAGTGTGGTCAACTGGGGTAATTGCTTCTCAACTTTCCTGAAGACCTATGACATAGAGTCTGTGAGCTTTATCAACAAAGAAGTTTGCCATGCATATTACCCCATAATATATATCCCATGCTTTGTTTAATTCCGCTCTCTCACCATATGCTCGGTAGCGTCGACACGCTTCACGAGCTTCATGTAGATCTCTACCAAATACTTGGGCAAAAGAGGTCTCGCGAGCAGTGGTAGGGCCCTGAAATGATATAAATCAATGTGCTCCGCGTTCCTTTCCAGTTCTCTGTACTTACTGCCTCCAGCATTTCATGCAGTGGCTCCAGTGCTGCAATCATTCCCTCTGGGTTTTTCGCAGAAAAGTATAGGCGAGAAGCCTCTTCGAGTCCCTCATGCCATAACTCGTGCCACAAAATGGCAACACGAATAAGCTCATGGCTAACAACGAGTGCCTTCGAAAAAATCAGCTCGTGTAATAGGCAAAAGCCAGCGTAGCCTCACCTGTTCAACTATGGCTGGACTATGTTCTCGCATCCTATCCATAATTCCTAGGGCAGCGTTTTTACGAGATGCACTCGATGATTTCGATGCCACAGTAAGAGGATAAATTAGAGCTTGTGGATGGTGTTTACCAACTTCAGTCAATAGATTGTTGATATTTCGGCGTACATTCGCGCTTGGTGTTTGAATTCTAGCAATTATCTGAAGGGTGACTGAGAAGGGGCGTTTTCTTGGAGAAAAAAAACTATAGAATATACCTGAGGAATAACTTCTAGCCACGTGTCCACTTCAACTGTCGAAAATCCGCTTGCCATAGCTTGACTGACATCGTCATGAGCACCAAATTTGAACCAAAGTGTCAAAAGACGAAGCGTATCCTGCAGAGCGTTCTCGTTTCGAAGCGCAATAGAACGGAAGAAACCTGATGAATGAAAGGTCAAAAGCCAGTTCAACAGAAGGTAATCGTCGAAGACGAACCTTGAACAGCCTGGACAATATGTGCAGCTAGTCCAGTACCTGGTACATCTACTGTGGTACTTTCTTTCTGATTTTCTAGATGGCCAATAACTTCGAAATTTGCAAGTGCCCATGTGTGCCAAGCTTTATACCAAGTAGCATCGTAATGTGTCGCTAAAAGGTATGAATGTAAGATATCTTTTACATTTCTCTGCGAAAAATAAATGAATGAAGTTCTCAGGTGGATTACGTGCAGATACTTACAGCACCCCAATCATCCTTGAGCTCAACTTGCCATTGGCCTTGTTTGAAGTAGCACCGTGCTAGTAGCCTAGAGAGCTCATCAAGCTTGTGTTTGCCGACACCAGCTCGCTGTGAGTGTTCTTTGGTTTCGGCTTGCAAGTCCTTACAAAGACTCGCAGAAAACTGACGAAGAAATTTGAGACTTTCTTCTTTCGCGCCCGAAGCCCACATATACTTCAGCTGCGCATAAACCACATTTGGAGGTGCTTTCATATGATGTTGGTCGTCGCGGAGGTGTTGCAGCTAATATTATGTCCATGAATATCAATGCCCAAGTAGCTCTGTTATCTACACATACCCTCTCTGGAGACAACAAAGAGTTGATAGTTTTCTCAGCAAGCACCATCCGATCTGATTTTCGACACAGATTGGCAAACTTGATCCACATGACAGGATCATCCTCAGGATTTAATACCAAAGCTCGAACTTGAAGGATTCGCTGCCAGGTTTCTACGTCAGGTTGACAACCTTGAAGTCTGTACATGTGTGAGCTGGCGTAACTAAGAATTGTGCTTTTATGAATATCCTCACCTTTTCATCCAAGTTTTTCGCATAGATTGCTGCCTTTCAGGTTGATCCGCATACTGCTTAAAAGCAATAATTTCCTCAAGCTCTGAGAGCATTTGAGCCCGAACCATCGTGCTTCAAGGACATGAGTGTACTAGCGTGATAGGGGAGGCGTTGAAACTCACTTATAAGACCTACCATAACCTTCTCCGACAAGTGACGTTAGCTCAGGTTCCAAAAGGTCTCGGGCCTTGGCTATTTGAGTCAAGGCTTTCGGAAATTGGTTTTGATGGACAGAGAGAATTGCTTTGTAGAAAGCACGATCTGGAGAGTCAACTCTCATTGTGGTAATATAATCGTCCATAGAGTCCCACTCAAGTAATGACCAAGCAGCTGCAGCTGCCATAGGTGCGATTTCTCTCCGATCTTCGTGGTTTGCATTGGACCAGTTTTCTTCTACTTGAGCAGCGAGCTGATCCCAATCCCCCATAGCATGCAAGCATTTCATACGGCCTATCTGAACGTCAGGAGCGTCAGGATCCTCTTCAGCCTTCTTTTCGTATGCAGCTAGAGCTTCTTGCCATCTTCCGAGCCTTTCGTACCATTCCTCGTGCTTGCTGACGTCATATTGTTCTCGAGCAATAATGAGCGTTCCCCAGGCAGCGTCGTGTTGTTGAAGCTTGGTGTTAATACCGATTAACGCTTCGATAATGTTTGGAGAGGTTTCAGTGAAGAACTCTAGTTCTTTGTAGTGAAGAGCTTTGGCATAGGCGTGAAATTTCATTGCATATTCGCCAAGAGTGCGGTGTTCAATAGGGAGGGGCTTTTCCTCGTGTTCCATAAATTCGGCAAGATTAAGAAGTCGATGGATGAGATCAGATGGTGCACTGGTTGATGTGATGGCACATTCGATGGATCGAACGAGGTCTTCCTAAGAGTGCATCGATGTTAGTGGGATCAAGGTACTAGAGTGAATGTGGACAGAAACCATACTTGATATTGATCATATAACTCGGTCCAACAAGAGATAAATGCCGCGTTGAATAATTCTTTAGCGATGGGTGTGTGGATATCAACAAGACTCATACAAGCTCGCAGAGCATGAGAAGGAGATTCTTTCATGAACTCAACAGAAAGCCGATGCATCCATTCGTTCCAATCCTCTCTAGTAGTTACCTGTGATACGTCCCAAGCTTGCTTGAGATGTTGTTGATTCACTGTCATTTTTGCAGCTTCAGCAGGAGCAGAGAATTCTGGAGTTTTCGAACTCTCACTGGGAACCACAATCAGTTACCAGGGAGCTGTTATGCACAAAAAAGAAACTTACAGTAAGTCAAGGATACCAGACTCTTGAGGAAGCCGTTCGCCGTTGAGTAACTTTGATATCATATTCTCATACCGGGGGTGCGAGATCCTATTCCGAAGTAGACACTGCTCTAGGGTGAACATCTGTATCACGATCAGGGCGAATTCGCTTACTTTATTGATCGTAGGAACAAATATGGCGAAGTCTGAACCCAATTGAATCACCAGGGCACATAGCGTATCCATGGCCGCTTGTCGAAGTTCATTATTGGGACTTTCCAAGACACGGACAAGGGGGTGAACGATGCGTGAAGCATGGTCAGAGAAATTAACTCGCTGTGACAAGTGCGCTACAGTTTGAATGGCTTTTTTGCGAAGAGCAGTTGTACCATCAAGCCTTTCTGCACACTTGACGATGATGGGAATGACTAGATGAAGATATTCTTCGATATTTGATCCAAAAGTAAGAAAAGAGTCAAATATTTTGATTTGTGTGGCCATTCGTTTTTCATTCAATTCCCCGTCGAATGCTTTGAGTAGATGTGGAAGGATCGTGGGCAAGAATGGCTTGAATTCGGCATCAAGTGCCTTCCCTAACGCTTCGATAAGAGAGACGATGGGTAGCTGAAGAGAAGTATTCTCCCAGAGCTCTGTTACAAGTCCAAATACTTCAGGCATATAATTGCGGATATGCTGTTTGATAATGCCAACAAGAATTGCTAATTGCTGCAGGTGAAATTCTTGAAGCCGTGCAGAGGTTCGTGCAACTGCAGCAAACGCAGGTATGATCTTCATTAATTGATTTCGTAAGGCCTTTTTCTGCTAGATGAAGAATGTCTTTACCTGTGGCAAGAAAGTGACACACTTGAGCCCTTGAGTTTTGAATATTGACATGATAGCTTCAATCACGGTATGATGGTGAGTGCTCAAGGACTGATCTTTCAAAATATTCAATAGCGAGGTGATGACCACTGTTTGGTAATAGTCATCAGATCCAGCCAAGGGTCCAGCTGCAGTGACTGCCGGTAGAGGCGTCTCACTGGCAGCATCCTCCTCGGGTCTTGTCTATTGTAAGCGTTGTGTAAACCAAAGGTAAGAACAACACGAACGCCCACACACATACCTTACGACGATAAGGATCCAAGGCACCAAGTATGCCCAACACTTTAACCACCTCTCTCTTTACAGATTGAGTCGACTCTGTTCTCAGTATCCGGCCCAAAATGGGAAGTAACTGAGGGTAATCCACGAGAGGCGTAATTACATATCCTGTGCTAGAACAGAGTTGTCCCAATGTGTGCAGCGCTGCGTCTCGCTTCACGAGCGAAGGGTCTGACAGTCTTGATATTATCACCTGCATGAGGTCCGGAACATGAGGCATAACATCTTCGGCGCCAACGCATGAGAGTTCTCCTAGGCACATGAGAACATGTGCTGCCACGGTTGGGTTTGGGTCGTTTGCCTTCTGTAGTAACACACGTAGCATTGGCAAAGCGTATGGCTTGATGAGACGTTGTGTAACGCTGACTAGAAGTGTCAGTAGTCTAGTGGACTCTTCGCGATTGCGCCTACGACAAGTAGGTCAGATATACATCTGTACGAATGAAAAATACAACATACATGACTGTAGAATATTCTAGTTCTGTTAAGAGTTGGATTAAAGCCTTGCGGAGGGAAGGCATGACGTAGGCAGGATTGTGCTTAGCGAGGCGCCCAATTAGTCCAACTGCTGTCACTCGGTTTTCAAAGACTTCGTCATTCAAGGCAATAAACAACGACCGCACGTTTTCGGCCTGGGCAAGATGTTTGTCGAATCGTTCATGAAGTGACGAAAGGACAGTTTGACGGATGGTGGGATCTTTATAAAACCTGATTAAATATCGTATTGCAGCATACAATAAGAATGGTGCAAACCTGGATCAGCTATACCAACAGTAAGGAGCTTATCAAGTACGTCACTGATGATTTCTATGGCATGACTGCTTGCTTGGTAACAGATAGGATCTCGAACAAAGAGGCGACAACAAGTCAATGCTGCAGCGCGCCTTACTTCTGCGTTATCATCCTCCAAGTAAGGGAGAGCACAACTGCGCACGAATTCGTTTAATACATGACCTTGATGGCAAATGAGTGTCGCGACATATGATGATATAAATATACATACTGCTAAAGTCAAAAGTACCAAGAGTGGACAACGCGAGCGTGATCAACTCAGAGCTTTTCCCGCCCCCCGGAGTCTATCGCATATCCTTAGTTGGAACTCTTCTCTACAATAAAACCTGTTCATACCTGAGAGTTATTCGCATCACGTGTGGTAGCGGAGGCATCGCTTCGAACACGAGGTGGCGCTCCTATAGACTTGTAGGCCTGCCCACTTAATATAATGGATAAGAGATCGAGAAGGCGATCTAATTGAGGCAAGAGATGATATAACAAGAGTATCAACCTAACGAATATGAACGCACCTTGTATTGTTTTAAGCAGAGGAGGAATATGACGCGCCATGGCCATGAGTGCCTGCCTCAGCGGCTCGCTGAGGCCACAGTCGAACATCAGATCAAGTTGGTCGTGTAAAAGCTTGGTAAGGTTGGTTCCAACAGCCGAAGCAAGCATGCCAAGGCATTGGAATATTGGCTCTTCCGAAGGGGCATTTTTCTTGTTATGACTATAACTTACTATGAGTTGATGGATACGTGAGGCGATATATAGATTTACCTTCGGGCTTGCAATCCCAACTTGATCTGGCCCATAATGGGTTCCAGGAAGCGTTTCATTTCACTGGTTACAGCAGCAGCAGTGTGACCAATGGCAATGAAAGCTGTTGAAAGCATTATTAATTCGAGATCAAAACCTTATGCAAACATAGCACGCACCAAAGGATCTCTCGTTGGGTTTCTCAAGCTGGGTTAAGAGATGACCCATTGCCTTATGCAGAAAATGATCTGAAAATGTCTGTGTATCGTATGCAGCTAGCGTAGGTATGAGGGTGATCACCATCTTGCGGACTAGACCATCTCGGTGAGATTTAAAACGCAAAATCTGCTCTGCCGTGTCCAAAAACGTTTCTCGCATGAACTGAAGATGCAGCTGTAAATATTCTGATTATTATTTGCAAACTTGCAAATGCTTACCGTGCCTCCGTGCAGAAGCAGCTCACGATATGTCAACAGTGACCCGTGAATGATTTCTGGTTGTGTCGCCTTGAGTCCTAGTTGTGCATCTTGAAGAATCTTGAATAAATAAGGGCTGCGCGCCTGCCGTTCTCTATGCGATACGATATCCAAACATGCAGCTAAGAGCTCCGCAGCTCCTTCTCTTACTATCATGCGAGGGTCCCTGAGCGGCACAAGGATCTTCTCAAAAACTAAGCTGATATGGGAATGAAAATATCCCGGACTGTTCCGCGCCAGCTCCTTCAAAATTAACACGCCAGCATACCTAGGAGACTCTTGTTTGTCTCCTTGTAGTAGTTCGATAGCTGCTGGAACTTCATAATCCATAAACCGTTCCCCGAAAGCTGCACCACCTATCTCCGCGATTTGACCAAGGGTTTTAGATGCGGCCAGCATGATATTGACGTCGTGATTCGGAAGCAACGACTTGACATAGTTGTAAAAGCGAAACAGATTACGCTTGGATTCGATTGTATCCTCGCCGTCAATGTCGAGCAGATGGTCTACTCGGTGTCAGCATATGGTATAGACTGTACAAGGTAACTGACCAATAGCCAGGAGGCCACCCAATCTTTCGACATTGTTCTGACTATGCATCAGGTCAAACAACCGCCTGTTGATATGGTCATCCCATAGCTTGGCCGCAGCATCGGAGGGCATTTCTGCGACAGTAGTGGAAACCTAGATAACTAATGTCAAGAACACCATCACCGCCATTCGGAGGCAACAGACGAACATAACGCCGGAGGTCTATTGCTGCTTGTAAACGGGCATCGTGATTCTTGCTTTTCAAAGCCTGGAATATTTGGGTCAGTATGTCACTTTGAGTTGACTGCGTTGTGGACGCCATGGTCCCAACAGATTCTTTGACGTTTGACACTTGACCACCAGAGTGCTGTCTGCGCTTAATTCAAGGTAGGTGCGAGTAGCACCGAGCTTGTTTACATGTGTTGAATCCAGAGGGTACAAGCGCCCTACAGTATTGATATCAGGTCTGACCTTACAACAAAATATTCCTTAGAAGAGAAAACAAGAACTAAATACAGTACTGAAGTGAATTCAGAAATTCTCATTTTGCATAACCGAGTCTCATGATAAAGTGTTAACAGGACATGTGGGGAGTAGGTCAGTCACGAGCTATGCGCCAAATTCTGGCCAGTTAACACGGCCTGGTGGTCTAGTAGTATGATTCCTTGTTAGGGCGCTTAGCAATATCGAGGAGGTCCCGGGTTCAATTCCCGGCCAGGCCCCATGAGTTTGTATTTTGCTGCAAGTTGACCAAACTTCAGGTTCGGAGTTGTAGGTTGTGGTTGTGGAAACGGTTTTTTTATTTGTTGAAGTATCTTTTTGTATCGAGGTGGATTGTTAAATTAAGCCGACTTTCGCTGACTTGCTTGACGAACATGAATTTCACCTTCCCTCTTGTAAACAGACTTGAGTGCAGTAGTACTATGATGGTGCTTTTTGACACTTCTCATATATTATGGAGTTGCGGTAGGTATCCGACACATATACATGTTTTGTGACATAGCCCCCGTTTGATCTTCCGCAGTGACAACTGCGCGCTGCGCATCGTAGCATCTTTAAAACACATGGCACATATGATTCGTGAAAACGCGCTGTGCAAATTTCTAATAGTCTCTGCTCTGCGTAGCGTTGGCTTACAAAAATGATTATAGAGAAGGATGACCTTCGCAAGCAGCCAACTTCCGCTGTAAGTGCCCTTTCTTTTTCTCCATCAATTCGCTTCATCTGACCAATTCCACATTGTATCCACAAAATGTTTCCTACTTTCAATAGATGAGTGAAGGGTCCCCACCCCCTTACCGGGACCGTGAAAATAACGATAATGCGTCACTGTCTGCCCTGTCATATTCAAGTTCTGATCACGGACCTCGTAAAATGCCACCCGCACCACCGTACCCTGAATCCGCCAATGTCCAGACCATAAGCAAGATATCAATTCATAAACGTCGCCAACCAATATCCGGTTAGTTGCTCGCGGATGGAACAAATCATGGTTAACAAATAATGGCCAGGAACATATTGTATCAGCTCCGATGTTCCAGGAGATGACAAGGCGCTTTCTCAGGGTGGCATGGGCAATGGATTTAGCAAGAAGCTGGGGCCAAGGCTCAACTGGTTTACAACCCCAGATGCTTCTTTTAGAACCCGATACGGCGCGATTTATCTGGATTTATCAACAGGACCTTCTACGCATGATGTTAGGTCTACAGTCAACGTGAACAACCGCCTTGGCAACGTAGCGATTGACGTCGTAAGTCTTTGTCGTCGCTAGAAGTTTCTACACCGTCTAACTGGTTGGATAGTCATATATAGATCCTACCAACCACTTGAACCTCGATGCTTACTCTCGGAGAGGTGCGCGCTGTTTTATTATTTATTTATTATTTACGGAAAACAAAGTTCTGTCGATCACGTTTATCGCAATGCATCAGAAGACAGACCAGTTTTGGTGCTTAAACGTTGCGCAGATTTCCCGAGATGAAGCAGAATGATGCTCCCATGCTCTTCTCTTCGAGGAATATTGGTCACATTTCGGAAACTGCCAAACTCCTTTTATCTTCTGCTCTCTCTCCACGGCTATTCATCTCATCACCTTCCGCTTCTATTCAGGGAATATTACTGTTCTGCTTCCCAGGAATTATTGCGGTTCTGTTCAACTCTCTTGCAGTACAGGTGGATATACCATCTTGCCGGAAGTAGCGAATGCAACGCGCATCATGCAAGGCAACGGGGGCAAGGTGTTCATTCATATTGGAAAGAACAGCTATTTAGGATCTGACAATGGTTCTACAATGGATCATTGTCGACTGTCGGCGAAATTCGGACGAATTACGCTAGGATTTAGTGGCAGCAGTGCCGATGGGTGTACGCATAAAGCAGACAATCTGTGGCAGAGGATGGGTTCTTATCTAAGGGCTGGGTCTGAGCGTGCTGGGCCTAGATAAACTGTGAGTTAATTTTTGTGAAGCGGGGGCCTAGATTGGTATATTTCGCGAGGTTCTGGGGATGACCCGCGTGAGAGGACACGCTGGAGGTCGAATCTTGAGTATGTATAGTAAACGTGTAGTACACAATCACGATGTAGAACTGAGATAACTTTTCTGATTCAGATGCTTTTGGTCAGGGTGCGAATTTACCTAAGCCGATAAGCACGGAGCACGGATCACACAGCTCTTTTTCCGTGCCCGAGATCCACAGGCATAGGGCGCTGGAATCCTTCATAAACATGTCAAGAAGCAAGTGTACCTAGGACGTTCCACCACATCCTTAGCCCCCGGATATTTTCCATGTCCACTCCTGAAGCGCCTCACATGCAAGCTGGATGCCTGGGCGGCATCTTCAAGACCAGATTCCGGCGTTCATCTAACCTGAAGGGACACAACACGCCTCTCGTAACATCCGACAACCCCGCTCCCAGTGCTTTGCGGCGGGATGAGCTTGCTCACAGATCGTCTGCGTCTCCTGGACCGTCTGGGGTGTCGGGGGAACACGTGAGTTACAGTCGTCGCTTGTCTCCATCTGTGGCTCTGATCCCAAGGTCTATCCATCAGAAGCCAAACATCTACTATGGTACATGTTGCGATTTCTCGGGAAAAGATTATACAACAAACTGGCCGATTTGGGAGGACCCCCCTCCCTACTCAAACACAGGTTCATCAGGTATATTCAGGGCAGAGGTCATGCGCACTATCGAATATGTTCTCGACCAGCTGGATCCTACACTGCGCAAATTGAGTCTTCAAATCCACGGTTAAATTTTTCGACTCCCTAATCACCTTCGATACTGACATTCTATGTTGTAGATAATCCTGAAATCATGTTTCAGGAAAAGTTCGTACTGCATGTACCTTTACTAAAATCTCGCTTCTTACACTCATCGTATTAGATTCGCCCATGACACCTTGTCACAGTTCATGGAAAGCCATGGCTTCTCAGTGACTAGACACTACTTAGGGATGGATACAGCCTGGCGTGCGGAGTTTGCTCATGGTAAGGGGGGGAGGGTCTTAGGAGTCAATTCAGAAATGGACGCATTGCCTATGATCGGACATGCCTGTGGACACAACCTCATTGCCATCAGCGGAGTGGGAGTGGCTATCGCTGTTAAGGCAGCCCTGGAAACTCACAACGTTCCCGGAAAAGTAGTTCTTTTAGGAACTCCTGGTACGTTTCCTATGGACATAAGTGTTACATCTTACTTATTACCCCCACCCGAAGCCGAGGAAGGCGGAGGGGGCAAAGTGATACTCCTGGAGCGTGGCGGCTATACGGATATGGATGTTTGCGTTATGTCAGTACATATATATTTTGCCAAGTTCAAGGTGCTGAACAACGCTGGTGTCATGTCATAGGTGTCATCCCGCCCCTGGAATTGCCCATTCAGCTGGTATATCGACTTCTCTGGCCATGCAGGCTATGGAAGTGGAGTTTTTTGGCCAGTCGTAAGTTTCAAAAACGTGAAATATGATGAAAAGCTCATGTTAGTCTAGTGCACATGCTGCAGCTGCTCCATGGGAAGGGACAAACGCTTTAGATGCGGCATTTCTCGCCTACTCTAGCATCGCAGTTCTACGACAGCAGATCAAACCAGACCACCGTGTACATGGTGTAATAAAGGGCCATAACGGTGCTGCGAATGGCAAGTCTTCGATTTTCTCTTCAGTCATAGCGGACATGTCAAATTAAACTCGACGGTGTAATTACTGACAGTGATACCTGACTACGCCAAGATGCGGTGGTACGTCCGCGCTCCCACCCGGGAGCAATTATTTTCTTTGCGTGATCGAGTACAGGCTTGCTTTAAGTGAGCTCCTCATGATTATGTTTGCGCATCACTGGCAACTTATCCTTCACCCTGGTTAATAGGGCCGCCGCAATGGCCACATCGTGCCGAGCGAACATTGAATTTGGCCTACCCTATCTTGAATTGCGCCAGAATAGTGTTCTAGGTAAGTGTGTTCATATGAGTAAATACTTTGATCGTTCTAATGGCATCGCATAGGGGCTGAGTTTATTCGTACTGCAAACAATCACTGTGGTATCGTTTCCGAAGTTTGGGAATTTGCTTCGGCAGCGTCTACAGATTTTGTTAGTGTATACCTACATTATCTGTACAATGTTATACTGATCGATGTGGGGGTTTTCCACCTTAGGGAAACGTTACTTATGGTAAGTGTATCGCCTCGCATCGGTATGTTTTCTGCCGTATGGAGACCTGATAATATGTTATTCCAGAGCTTCCTTCGATCCATCCAATCTTTGGTGAGCCATACTTGGCGAATTTTCTCTTTTAGTGTTAACCTTTTTTAATCCTTCTCCGCGCACGTAGCAATTCCTACCCAGCCCCATGGAGGCAACCATTCTCCGGCTTTTGCAGAATCTGCGCGAAGCACGGAGGCACACAAAGCATGTATGGCCATTTCAAAAGGGTTGGCGCTCACAGGATTCCGTGTGATCAATGATGATGATTTTTTCAGAAAGGTAAGTTATTATCGGAGCTCAGGAACGCATATATGGTTGATCGCGATAACCCCTTGGTAGGTAAGGGATGCCTTTGAACTATCGAAGACGGACAAAACGCATTAGAATAGCCTGTACCTAACTTTGATGTCAATGTATAGATAGTACTGCGTTCATTCACCACAGATCTTGTATCAATCACTTTCTGGCCTTGTTACGGCTGGTTATGCTATACAGCTGTAACACTTGCACAATAAATCATACATAAAATGTAATTCTGGAAAACGCATTGGTGGGGCTTAAAATTTCAGTCACTGAACAGTAAAGCCCACGTATCAATAACTCGTAATCTATTATCCAATGCAGAATCCTACTGCTATACGTATGCAATGTGTGAAATAGGCGTGTGACCATACTCATGGACCAGAGGGTTCAGCAGGTCTTGTGGCCTTCTCAGCATGCTCCACATCCTTGGGAGATGTCTTGCCGTCCTTCCTCGTTTTAGCAGCAGCTGTACGTAACTGCTGGTGCTTGGATTTACCCGCAGCAGCTTCTGCTACCATCCTACGGCTCATTGCGTTGAATACCACGCGGAATTTGAAAACCTAGAAAAGGATACTTACCTCTCTAGTTCGCGACGTTCTTCATCAGACTCATCAGGAACTGTCGATTTGAAGATTGCACCCGTGATAAGTAAACCCTATTAAAATATATAGCTTAGAGGGTGCATGGAAAAAGGACACATAAAACGGACCTTAGCTCGGTTATATAGCACTAAATCAGACGCCTTCTTGTCTTTCAGAACGTTATCGACGACCTAGTCTCGACCAGTCCAACACCATGTTTGTTGAAAAATAATAAATGGACGCACCTCACGCAGGACCTGAACAACCTCAAACCGGGTTCCTCTCCAAGACGCTAGCATAATCTTTACATGCATAAACAAGGATACGGAGCCTAACCAAAAGTTCAACTCACTTTGCCAGTAACATCTTGCTCCAGTGCCCTCATTTCGTCCTCCCCCAACTCACCTTTGGCTTGAAGTTTCTCCATTTCTTGCATTAAGGATTGCACGCTTAGACTGAGATGAATCGAACATGAGGTAAGATTAGCATGTGCTTGAAAGTTCCACTTACGCGCTTCCAATGACTCCCCAAGCATCTTTGGCAACTGAACCCTTCTCTTTCAGCCGTGACCAAAAGCCAGCACTGTCCGCAAAGAAATTGCCTTAGCATTTATAAAGATAAGATATGGAAAAGAAAACCAACAGGCCAAGGAACTTTTTCGATTTGAGAAATGATGAAGCTTTCATCATATAAACAGTACCTATGGTATGTAGAAGCTGGTGCACAACCTATTAGTCGGGAAGGTATAGCAGTAGCTAGTTGTCAGCACTCACCTCAACACCAAAACTTTCCAGCTTCAAGTCGTCAGCCTCTCTTTTCATTTTCGCCTGGAATGCCAATGTCTCTGGATCATCCTTTTCTCCTGGATGCTTAGCTTCTACAAATGGTCTTAGTCGATCGAGGAGTTTAACGGTAAGAGTGCTGATCCGTTCTTCCATTGCCCGACGTCTCTCTTTTTCTAGATCTTCAAGCTGCTTTCTCTGTTCAGGCGTCAATTTATGCTTTTTCTTTGGTGGTGACTGTTCTTTGGAAGGTGACATGCTCGCAGCTTCCTTGCCGCTGGCGGTGCTCGGAGAGGGTGATGACAACTGAGATGTTCGTTTCGAAGCCTCATCAACAGGAGTGAGGGCGGGTGGTGTGGTGTTCAGCTGAGAGGGGGGGCGAGCGGAGGTGGAGTGGTCGGGTGTATGTGGCAACTGTGGGACTGGTGTTTCATGGGTGACCATGGGCGACGAAGGACCCGCTGAAGGCGAACCACCATTAAGTTCTCTTTCTATATCTGCTTTCTCTTCCTCGCTCATCATTGTCGTGGCGACTGAAGTCATCTCTTTCATAAGAGAAATTTCACCAATCTGTTGCGTTGTGTGCATTGAGTTAGGTTAGAGTGGGTCAAACAGTTTAACAAAGCGCGCAGAGTCTAGGGACGTGAACACACTCACATATTCCATGAATCTTTCACCACCGAAAACGTTGGCAAAGAATCCTGCTGCATCCTCCATATTGACATTGCCTTCTTTGTCCGCCTAAGAGCCGTCCAGCGCGTCGTCGTCAAGGCACAAGCAAACGTAACAGAATAGAGCACACACGCACCATAGATCTACCATTTTTGTCATAGACAGCCCTCAAATTCTTGAAGCAGGAAAATTAGCCAGGGTGGCGGTAGGTGGTGATGATGTGCTTACGGGGTCTGACAAGACTTGGTATGCTTTACTACGTTGTATGGTCAAACCAAGCCATATAGCAGTATCAATGCAGTGAAACAACCTACCTTATTTCTTTAAACTTCTCTTCAGCATCGGGCGACGGATTCTTATCGGGATGGTACTGATTGTAAATGCAACGTGAGTAGTGCCGGCTTGCAAAGTATAAGGAACAGTACCTTCATGGCTTGCTTCCTGTACGCCTTCTTGAGATCTGTGTCACTAACGTCCACGGAAACGTTCAACTAATGTATAATCCCAGACGGCAAGTAAGGACTGCGTTCTCGATGAAAGATGAGCTACACACCAAGTCATAGTACTCAGTCTCCACAGGAGCCATTATGCTGTATGGAGTGGGCTGAAATGTGTAAATGTGTTATGTAGAAGTGCAAAAAGAGAAGTAAGAAAAAAAAGAGGTGTAGTCCAGTCACGGCACAGCTGAACAACTGAAAGATGATCAAGAAGCTGGTTTGTCTTAGCCGGCGCGAAGATGGGTCATATTTGTAAGCGGCTGCGGTCCCAGCGTATCTATCCGGCCACATTACTGAACAGGAATCTCGTCAAAACACACTTGTCACATAGCTATCTCACTATCTGATAATGCTAATGGCTTTAGGGCATGGTCAAGGGGCACGTCAACGGACAATACTCTTCCAATAAATGGTAAAAAAACATTCGGGCTATGTAGAAAAATGGGCTACAGTGTTAACATACGAAATAATGTGAATACGATCTTCTAAGACTCGCGCATTTTCCCCCAGTAAGAAAGTGACCTTGTCCAAGTGTCGCTAATGCAGTGAAAATAAAAATAAGGGGTCATCCAGAATAGTAATATACGACGTCTAGTCGTGTGTATAAATAAACAATTCATGCGTGAGGCAGTGATGCATCAAGGTCGAGCACGCTCGTCGAGAACCGCACTGCCTTCTTCGGCGTCAGTGGTCGAACCCCCTCGCTCACAGAAGACGCCGGGGAGGCGACGGAAGACGAGGATCGTAGGCTGGGAAGAAATCTGGACATGCGAACCCTGAATGAGAGCACTGAACGTGCCGACTCCGGAGTCGCAGGACCAATTGAAGCTACCGTGGAGGTCGAGAGGGAGGCAGCAGGGAGGCCCGGCGAAGTAGCTGGTGCGTGAAGGGATACGTCAGTACCGACTTTTTTCAGCGAGGATCGTGGAGGTGGTGGGGGAAGACTTCGCCGTGGAGACGGTGGGCATGATGAATCATAACGTCTACTCGTAGGTACATGGGGGATGTAATTCGTGGATTTATGGTGGTTGGTGGGTAAACTCGGAACTGAGTACCGTTGATGCGGCCCCGCAGATTGTCTGAGGTGAGGCGTGCGAGATATGTGCAACCCCATAGCTATTTGCTCAATGGTAGGACGGGTAGCATATACATCGGTGTGATGCGAGCGAGATTGGTAGTAGGGGTTACGCTCTTCAGGGGTAGAATACATGCCGCTACGCTAATGACCATCCAGACATAAATTAAAACAGTTAGTATCGAAAAAAGGTTGATGGAAACTCACTGAAACATCTCCTTGTCGTTTCCTTGGGGAGTTAGAGGAACTGAATGACTTGCGCATGGAAGACAGAATTCTCGATGCGGGTCCTGGTGTTCTCGGAGAGGTTTGGTTTGGAGGGTTGGATGAGGAGGAGGATGGTAAAGGGGGTGCTGTGTTCATGGCTTGGAATGTGGAGTGGAGTGAAGATGGGTTGCGTCTCAGACTTGTAGGTGTTCGGTCGGTATCGCGTGCTGCGAGATAGAAGCAAGTAAATGTCAAAAGGCGTTGATGTTGTACAGTTTTGTTATCGCCGGTTGACATCCACGGTGAACTGGTAGACGCCAGCGCTGGGCAGCACGATGAGGACGGTAATCGTAAAGGGCAGGCCCAAACGTGGAATCCAGCGTGGATGACGAGCAAACCCCACAAAATCGTTTTTGGGAAAATAACCCAAACATGGGTCAGCCGGCAAATCCCGCAAGTACGTGGCTGTGCATCGTGGTACTCTCCGTGACATACTTGTCTCGTCTGACTTTGACTGGTAGTAGTACTTTGTACCGTTGCTCGACTAACGATCATTTAACACGTTTGACAAGCATTGTGGACATGCATCATTGGCACATTATGAAACGCCTGAGTCAAACTACACTACATCATGTTTTCATAGCCTGGCTTTACGCAGAGACGTGTGCAGCTCATATATATCATCTGCCGCCCGAGCAATCTCCTTGAGAAACTCCGCGTTCGGCGACTCCTTCCTAGATGTCAGGGTAAACTGCAAACGGTCTAAGATATTCATTACTTAGTGACAAATAGGATTTTTGCGACGATAATTAATCACTCACCATCGTATCCAGTCATGTACGCCACTCCAAAACCATCAGGGACAACCTGTCACAGTAACCATCAGCACTGCTCAGTGAATGCAATGGATGTGTGTTACCTCGCCCCACCCATATACCGGGAAGTGCTTTGAGAAGATGGCAGAAGTACTGAGTACCCAGTTACTTGACCTTGCAACTAGAGGGTCAGTGAAAACGGACGGGAGTGGCTCGCCATCCCGTAACACTTTCTTGAGACCTTCGTAATGACTATAAGGTACAGAAGTTAAGTTCATCGCGTCAAGAACGGACCTGTCAAATGTCTGTCGACTCCTTCTGCATTTCCAGCTCCTTTCGCCAATTGAATGTGCTTCTTGGTCGCCTCGTCAAATAGCTTCTTCTTCTCTTGAATATCGACAGCTGCGTCGTCCATGCTCTTTTCCCACGCATCCGACTGAGAAGTGACGACCCTGATTGCCTCCGTGCGTCCTTTGTAGAACTTGCGCGTTGTCGCTGCTTCGTAAGTTCCGCCGGACCTACGATCACCAACCAGGCGACGATAAGCAAGCTGCACGATCATTTGCGTCCATGAGTCGGGAGAAACGCCGAATTGTTTGATCGCCGCTTTACCATATTTCGTGAGGTGGTATGACAGGACTTGGGATTCGATGAGTTCTCGAGCGGCTACGTCTGCTTCAGATACGGCCTTTTCGGTAGCAGGAGAGATGACCCAGTCTAGGGGTATGGGAGGAGCCAAAGAGCTGGTAGAAGGTGTACCTAGGTCAGATGATGGATTGTGTAGATAGTCTAACACGTCATCACATAATCTGACTGTGGGGGTGCCATCCATAACTGAGTGTTCACCCATTATGCCTGCTTCCGCATTATCGAAGACGATGAATTGGACAGGTTTATCGACCCAACGATTCCGTAAGCCAACCGGGATGCCGTTTTGGAGAGCGCCATGCCACAGCGAGCGGCTAAAATCTACGGGACCAGAAGGTTGATCACCATCTAAACTGATGATGAAAGCAGATGAATGGATTGCGGTGGTAATGGATTCGTTTTGAGGATTAGAGACCAGCTCGGCATAATCCTGCATTACAAGCATTGAGATTTCTCCACTTTTAACTCGAAGTTTTGCGTGCAAACCTTGGCCCAGATATCTCGATTAGAAGCAGTTAGAATACCAATTCCAGGGTATTCGTGAGCGGTGTTGTCATAGATATGTTGAATCTGTCTATGACCTTGACTGTGAATATTGACCGGATGATGTTACCAGAAAATATACCTCTCTAATTCATCAACGCTTAACAAGCGTCCGTCTACGATGGTATCTAATTTCCAAAAACGATTCTTCCGTATAACGATGATATGGCCTATACTACCGTGGGTGCCGTCAGCGTAAGAAATGCTCCAATCTAAACCCTGAGGCCCAGGGACTCGACAGCAATCAAACATCCACCTTGTGAGCAAACAATGAGCGGACGAAAAGCATCATTGCGTAGGCATTTACCGGAATGTATCCATGCAAAGTGGGCCTTCCTTTGTAGCATCTGGCTTTATCGATCCTCCTTGAACCTGCTGCCTAAATATCATGGCCCCACGAGCCAAAGCAGCTGCACGGGCGGCGGGTGTTTGTTTCAGATGTGATGGATGGGGATCAAATCCATCTGTAACGAAGTAAAGGTAAAGTTGAGTATAATGTTATCAAGTCTAATTTGAAGAGACTTCACAGTAGTAAGAGACATTTACCACCACCTATGCAGAATTTAGTACTCTAACGAGTTAGCTCTCTTTTGTGCGCTCACCGAGTCTCTGTATGCGAGATAGCCCATGTCATCCCACCAGTTCTCTAGCCAGTGCTCCGAGCCCTGAGCGTGGTTGAGTAACCTCTCCTGTAGTTCTTTGCCTTTTCCCTGAGCAAAAGCGTGTATCTTCTCCTCCGCAGCAGCATATTCGTGTTGATTCAAGGCAAGTGGGCGTATCGATTCCTTGAGGCGTTCTATAGTTGCGTCGAGATGAGGTACAGGTAGCCTGGGCAAGTTCTTCTGCGCGGCAAAGGTGATTGTGCCCGAGGGAGGCTCTGGAGCAGCGGCTTTCCAGTTCTGTGGTCTTGTTGAGAGAACAGCCATTGATCGAGGGGAGCAGGATGACCAGTTGAAGGCAAGAGGTGGTCTCCGATATAGGCGAGAGAGCATGTTGTGTGCAAAGAAAGACGAGAGTGCCGATCGCAACTTTCCTCGTTTAGCAGAATCATATGCATATGGGCCGGACTGCGGCCGTAACAGCCGGCTCGGCATGATTACGTGATACCGGGACGCCGATGGTCATGAAGACGGGTGTCATCGATGTGCATGATCTTTGTCGACGTGTCTCAGCACGACTGCTGGCATCACTGCTAGAACACGCGATGGTGTATCCGACGTTGGAATCTGAGTCTATGCTACTGTTTCTCGATAATGCGCTTCAAAATGTCGCCTGTGTCTGACAAATTTGAGAGGGTGTAGAGCCATATTCGTCGTGGATGGAGTGGGTGGATGGATGGGTGCAATCGATGGAATGACGATGCGAACAAAAGCCGAATTTACAATAATTTTTGTAGATAGAATGAGACACTGGACAGAGATTATCTCGAACGAGCTGTGAGCTACATCGACAGGCGCACGACACGAACGCCTACTGTGACGTGAAAGAGCATTGAGTTGCAGAGGACGTCGAGGGCAACGACGACGGCAAGGAAGAGCAGGCGTGACAGGAGGGAGAAACGGCGAACGCGGGTGTGACCACGCTGTAGCTGAGCGTCTCTTTCGGTCGTCCGTCTTTCTTCGCGGCTTTTCCAGTGTCCCCAATCTCTCTTTTATTTCCTCAGTGTTTGCCTTGTCTCATGGACAGGCCACTGGGCCCTCGCCAACCCGACAAACGCAATGAGGCGTACGAAACCATCTTTGGTCGTCCCAGCGCTACCCATCACCAGCTAAATTCTCATCCAAATTATGCACAATCCGTGCATGCAGTTCCTTACCACCAGCCCCAGAATGGTGCTCACTATCCTGTACAATATCCCCAGTACAACGCTCCTTTTGACAGGCGTACATCCCATCCTTCCTCGTATGCGTCCCCCGTACAAAATATTGCCTATTCGCAGCACCAATCGCCCTACAGGCAGTCCTACTATCCTCCCCCCTCCCAGCCCCCCTTTCCTCTCCATCCACACCCTTCCCAGCAACGTCCAAACACGCTTGCTCCTCCAACAACACATGGCCGTGCTCGCTCTGTCGTCACTTCCCCGCATACAGCAGGCATCATTGCTCCCAAACCCGAAGAACCCCCGGATGCAAGCCTCGAAGCCCTGACACGAGCTGGCCTCACACCGGCTCAGGCTTATCAAGCTCAGGTTTACCTCAACGCTCCTCCCGGCCAGCAGGCGGAGTGGGCCAGGCCTCCGCAGATCCCACAACCCATCGCCCAGAACGGAGGACCGTCGAGAACATCAGTCGAAATTCCAACGCTTGGTGTCCATCTTGAGCCCGATAACGGCCGATTAAACATCGATTTCAGCTCTGCCAGTAGCGATCATGGTACCGATGAGAGTCTCAGTGAGCTCCCTTGGGCTCGGACGTCTGACCTTACACGTGGGTTTTTCATGTCCTATATCCGGTGAATGCCTGCACGACCGTGCTAATTTTGATCTTCTCTTCCCGCAACATGCAAATAGCGATGGCTCCCGCCCAACAGTATTCACAACAGCATCGACATCCAAGCCCTCTCTCTGTTTCTTCTGACCAGAGTTACGGCCTGGCTTCCTTATCGTCTCGCCCTTATCCACTCCAGCTTGATACTGGCGTCATGTCCACGCGAACTTCCCTAATGAGCACATCTCCTTCATCTACCCTAGCTGAACAGCCATTGGCCTCCTCCACTCGCCGCTCATCCGAGTCCTCGAGGACAATGCCTGCTGGCATCGCATACCGCCGGGAACGAGCCACCGGCGACCGTTCCATGTCCATGTCAGCCGCCTCTTCCTCTATGCGAACAATACTTGACACTCGCTCTCGTCCTCCCATACCCTCAATGGGTGAGGGAAGAAACTCACCCACGTCCGTTCGTGTCGTAGTCACACGCAAAACACCCATCGTCTATCCTGCTCTGCTCTCCCGCGTTGCTGAAGTCTTCCGCGAACGCATAAACATAGCTGATAGAGTCAAAGATGGCCTCACATACAAAGACGCTTTTGATGGTCGCGAGGCTGTTGATAAGATAGCATATATCATCAAAACCACGGACCGTAACCTCGCTTTACTCCTCGGTCGTGCTTTGGATGCCCAAAAGTTCTTCCACGATGTCACCTACGATCACCGATTGAGGGACAGTGCAGGCGAGTTGTATCAATTCCGCACCAAGCTTAGCCCGTTTGTCAGTGGGGAGCTGGCCGCGCTGGAACAGCAAGCAGGGGAGATCGAGAGAGATGATGCAGAACCCAAGTCGCCTAGTCGCCCTGGTTTAAAGCAGGATGACTCCATAGGAGCATCCTTGCTCTCCGAGGGCGGCCTAGGTCAGTCAGGCAATGGTTCCAATGACTCGCATACGGATGTACAATATAAAGACGCATCATCGCCATCTACTCCTGCACAAACACGACAGCGACAGGGCTCAGAATCTCTCGACGAGATTCCCTTGCCCTCTGGCGTTTTCACACTCTTGACCGACTGCTACTCTCCGACCTGTACCAGAGATCAGCTATGCTACAGTATAGCTTGTCCACGAAGGCTGGAGCAGCAGGCTCGTCTCAACATGAAGCCTCAACCTGGACTAAAGAAACAGATAAGCCGAGAGAGTCTGGGTGACTTCGTTGTAAGTATTGTAAAAAGTCTCGATTTTCACCAAAGTGACCTCGATTTATGTCTTAGGAACCGGGTACACTCTGGATTCACTCGGTGCCCCAAGAAGTTGTGAACAGTGTGTCAGACATTGAGAAGAGGCGTCAGGAGGCAATCAACGAAGTCATCTACACCGAACGTGACTTTGTACGTGACATGGAGTATCTTCGTGATGTACGTCTTTCTATGCAGCAAATTGTCGCATAACCCACTAAACGGAATGTTTAGGCATGGGTCAATGGCTTAAAAGACAACGATATCATTTCACAAGATAGGCGCACAGACTTTTTACAACAAGTTTTTTGGAACGTGCATGAGATCATCGCTGTCAACACACGCCTTCGTGATGCTCTTAATAAACGACAAAAATCTTATGCTGTCGTCGAACGCATAGGAGATATTCTGTTGGATGCGGTGCCACACTTTGCACCCTTTGTGTCTTATGGTGCCCACCAGCTGTACGGAAAGTATGAATTCGAGAAAGAGAAAAGTTCAAATCCTGCTTTTGCGCAGTTTGTCGAGGTATGGTGCAGTGCAAATACTGATTTATTCATGTTAACCCTAACATTGGTATGTTCCCAGACTACTGAAAGGCTGCCCGAGTCCCGTAAACTCGAGCTTAATGGTTACTTGACCAAGCCCACTACACGTCTTGCTCGATATCCTCTATTGCTGGAGGCAGTACTCAAGCACACGCCTGATGACAATCCTGATAAACAGGTGCTTCCACAAGTCGTGGCCATAGTTCGGGAATTCCTCGGCAAGGTCAATGTTGAGACCGGGAAGACCGAAAATCGCTTCAATCTTTTACAACTAGACCAGCAATTGATCTACAGACAAGGAGAGCAAGTGGTAAGTTTATCAGTCAATAGCGCCAATATTCAGTGTTTATGTTTATGTAGGATCTACGTTTGCAAGAAGAAGGAAGGGAGTTGGTCTATAAAGGTGCACTCAACAAGCGTGGTGGTGGCCAAGGTGACAGTGGAGACCTGCTAGTATATTTGTTTGATCATGCCCTGCTGATGGTCAAACAAAAAAGCAAGCACGAGCAGTATAAAGTATATCGACGTGTAAGTTTTGCACTGTTTTCTGTTTTCCGCTGTCGTTCTGACGCATGTTCAGCCCATACCTCTTGAACTTCTTTTTATCTCCGTTCCCGAGGACACTGCCAATGCTGGGAAACCGGTAGGGAACAAGCAGGGGAAGACCTTGACGAAGAAATCATCGTTTAGTAAGGGTGCCCCACATGCTCCTGTTATCCCTATCAAGATCGACGGTAAAGGCGGATTCGCCATCACTTTCGTTCATCTTGGTCGAAAATACTACCATCTAACTCTGTGGGCGAGTACGTTTGTCAGTCATCGCAAGTGGGTAGAAAACATCACCAAACAGCAAGAGATCATGCGCGAAAGAAGCGCGGTCTTTGACACCATCATTTTGTGCGAAGGCTTTTTCATTGGATCAAACAAAGTAAATTGCGCAGCGCCGTTCGGTGAGTCGACCATTGGCTGGGTGTTCTGGGTTGATCTAACTAGCTTACAGCCAGTGGAAGACGCATCGTTTTCGGTACCGATGATGGCGTGTATCTGTCAGATCTTCGAGCACCAAACAGAGATCCATTCAAGGTGTTAGCCTTACTGGACGTCTCACAGGTTGATGTTTTGGAAGAATTCCAGCTTTTGATTGTCCTGTCAGGTGAGAGTTTAGCTTGAGTTAGTACAGACTCAACGGTCCTGATGGTGTCGGTAAAGAACGTCAAGTGGTCACTTTCCCACTTGATGCTTTGGATCCTATGGACCCAATGGCAGGTTTAAAGCGAGCAAAAAGGATATCGTCTCATACATCCTTTTTCAAAGCTGGTATCTGCTTGGGCAAAGTATTGGTTTGCATAGTCAAGTCAAGCCCTTTGTCTAGTACAATCAAGACGCTGGAGCCTATCGATCAAAACGTTCGTGGGAGGAGCAAGCCTACGTTCCGCAAATTGTTGCAGGGTGGCAATGATACTCTAAAGCTCTTCAGGGTGTGTACAACTACTTGTTTGAAGATGTTCATGTCTTTATATTTCTTTTTCTTTCAGGAGTTCTACATTCCAGTGGAGTCGAGCTCGATACACTTCCTCAAGACTAAACTCTGTGTAGGATGTTCCAAGGGATTTGAGATTGTCGACCTGGAGAGCCTCGATACGCAGGGTTTATTGGATCCGGCGGACTCTACCCTCGACTTTGTGAGAAAGAAAGAAAATCTGAAGCCCATGGCTATTTATCGCATCGACAACGAGTTCTTGTTGTGTTATGATGGTGAGCCAATATCCTGTTGAGATCACGTCAGATACTAAAGACAAGTCAGAATTTGCGTTTTATGTCAATAAAAATGGGTGGCGTTCGCGGCAGGGATTTATGGTGCATTGGGAGGGTTCACCCACTGGCTTCGGTGAGTCAACTTTGGTCTTCACGAGTCTTTACTGCGGGACTGAGTGCTGTCAATAGCTCTTCGTTATCCTTATGTTTTGGCATTTGAGCCAAACTTTGTCGAGATTCGTCATGTCGAAAGTGGACATATGTCCCAAGTCATTCAAGGCAATAACCTTCGCCTGTTGTTTGCCGATACTCCACCTTCTAATGCGAATTCGTCTAATGCTGCTCATTATAATCCACAATATGGAGGAGCACCATACAATCCATACAACTCTTCGCCTACACCCCCTCCGTCGTACCATGGTCGACAGTCACTTCCTGGGTATGGGGCGCCTCAGCAGGCACCTTTCCTTCACCCTCGCTACGTACCGCCGTCTGGCCGGGATGAAATATTGATGGTGTCCGACGACCGGATTCTGACGATTCGATTTGCTGCTGGGCACAATGGTCAAGTAATGTCGGATACTGTGTCACTTGCATCTTCAAGATGACCTGAGTAATTAGCTGTCTGTGGTGTTCTTTAACTTGTGTGACCTGCATATATTGTTCTTGTTGATACTCGATGGGGGTGTTTATATGAATATCATCTTTCTGATTTGTCTTTCTTTCGGATGTTCTATAGCACTCTCCTGTCATAGCTTATATATCTTACCTGCACTGTATTCAAGGCCAACTTATTCAAGTATATTCGATGTATAGTCTGATAGTCTGAGCAGGATGTGGTATTGCTGTACTAGTACTTGTAGTGTGGTTGTATTAGTGTGCAGTGGAGCAAAATTATCGTAGCGAAAGCAAAGATGGAGCAGACCGAGTCTAGAATGAGTGATTGTACATAAGAGGGATGCTTTATCGTGATTCCTGTGAAAAGGTCACCAATTTTTATACATGTTGGTATGCGATTGCCGGGAGGGCGAGTCGGCTGAGTGCCAAGTCTCTCTTAGCCTTCCGTAAAAGGAAAGTGAGGTAGTTCGTTGCTGTCGTCGCTTCATATTTCCATGCCGGTTTTTATCTGTTTGCTCTTGGTTTTCTTCCATATCCACCTATTCATTTATTTCTCATACAGTTCTGCATTAATCCACATCCCCGTCGCTCTTTTTACTTACCCACCACTATGCAGCTTCAAGCTCTCGTCGCTCTTTTAACGCTCATTGGGTCTTCGAATGCACACCAAGTCCACAACGCCCAACATGCTCGCTTGGCAAAGAGGGCTACAGTCAACACTGTAACTACCACTGTAGCTACCACCTCACACTCATCTTCCGCCGCCGCGACATCTTCTGCCTCCTCCCTATTGTCGATGGCTGCGACAACATCTGCCAGCGCGTCCTTGCCGTCGGTTTCGTCCATGGTTGGCACAGGTATCCCACCGTTGAGCCAGCTTACATCCGGAATGCCCTCGCCATCAACGTTGCCTCCAACTGCCACCTACTCTGGTGGTGCTAGTCCGCCTGTTTCCGGCGTCCCTCCTCTTCCTTCACCAACGTGTGAGCACGTGTTCTCTACAAAGGTCATTACTAGGCGGCTAACTTGGTAAACCATAGTTGTTTATAAAAATGGCGACTGGCCTACCCAGGATCAAGTTCCTCCAACAAGTACTGAGTGCAACTCCTGGGTCATTCGTGAACGGTATTAATCACGTGTGTTTAGATTCTTCAGAGGTTCAACAATGGATGAAGGAATTGGAAGCCTTCAACATCCCTAGCTTCGCTCCCACTGTAGACGGTTCCTGTGGGACTGATCCCGATGCTTTAGCTCATGCTGCTGACCGTGGCTGGTGGACCTGTGGAGGTTATACGAGGCCAACCGATATCACCGCTTGTCCTGATAAGTTGACGTGGGGTGTCAGGTAATACGCTGATCGGGCTTCACTATATCATTTTACTAACGATGTCCAAATAGTTTCGACGATGGTCCCGGTCCTTATAGTACGTGATGTTTCTTCCAATAAGCCAAGTTCAGGATAATGAACTGCTTTTCTACAGCCCAGTCTGTATTGTTGTGTAACTTCTAGCCTTTTCTCTGACATCATCTTACAGACAGCTACTCGAGTTCTTGTTTCAAAAGAACATTAGCTCTACTTTCTTCGTCATTGGATCTCGTATCATTGAACGTCCTGCGGTCTTGGTTGAAGAGTACATGGGTGGCCATGAAATCAGCGTGCATACTTGGTCTCATCGCGTATGTCTGATATAGCTTATTTTTCATTCATGGACATGGCCAACTAATTCGATGTTTTTATTTTATCATACCAGCCCCTAACTTCTCTCACTAATGAGCAAATCGTTGCCGAGCTGGGATGGACCCGTAAAGCTATCAAAGCCGTTATTGGCGTGACTCCAACTACCATGCGCCCGCCATTTGGGGATATTGGTTAGTTTTTCTTCTGTTAATTACCCATCGCCAAAAAAACTCATTTTAAACAGACGACCGTGTTCGGGCCATCTCACTGGCCATGGGTTTAGTTCCCGTGATCTGGACTCGTACTCCTTCCGGTTCACAATTTGATACCAATGGTCAATCTTCTGCTTATTGAATGAGGAGGTGGTTTAACTGACATTAGTTATATGTAGATTGGAAGGTACCAGGAGGGGTGGTCACCGGGCCTGAGTCATTCTCAACTTTCCAGTCCATCCTTGGCAATGCCACGATCATTGACACTGGGTAAGCGTTCATAAAAAGATATCATAGATTGAATTCGCTCAACTCTACATGTATAGATTTGTTGTCTTACAGCACGATCTCTATGCCAGCACTGTCGACCTTGCCGTAGGATATACTTTACCTCTCGCGATGAGCTTCAACCCGCATCTCACTGTTAGTACCATTACCATGTGTAGATGTATGCAGATACTGACTATGCTGTTATAGCTGGAGCCTATTGGCCAATGCAACAAAATCCCTGAGAGCAACCTTTATCGCGAGAGCAACACGAATACGACATTCCCCTATAAAAACGCCACCAGTGGAGACCCTTCGATCCCAGTCTCGCCTTCCCAGGACACTTCTGGTACAAATTCGACAAACGCTGCTTCGGATGCCTTGAACCCTATTTACAATATAGCTGCTGCTGCGGGGATTGTCATGTCTACTATTCTTCTTACTTGACTTCCTAATATCATTACTGACGGACAATTAAGATCTGGACCAACGTAGATACATCTGTTGAATTTATCTGGTTTTAGAGGATGTCTTCATGAGCATTAGAGCATCGCGTGATATTTCAAGGCTACAGCCGTCATCGATGTCTAGGCTTATGACAATGACGTCCTTATTTCCTGTTCACGTACGAATGGTGGTGTTCCACCTATACTTATTTGTAAAAAAAATGCAAATGGATATGAAGCTTACATCAAAAGTTCAGTTTACCAAAAGAACTCAATAAAAAGAAGGTATATAATAAAAGAATGTAAGAATACAACTCATTTGAATCGCGTCAAGATATTACGAAGGGGCGTTGTCATCCTCTTCTTCTGAACACCCGCCTGCTGGACCGCACGACCGAGAGTACCTTCGTTCAAAACAGACCATCGAGCTGGACGAGGCGGAACAGATGCACTTCTCGGCTCATTCTCCTTCTCGACAACGTCGATGACAGAGTGACGGCCAAAAGACGTAGATTTGCAAGGTCGCAGAACCTTTTGTTGCGCTACATTGACTGACACAGGCTGGAGCGGTGAGATCATCGAGGCACGCTTGGAGATCGAAAGTGTTTTCAGGGAAGTCTTCTCCTTCGGAAGTAGTTTCTCCTGGTCAAACGACTTGTGTCTCGGAATGACTTTCCGCTGTAGTGTTGCACTTGGTTTAGAGGGTAGCTGCTGTTTCGGCGTCGATTTCTTCTGAAGAGATAGAGTCGGGATCGCGGGTACTTGAACAGACACTTTATTCAGAACAATGGAAGGGCTCGTTGGACTGCTTGGCGCTTCCAAGTCGGTATCGCTTTCATCTGGGGTGTGACTCTGACGGAGCGGGGAGGGCCGTTTAAGAGTAGATAAGGGTGTCATGCAGCTTGAGACAGGTACTTGTACTTTCAGATGGGAGCTTTCCTCTTCATCTGGAGTTAGAAATCGAACGCTCTTGACTTTCTTCAGAATACCTCTCACACGTTTCGGGCTTGATGGACTGACCAAGGCAGGGCGTGGCGGGAGTGGAAGAGAAGGTGGACGGTTGGGAGGTGCGCCGACGGTAGTAGGCATATTGGACAGTGGTAAAGCCGAGGAAGAACGATAGGTTTTGCGTCTGTCAGTGACTGCCATGGAGGTCGCCATAGGAGACACAAGAGTGGAAGATGACAAAGGCTCAAAGTCACGGGACGTACAAAAAGCATCTGCATTTATTTCTTCTTCCTGCGGAGACGGGGGGAAAGGTCCTATTCCGACTGCATCGTGTGTATTGATGAAGATAGATTTGCGACGGCCTGATAATGATGGAGAAGCATCCTGCGCAAAAGCCCATTCTTCTTCGTCCTCGTCTTCCTCGAGAGAAACAATCGGAACACCAGCGGAGACCGACCTATGTACAGGCTGTCCTTCCCTTTCAGGTGGAGAGGGAGACGCCTGATGGTCTGGGAAATAACACTGTGACCTTAGGTTGGACAACATAGTTTGATGATCCAATAGCGGTTCGTCGGGGGCATTCGCATACTCAAATGAGGGCGAGTAGTTTGAAGGAGAACCAAGGAAAGCGCTCGGAATACCAGGGTAATCAATTACCTTATTCTCTTCGAGGCGCAGGGGTACAATTTCCTTCCCTCTTCGAATAGCGAGAGGTGCTTCTGACAGGTCCATAGAAGCCGTGATTGTTGCAGTTGAGTTAGAGACTATCAACGAAGGAACACCTTGTTCTCGGCGGGGTACCAACGGCTTTGCACCAGTGGGTTCGCTGCAGACGTGGGGGTCAGGTTGCGATAACCCGACATTGAGGCTAGCAGTGTCCGTATCCATGTTTGCAGGGTAATGGAGGGACAAGCGAGTGTTCTTACCCACAGCTTGCATGGTGATCTCGTGTTCGAATACCAACGCTTCACGCCATGCAGAAGGTTCTGAACCACAGGGCGTACGGCAATGTTCGATGCCACCTTTGCATGTGTTATTTTCGTGGTTATTGATGCCCGTAATAGATGCTGTCTTGTCCGTATGCTTCTGAGATCGCCTTTTAAGTCCTTTCATTCTTTCTGACAAGAAGACGGATCCTTCTGGAGTCCATGTAACTTGTGTTCTTCTATCACTTGACCAAGGAATGTGACCTGGGGGATGTGTAGATACGAGGCTGCTCTGGTACGAAGCATGATACAGCGCGACTCAGGAGAAAAGATAAGAAGACTTACTATCCATGAGTCGACAAATATTTCTTCTCTCAGGACCAAGTTGAGTCGTGGAATGGTTGGTGCAGTGAGCAAGACAGTGTCTGTCTCATACTCCTCGTGTGTGCGGCTGGATGTCGATGCACATGGCGGAAGTGGGAAGAGTAACCTTGCACGATGGTCGACCATTGTGAAGAGAGGGGGCCTACGTCCAGAAGGGAAAGGAGAAATGTCAGAATCTTGACTACAACCATCATTGTCATCAGATGATTCATCAAAGGGTAGCGATACAAGAAACAGGTCTTCGTTGTCGCCAGTCTTCTCAAGGATTTCCTTGATATCAAGAGAAGAGACGGAATCGAACGATGCAAGCGGTTGCCTCTGAGTCCTATGTGGCCGAACACGAAGTGACTGGAGATGATGAGCGCGAGACATGGTTGCTATGCATAAGATGAATAGTCCAACCGCAAGATATGATGGGGAAAAGGACCACGGAGGCTCGAGTGTCAACTAGAACTTTTATATGCATAAGCATGGCCGGAGGCTGACTTACACCTGAGTGACACCTCGAAGTGAGTGCAGTAGCAGGTAGAGACTAGTAGATATAGGCAGACATGACACTTGAATATAAAAATGTGTAGCATTGAGCTCTGATTTCCGTTATTTGCTAGCACTGGACACGAATTTTCTGGAATGCCCCTTAAAAGTATATCATGGAGGAGGGCACAGTCGGCTGTACCCGAGTCCCGATGGCAGAACAGCTTGACGAAACCCCATCTCTAGCCACTCAAGATAGTTCATCTTTGCACAAGGATGATGGTTCGTTGACTTCTGGAGATATCCTGGACGACGCCCAGATAGAGGCAAGCATGCTATGACCTGTCGATGTTACTGTTGTATTTACACCGCATAAAAGGAACGTCTTCGAGATGCAGATGAACTCAAGCAAGATGGAAATGAGGCATTCAGATCGAAAGAATGGTCATCAGCTCTCGTTTACTATTCAACAGCATTGGCAAAGTTGCCAAAGAGGAAAGAAACTGGACATAAAGACCCTATCAAAAACCTAAACGAAACCGAGTCTGGCCTTAAAGAAGCGGAGGATCGAAAGGGTAAGGGCAAAGCAGACACCACTCAGAAACCCGAAACCACCCAAACGCCAGAACCCATTCAAACGCCGTTGGAAGCAGAGTGCTCGAAAGCTAGAGCGATATTGAATGCGAATATCGGAGCATGTCGCATGAAACTGGTAGGTCGAAGGTCTTCGTTTAGGTCTGTCCTAGCTACGCACATATACGTCTTTCTAGGGTGACGACAAGGCAGCCGTAGATGCTTGCACAGAAGGTTGAGTCGCAGCTAGACTGTTTGATCTTTGAATTAACTCCGGTCACTTAGCTTTGCGAGATGACCCAAAATATGTCAAAGCCCTTCAACGCCGGGCAGCTTGCAATGAAAAGATCAATAGTTGGTCGGCTCTCAGCAGTGCACAAGAAGGTCAGCCGAAGTGCGTCTCATTCGCATATTGTGATTAACCGCAGAAGAATAGATTACCAGACAATCATAGAACTTGTACCTTCGAGCTCTCCCATGAGCAATGATGCTAAGCGATCATTGTACTATATCAAACCTCGAGTGGAAGCTGCTCAAAAGAAAGAGACGGCAGAGATGATGGATAAGTTTAAAGGCCTAGGAAATACTATCCTCGGTAAGTTTTTGTTACTAATCGAGTTAGTATAATATATCATCATGATGACAGGAAAATTCGGACTGTCGACCGACAACTTCAAGTTTGAACCAAACGGAAAAGGAGGCTATAATATGAACTTCAGCCAATGATCAGTGCGTTCTCCAAGACCCATTCAACATAGCGATGGCTGAATTTTTCAATAGTGCGTACTACGTAGTAGCATTCTGTCGGAAGATCAAAGATCAAATCCTTTGATGCATTCGATTAAGTATTGTATGCTGGCATATGAATGTGAATAACCGAACAATGCATTTTCAATGGCGAGATCATGAACTAGGCAGAGAAATTCTGTCAGAGCATGACCTGTCGCCTTAATTGTACCGTTCTAGATTTTCATTGACGACTCGTCAGAAGTACGCAAGTTTAGAATGGAGCACAACATAAGATTTACCATCCCATAGCCAAATAATACCTCATACTACAACAATAGTACATGTTCATATCCACCTGATATCTACGACAATGATGAAGATCAGATCTTCAACCAAGGCAACCGTGCTCGTCGTTCACGGCTGACAGAGCTCTCTACAGGGAGATGAGAAAGTGGGATGGTAGACGCACACGCTACTACTGTAGTGTTTCCTCGCGATCGACTGAAGAATGCCTTTAAAGAAGCGCCTGCATTGCTCCGGCCTGGAGGAGCTGACAACGGTGGTCTAGTCCCAGCAGATCGTCGACTGGCGCAGCCACTGCTCTCAGACCCAGCATTAAATGAACCATTTGACGACGTAAAAGAGTGGTCAGTAGACGGATCACTCAACGAAATCAAGCTTGGGTTCCGGTGGTCCATAGTGTAATGTTTGGGTGGACTATGGTATCCGGATGTAGGGCTAACGAAGGGAGATTTAGATGATCCGATCAGAAAGTCTGGGGTTCGCTGAAAGCAGGGACGGTATTAGACCAAATAGCAAGACTGAGAAGAGCACGCACGTATAGTTGAGGACTGTAAACGCATCCCATGGTTTCTTGGTGGGAAACGAGTCGGCCTGTGATGCATTTCGCTATATTCGTTTTTGTAGTAGGGGGCTACAAAATAGCAACTCAATGATTGTAGGAATGAATGAAATTGAATAAACAGATGACTAACAATTTCTACTACGGCTCCTTTACTCTTGTTGGGGGGAGCAGTTGCTCGCCATTTACCTTTGTCAGCCCATGTAGGCGTAGTGCTTATCCCTGGAGTCGAGGGTCGGAGCGTTGTCGACGAATCATCCCTTCCTCCCATGCCAGAAAAATACATCCTTCCCTCCGTCTGGAAGTCCCCGCATGCCCTGGCGCGAGGATAAGGTAGTCCTTTCACTACAGCCGCAATGTCCTCGAGATGGCCTAAAGTTTGGAGCATATCAAGTGGCATTCCAGGGGAACCGTCTCCCGTCAGATCTGTGCCATTTGCTACGGAAGCAAAAGTCGGTTTCCCAGCTTCATCGACGCGAGGCCATATCTGAGCCGCTACAGCATGCATGAACTTATCCTCGCCATCAACCTTCGTGGGTACTAAGCGAAAACAGCGACCTGATCGCTTGGAAAGTCCAGTGGCCATGGAAGACCCTGAAGGAGGTGGAGGGCTGAGCGGCGGAGTGGAGGTGCGAGTAGGGATGATGGGAAATCGATATTCTTTAGCTTCGTCTCGATTGCGATTAACAGTGGTATGAGTTCCACTCTCGCGAAAATTTCCACGAGTCATACCTCTGCGTTCACCAGCAGCAGAAGGGACTGCACGGTCCATAATTTCTTTACCTGCGGATGAGTCGAAGTACTCTGTGGACCAGGATGAAGGCAAAGAGTTGAGAGATGGAGAACCTATGAGAGATGAACTACGCCTGGGAGTACATTTGTTCGAATTGACCAAAGGGTGGCGTGTCTGTGACTGAATATGAAAGTCGATGGAATCCAGCGACAAAGGTAGATGTGCTGCAAGGATACGGCGGCTGGCACCAAGCGAAGTAACGGGGTCTACGCTGGCAGGTTTCGTTACGGGACCTATTGGAAGAGCATTTTTGCGAATGGGAGACAAAGGGACAATCGGACAGAACTTTTCATAAGAAGGACCACGGACATGTGACTCATGCTGGGACGAGAGCGGTACATTTGGACTGGGAGCGTCAATGTCAGGCTGCTCGATGATATAGCGACGGCTTTCCATTGCTTGAGCAACCATAGTGTTTGACATGTCTTTTAGGATAGGCCGGGAAGTCCTAGGCGACATGGAAAGTTTAACTGGTGGATAGCGAAAATCCGCTTTCTTGTCGGTGTTCGTCACCGCAGGAGAGTTTAGCTGCCGGTGAATGCAAACGGATGCCATGTTAAAGGCAGAGGTATTTGGTGTTGGGGGTGGTTGTAGCAATCAAAAATTGCACAAAGAAAGGTTTCCAACTAAACAATGGGAAGGAGACAATGAGGTTTTGCTCGGGCAAGAGAGAGGCTGACATCCTTCTAGTGTCTGGACCTGACCGCGCCTAACCAGGCTAATCAAGGAAAATAAAACAGGATGTACGAGCATTTGATAAGATTTGTTTCGCTCACAGGGGCGAGTGACACGAGGCCATCGAAGACCTACCACGATAGTTACCCTCACTGGCACAGATAAAGGTTGATTAGAAATTTCTCTGCTTTGAATGTACCAAAGCTTCCATCCTTGGGTTTTCAAAGTAGTTATGATCCTTATACTGGACGATACGGATGCTGTACGAATGCGCTGAGCTGTGAGACATGTCAAACTACTGCGAAACTGCGAACTTCTGGAACCGAATGGAGTTTTGATGATTATGGCAAGTACGAAGCCTCTTAAGCGGGGATGGGACCTCAGGCACCTCGTGTATAACACAAGGTTCTAACCAGAAAAGTCAGGACCCCGAAATCAGGAATAATACTACCAGTGCTAGTCTTTAAAAATGGCTGTACCCAGGGGGCACCCAAAACAAAGGTTTTTGGTAGCCAGTCTAAGAGAAAAAGTAGATGGTATTGAAGAGGATAAAGTACAATGTCTCAGTTTAACATTTTGCTTATTCTTTAAGAAATTATACCCGAGCAAAGTTCTGTTTGCTGGAAGTTTAATGCACTCAGTTCATAGTATCATGTTTAAATATGATATATGATAGACTTTATTCATAATGTATGGTGTTTTTGAATTTCTGTGGTTGAAATTGCTGAGAAAGCTAAGTGCATTTTATATTTGGGTTTAAATGTATTCATAAGTGAATTACTATTTTCTTGTAAAAGCCTTATCCCCTATACCGAACTAACGGAGGGATGAAGACCTTAAATCGACAAGTAGCGTCACAAGTAATCGATTGAGAAGTAATCAACAACTAAGGAAAATATGTACATGGGTGTTCACTATATATACGTTTCTGAGAGTCAGCCATGAGGCGCTGACTGATGTTCTTTGTAATAGTTCTAGGCTCTTTGTCACGTGATGGTCACGTGATCTGATATAACTAAGTATTATGTTATCCGCGCTAATAGCAGCAGCTTAACATATTATATCTGTTCATGTGATTAGATATTAAAGAAAATGAAAAAGAAACTAGCGCTCTTGTTCAGGTCGTGACATTACCCCCTCTTTAGGACTTTCGTCTCGAAAGTAGGGGTCCATTTTTCCGTTTTCCCAATTGAACAGTTGTTTTCGGACTCTAGTCGTTGTGAAGTTTTCGAACGGTTGGAAATGTAATTGGAATCGTATCCGTCGGGGTGCACTAGGGTTGTTATCGTGGAATGTTTTTACTTTGTCTGGTGAGTTGTTTAGGTGTTGTTCGGGTTCCCATGTGCGTTCCTCTTTTGGATAATTCTTCCAATGTACTAAATATTCCAATTTTCCTCTTTTTAGACATGAGTCTAGAACTTCTTCGACTTCATATTCTTCTTGTCCGTCTACTATTACCGGCGGTATCGGTTTAGGTTTCTGTTGGGAAGGGAATTGTGGTTCTTTGTATGGCGTGAGTTTTATCTCGTTAAAGACCGGATGAATGGGCCGCCATGTCGGTGGTAATGCTAGTTTATAGGCCGATTCGCCTATCTTTTCCAGTATCTCGAACAGGCCGTGTCTCTTATCGTCCAGTTTCTTAGCTGGTCGATCCGTTGAGATATTTGTTGCTTCCACATACACCTTATCTCCTACTCTATATTCCACTGCTTCTCTTTTCTTCTTATCGTACTGCCTCTTCATCTGTTCAGCTGCCTTTTGCAGCGACTCTTCTGCTTTCTTTCTCGTTTCTGTCATTCTTTTTACGAAATCTTCCGCATTTTCGTTCTTCACCCCCACTTTCACTACTTCCTGTGTTCTCGGATGATGTCCATGATTCAAGTAGAACGGGCTATATCCCGTCGCAGAATGTTGTTTGTTATTGTAAGAGAATTCTGCTAGGGTAAGCCATTCTGCCCAATCATCTTGTTTATGGTTTACGAAGATTCTGAGATACTGCTCTATCTCTTGATTGATCCTCTCCGTTTGTCCATCCGTTTGTGGGTGCCAAGCCGTTGATGGGTTTGCTTTTATCTGAAGAAGCGTATGTAGATCTTTCATGAATTTTGAAACGAACTGCGGTCCTCGATCTGAGATGATCTTTTCGGGTATGCCGTGGTTTCTGAATACATGATCTCTAAATAATCGTGCCACTCCTTCCGATGTGATTTCCATCTGCGTGGGAATTACCTTGATCATTTTTGTAAACCGATCTACTATTACCATTATCATGTTATATCCATTTGATTCTGGTAATGGTCCGATCAGATCTACCGATATGATCTGCCACGGTTTATCCGGGATCTCGTTTGGATGGAGCGGTGCTGCTTTCTTTTTATGGTCTGTCTTGGTTCTTTGGCAGACTTCGCATCCATCTACGTATCTCGTGATATCTCTGTCCATATAGGGCCACCAGTATTGTCGAGTGATTAGCTCTTTTGTCTTATATCTTCCTGGATGACCTGCAATGATGGAGTCGTGGTTTCGTCGGATGATTTCTTCCCTTAACGCGGCATCCTTTGGTACATAGATTCTGCCTTTGAATACTATGCAACCGTCTTCGTCTAGCCATCCATCCTCTCTCCTCTCTATCTTTCCTTTCATTTTTTTTATCAGTTCATCCACGTTTCCTTTTCTCTTTGCGATCCATTTTGAGATCTCTAGCTCTCTCTTTTGGCTGTCTGCGATCTTTTGTCTTTGTTCTGGAGAGAGAGTCATTCTTACAAATAGTTTCTCATCCAGTAGCACAACATCTTCGTTGTCGTTTTCTCCTTTGTTATGATCTGATCGCCTCGAGAGGAGATCTGCTTTTATATGCTTCCTTCCTGGCATATGATGTATCGTGAAATGATACTGGCTTAACTCCGTCATCCACCGCGCCTGTCTCCTGTTCAACTTCTTTGGTTCTTTGAAATATAGCAGATTTTGATGATCTGTCCATATCTCAAATTCCTCTTCTGCGTCTATTAAGTAATGTCTCCATTCGTTAAGTGCCGTCATGATGGCAAGAAGTTCTTTGTCATAGATCTCGTAATTGCGTTCTGTGGGGTTTAACACTTTGGAGAGGTATGCAATTGGCTTCCAGTCATCCTTTTGTCTTTGTGATAAGACAGCACCCATAGCGAAGTCACTACTGTCCGCTTCTACTTTGTATTGGCCATGTGGTACTGGGAGAGCTAACACTGGGGCTGAAGCTACGCGTTGTTTCAGTGTTTTAAATGCTTCGCGTTGTTCATTCCCCCAAATGAAATCCTCTTTTCCCGTTAACTTGGTCAATGGTTTGGCTACTTCCCCGAAGCCTTCTATGAATCTTCTATAGAAATTTACAAATCCCAAGAATGCTTGTATCTCCTTCTTATTTTTGCACTCTGGCCATTTGCTAATTCCTTCTACTTTTACCGGATCCATGCGAATTTCGTTCTCTGAGATGATCAGTCCCAGGTATTCTACTTCTGTCTGTTCGAAATCGCATTTTTCTGGTTTAAGATAGAGATGATTCTTTCTTAGGATTTCTAACACACGTTGCGTCGTTGCTCGGTGCATTTTTATATCCTTGGTGAATATCATAATATCATCTAGATATATGATCACTAACCCTTCGTCTATCAACTCTTTGAAAAGCGTGTTCATCATTGTTTGGAACGTGGCGGGGGAATTTGTCAGTCCGAAGAACATGACTAATGGTTCGAATAACCCTCGATTTGTCCTAAACGCCGCTTTATGCTCGTCTCCTTCTCTCATTCGGATATTGTTATATCCCCATCTTACGTCCAGTTTTGTGAAGTATTTTGCTCCACTCAACTTGTCTACTAGTTCTCCGATCAATGGAAGTGGATATCTATTTTTGATAGTGATATCATTTAGCTTCCTATAATCTTGAACCGGTCTTAACTTTCCGTCTTTCTTTTTTATGAAGAAGAATGGGGATGCGAACGGGGACTTTGATGGTCTTATCCGTCCCGATTTTAGATTCTCTTTTAGGAACGCATCTAGTTCTTCTTGTTCTCCCCTTGCCAATGGATAGATCTTGCAATCTAGGGAGTGATCTCCCGGTATAAGTTCAATTGCGTGATCCCATTGCCTTCTTTCAGGTAATGTGTCAAATTCCTTTTTATCAAATACGTCTTTGTATTGATGAAGGTGTGCTGGCACTATCTTTTCGAATCCTCCTTCTTTTCGATCCTTGCCTGCGGCTTCTGCTAGCTTCTGTGCCATTGTGCCTTGGGCTCTGATATGGTAATATTGATCGTCGATCGTGGCATCTTCGAAATTATGGAGGTTTACCTGTATCATCCGCTCGTCTTCTCCTAGTTCCTCAAAGAATATTTCCGGATCCTCCTCTGGATCAGAGATTCGGATTCTCGGCCTGCATTCTTCGGGACATCTTTCAAAGGTCAACTTCGATTCTTTCCAGTCTATCTTGGGATTGTGTTTGTTTAACCACTCATGTCCTAGAAACATTTTTCCGTTACCCAGATTGGTTACGGCAAGATGTATCTTCTCGACGTGTCCGTCGATTTCCATGAGCAGTGTTACAAATTCATTGATGGCTCCGTTCTTATTAAGAGTTCCATCTGCATTGTAAACTGGAATAGGTCTCGGTATCTTCCTTGTCTCATATCTTTTGTCTTTAACAAATTGGGAGTCGATGCAACTCCCCGTGCATCCACTATCCAATAGTGCTTCGACTGTTTCTATTTGGAGAGTATCTAACATTGTAAGCTTACATTTTACGTTCATTTGATTGCCTTGGGTGCCCCTGATGTACTTTTTTGGGGAGGCAATTTCTATGATCGCTTGTATCGCTTCTACTTTTGGTAACCGGTTGATTTCTTTTATCG